CGTCCTTCTTTAGTACGAATAGTAGTAGAGCCCCGGCGGGGCTAGTACTATATACAATCCGTCCCTGCTCTAACTCCTTATAGAGGTATTCCTAGAGGACTTCTAGCTCCTACTAGGAGAGATAGTAGAGGGATCCGAAGGGCGGTTCCTTACTATCTATTAGTTCGATAGTATAGTCGGTTGCCTTATAGGCTAGAAGGATCGCTATAGAGTCGTTGTCGAATATATAGTAATATCCTTCTAATATAGTAGGTAGGGAGACTTGTTTTGCCTCGCCTTAGTTAATTACGTAAATCTAGAAGGTCGAGCCCTAACCTCCCTAGGGGTTCGCTAGGCGTAACTACCCTACTATATAGATAGAGGAGGAGTCTTCCCTCGATTCGCGCTTTAACCTCTTTAGGGAGACCCTTTCGAAGCTAGAGATCGTAAGTCCCTATCGCTAGGTACCGGGACCGTTCTAGATATCGATATCTAGAGTCTTTAAGGAATATCGGCTAAGGAGGATAGATAGACCGTTCTAGTCGATACCGTAGGCGAGAATCTTCGTTATTCGGGTATCTCCGCTAGAGTCGCTAAGTTTTAACTAGAACTCGTAGGCGCTATAGTAGTAAGTTTCGTAGGTCGATAGCTATCTAAGTAACGGGAGTTAGGCCTCGATTCGGGGTAGGCCTATTTCTACCGCTACCTTCTAGCTAATCGTAGTTACCTAGGCGTACGTATCGAGGGCGACCTATATAGGTTTTATACCTTTACTAGTAATAACAGTTCCTACTATTTCGACAATGTCCCTAGATTTAATAGGTCGGAGCCCTATCGCGTCCTAAGTGTTCGCGACGAGCCTAATTAGTTTTTTAGCTAGACGGGGGTCCGGTTAGGATTACCGCGCTTTAACGGGTAGTCTAGGCGAATATAACCTATCTTGCCGTACTTGTAGTACTTTAGTCCTAAGTAATCCCCTTTGTCTAGGGCGGCTTTTGCGGCCGCGCCCAATTTTAGGGCTTTAGCTACGTTAGTACGCAGTTCCCTAGCGTCTCCCCGGCGATCTCGATCTTTAGATTTTAGCTTATTGCTACTAGTCCGCCCTTTACTGCCTTAGGTCCTCGGGTAATTCTTCTTAATCTAGGTCGCTAGGTTAACTAACTCGTCCCGTGTTTTAGGGATAGAATTGTAATCGACGATCCGTCGGCGGGTCTCCGGGTACAACCGGGCGAAGAACTAGTATAGCTACTACTCTAGAGTATACCGTTCTAGCTATACCTCGAGAGTCTCTAGGTATATTAGGAACTCCCTAGAGGACTAGTTAGTACGTTGTTTAGCGGACGTATAGTCTAGGTACGCCTAAAGCAATCGAGCGTTAGGATCGTCTAGGAGGTTAAGTAGGAACTACTTAAAGTAGTCCTAGGTCGTATCCTCTCGTTCGGCCTCGGTTATCCGCTACTAGTATACGTACTAGCGATCCCTTAGAGTATACCCCTTAGCGAGGTATTATATTACCTAGGTATACCTCTCGGCTTCCCGTTAGAAGGACCGTAGATTCTAGAGGAATACGACTTCGTATAATATTACGAAGTCGCCGTATTCCTTTAAGGACCTCCCCTCGTATTCGCTAGAGGCTTTTACCGAGCGTTTAAGAGGAGGGGCAATATCGGTTTCCGTAGTATATCGCTTATAGCCGCAGCTATTCTAGAGGTCGGCTACCTCTTAAATTAGTAGTAGACGTTCCTTTTCTGCTTATAGGCAGGCGATATCTTTCTGAAGGTCGCTTAGCTCCTTATATTCGATAATAATTTCCGGCTCGGAATCGTTCGCGTCCTCTAGCTAGATACTAGCGAAAGCTTCTATAGATTCCTCCTAGTCGAGTAGTTCCTAAACTCGTCCCGCTTCGATATCCGTAGAGGAAGATTATTTAGTAGAGGCCTGTTCTAGTATAGAGGGGTTCCCCGGCGAGTTGCTAGGATTCTATCTAGTAGAACGTCCTCCTACTATTATTCGGACCTTTCCCTTATAGTTAAGGTACGAGAGTTATTATATAATAGTTCTATAAGCGTAAGGGTATACGTAATAGAGGTCCGAGGTATAAAAGGTATAAACAATATACGGCTTACTATCTAAGGTATAATAACTCTACCCTTCCTTCCTAGAGGAGGGCCTTCGCTATATATACAAGCTATTCTATTATCTACTCCTCGCTACCGGTACCGCCTCCTCTTAGGTAGTAGCCGATAACCGGTTCCCTTAGGAACCCTCTTAATTCAGAACGTCTCCGATCGGTAGGGTATCTCTTCTATACTAGATCGCTAGAGGTCCGTAAGGGCTTCCCGGCCCGCGCGGTACGCTCTGCCTGCCTCGCCGGGAGTTCGCTAGGGCTTCTCTGCCCTAGCGTATTATATTTATTCGGTTAGGCAGGAGAGGCGGACGTACTGCGCGAGATAATAAAGACGAGTTAGTAATAGCTAGAGGGCTCGGTAAAGAGACATAGCGTAAAGAGATATAGTAAGAGCAAGACAATAAGCGCGGAGGGGTACGTCTATATTTATTAGCGTTATTCGGACAGAGTAGTAAGGATAATAGTTTTATAGCGCCTACGTAGCGGACAGAGGACAATAGTAATAAGGATACTACCGATAGTAAGCTTTGATTTGATAGACTAATAAGAGGCTAGAGATATGTCCCTAGTTGTGTCTATAAATACGGAGATAGCGCTAATCGGCTTAGAATCAAAAATCGTACTATATAAAAATTGCTAATATATGACTTTTTGATATACAGTAATTTATACCCGCCCCTAACTTAACAAAACCTAAGGTTTATGCCCTCGGTAAGCAAATAGTATATAGGTATAAACTTATTAGTATAGGTATAAACTTATTGTTATAGGCATTAACTAATATAGGTACTACTTTCCGGAATAACGATACCGCGTATACGTATTGCTGCCCCTCTTGCCTACGAACTCTTCTATACCCGCCGCCGAGTATATACGATACAAAAAGCCCTTCGCTATATACCTTACGTAGGCTAGATTCCGAGAAACCCCTATATTAGTCTCTTTAATCCTACTAACGTACGAGAATAGCGCTCTTCGCTTTGCCGAGCCTACCGCCTATAAGGCCTTACTACGTACCTCTTTACTTATAGAGTAGTAGCTATCCCTAGCAGTTAGTCGTCGCGCTGCTACCTTAGCCTACGTAGGCCTACCGCTACCCCTACTCGGCGTGCTTAGTACTGTCTCCGGCTCTTCCTTATTATTATTATTAGGTATCTTATACAGATCGAGCTATAGTACTATAGGTAGCCGCTTTATAAGACGTAGGCTCGGTCGACGTAGCTGCGAAGAACTAGTAACCGGAGAAGCAACAGCCGGTAAACTAACAGCCGGTAAACTAATAGCCGGAGAACTAATAGCCGGAGAAGAAGCGTTACTTAGCTACTCGGGTACAGTATAATACTGCTCGTATTCGCTATTATTATCGATCGGCTCTAGCGTCGGCTCTATAGCTATCTTGTTAATCGCGTCGTATATCTATTAATTGTCGTCGGCTATACTTGAAATAGATTAGCTAATTAGAAGCTAGAGAATCGCTATCGATTCTATACGTAAAATCATACGTATATAGTACTAATCAACTCGGATTAATATATATATATATACGCGTCGTATATATAGAATTCGTAGAATTCCGACGTTTGCGTATATTTAGGTATAGTATACAATATACGTAGCGGGCATAAACTAAGTTCTAGCGGAGAAAAGATTAGCCTCTACGTTAGCAAGATTAGCCGACGTTCTATACTACTAACGGGCCTGCCTATAGGATATATTAGGCTACGATTTTAAGAGGTTTATCGAATATAAGCCTAGGAATTCAAACGGCAAGATGTCTAGTAGATAATATATCGACGAGTTTCTTATACCGGAAATTTTACCTCTTATAAAGGCGCGCCCGGATCTTGTTCTAGAAGAGGACCTAGACAGCTCGCATACGTCTAAGGAGGTTATTAAATTTAAGAGAGAGAACGATATCTCTTATTATTTAAACGCGCGTAGCTCTTCCGACCTTTCTGTTGTCGAGACAATAGTAGGTATATCGAAGAATTCGTTTAGAAAGCGCGCGCGCTTTATAAGAGAGGACGTACGCGTAGAAGCACTACGTAGTTTTGATTCTATTACTTTTAATCAAATAAATAATAGCGTAGATAGTATGCCTGCACGTCTACATGCCGTTATAGATAATAAAGGGCAAAAGACGCAGTATTAATAAAGTAAAAGGTATTGGGGTACTAAGAGAATCTTATTATTCTTTTTGCTTTCCGGCGGTAGGCGGGCTTTTTTTTTGAGGTAGTGACGGATTTGGCTTATCGCGCTAGCGCGCCCCACCGCCAAAGTTCGCGCCAATCAGCGTGTGCGCTCCGATTGTTTTTGCACCCTATACACAGATTGATTGGCACTCTACTCCCCCCTTTCCCTGACCTACGCTTCGCTTCGGAAGGGAAGGAGGTCGTTCCGTACCAATAATTCTCATCGCTTACAGGTAACCCGGGCGTTTGCTGTTCTTCGGTAGGGGTAGATACAGGAAGCATCGGGAAGGTTTTTTCTGCTCTTTTCTTACCTAGTTGTCTTGTTTTCTTTTTTCCCTTTACAAAAATTCTTTCACAAAGCATAATATAAAATCCAACGTCCTTCAATACCTTTTCCTAACATGTACTGTGGTCCTACGCTAGCTAAAGTACCGCCTTCGGTATTTCCCCAAGATTCACCGAAGCAATATCAGATTGAGCACGTGAAGGTTGTAAGAAGATGGTTACAACTCGTAGGAAAAACAGAAAGTCCCGTCGTCTCGAATCTCTTACTGACTTTTATACTACCGCAGGTACCTGAGGTAAGGTCTCTAGGGGTATTTCCCTTCCTAGTATAAAGTACCTAGGCAAAGTCCTCTCCTACCCTCCATCCCATTTTCCACAAATCTCCAAATGGTATACAAGGGTATCTCGCAAAATCCTCAAATACCCTTCGAATTCGCACTATAAGACTCCGGAGTTGACGACGTCGCCGTCGACGTCGAAACCGACGACGATAAAGTCGTACCCACCAAACAAGAAGTCACAGTCGAAGTCCCCGCGCCATCAAATGTAGTTTGGACACCTCCGACACAAACCTATAATTTTTTCGGGAAGAAAAAAAAAATTAGCCTCCAAAAAGATACAAACGGAAAGTAAAAAAAGAGGAAAAAAAAACTTACAGGACAAATCCCAAAAGCCCGATGATACAACGTCGAAGTCACCAACGACTCACATCTTTCTCCATCTCCTCCATCTCCTCCACAATCCACACTCTGCGTCAAAGTCGTCGCGTATTCTGTTGTCGTACATCCTCCACAACCGGGTTGATTTTCCACTGTGAGAGTTGTGGGGCAGGATGGTGGTGATGATGTAGATGATGTAGATGATGTAGATGATGACAACGATAAAGGCAGCGGCGGGGAAGTAATTTTTGCTGAATTTCTTCTCGCGGCTTGGACGGCTCGTGCGGTGACGTGGGGAGGTCGTTGTTGTTGTTGTTGTTGGTGTTGGTCGTTTGGGGCTGCGAGGGATTGGTGGGTGAGGAGGAGGAGGGGGGCGAGGAGAGGGTAGAGGGGGGTCATTTTGGGTGGTGAGGTTGGTGAGGTTGGTGAGGTTGGTGAGGTTGTTGATGGTGTGATTCTTTCTCGCAAGTTTGTCGGCGACGAGGATAGAGAGACGGAGTGTGCAGAGAGAGGGAGAAAGAAAGAGAGACAAAGATAAAGAGAATGACAGAGATATGTCACCAGGTCGACCGGTCAGTGTCGGAACGAGTCGAATCAAAAGTAGACAATGACTCGATTGGAATGCTGCTGCAAAGGTAACATCCAATCCCCAAAGGGATATTGGTACCTCGTTAGATGCATAGCTCTTCGGTTAGAGTACAAGCTTACTCGAAACTAACCAACCATTTATAGAGGTAGCTTATGGATAGCTAGTGGTACTCATAATGTATATATTAGAGTATAATTCTACCTATCTCTCTATCTATCTGTTACCTAGGTACCTAGTAGCGATGGCTACCTTATTGTTAGAAATCATACCAATCGTACTGGTTGTCAAGAAAGAGAGAGAGAGAGAAAGAGAGAAAGAGCCAGAAAGAAAAAAGATCGCAAACCAAACTCATATATCCCAAACCGTATGCTCGAGACTTTTCCGTTACGTATATCGTATTAGCTCCCTCCTCTAACACGAGATAGGTATTTACTTATGCGGGGTATAGTAGAGTATAGAAATGTAGAATGTAGAAAGGTAGAGGGTAGAGGGAGAGGGAGAAAAGAAGGGAAAGAGTGTATACTATACCTTAGGTCAAGAGTTGTAAAGTTTAGGTAGGTAAGGTAGTACCTGTAGGCCTGAAGGTTAGTTAGTTTTGTAGGTAGGTAGTTTTATACGTTTCGTAGGTATAGCAGCGGCAGCAGCAGCAGCAGTAGGTTCATATAGGTAGGTCCCTCCGTTCCGTCTATACATGTAGTAGTATAGTATAATAGAGAGGTATAGTCATACATGTAGTCATATAAGAGAAAAGAGAAAAGAGAAAAAGAGAGAAAGAGAGAAAAGAAAAAGAATACAACAAAAAAAACGCTCCAACTTGTTCGCTTGCTCGCTTTCATTAAATTCTTAATTAAATAATCAATTATATTCGATCTCGCTCCCGATCTCGAAAAGGCCTGCTGCTGTTGTTACTGTTACTGTGATTGCCATTGTAACCACCATTGTTGTTACTCTGAAAAGGAGAATTATTCGTCGTAATCGTCCGATTACCCAAATCAATCGTCGTCGTAGCAGGCACATTCTTCTCCTTATCCCCACCAGGAGCTTTCATATGCGTCGTAAATCTAAACGCAGATCCCACAGGTTGACCATCCAGTTCCGAAATCGTCTCTTCGTGCATTGGTGAAGACAAGCTGGTGGTGGTGATGCTGCTGACAGCTTTGCTGTTGGTATTGTTGTTGTGATTCATAGCAGAATATCGTTCGGCAAAAGAGTGCATGTGTGGAGGAGTATCTCTGCCTTGCGCAATGGGCGAGACGACGGGGCTGAAACTTCGAAGGTCGTAGGCGGGTTTGACGCCGAAACCGCCCTCTCGCGAGGATAGGGAGCGGACTGCTGGGTGCGCGGGAAAGAAGGTGGATGGTGGAGGTTTTCGATCGAAGAGCTCGTCGTCGGGTAATTCGTACATCAGCTTGGGTCGGCGCTGATGTTCTTTTCTCCAGAACATGAATGCTGTGCACACGGCGATGAATAAAGGTATCCCCAATCCCGCGCCGAGTCCTGCCATTTGGCCTAAAGTGTAATAGGGCCCATTTGCCGCGTCCGGACACGAGGAGATTTCCGCGGAAGGTTGTACAGATGTTGTAGGCAGAGTCGTTGCGCTGCTGCTGCTGCTGCTGCTCAGGATGGGCGCTACTAATGCAGATACTTGGGCCGGCCGTAGTATCAAGGAATTAGTTCCTGACAGCGTGAATGTCTTTGTGGAGTCTCGGCAATGTGTGTTGTTGAGACCACACACGAATGTGCTCCTGCTTCCACTGGCTTCGCATGGTTTGATCGCTATGCTTCCTCCTGGACTCTCTGATCACAACAACAATGTTGATCAGCGTGGCTCGCGCTGCTCGTGCCCATCATTCCAACTTACCCTGTCTACAATATCCGGCACATGCCTCGCTCTCCCATGTCTTGTCGGTACAGCTTCCCCTCGTGAGAATGCCTTGCTCAAGACACAGTCCATTCTCCAAACAGAATGCACTCGATGCGCAGCACGCAGAAGGAGATCCATTGGAGGCACATGGCGTGTGATCCGATTCCGTTCCGCCAGGAAAGTAACATTGCTGTCCCGTGCAGCAAGTGATGAATACAGATATAGCAGCCAGAGCTCGGGCCAGTCGATGGGAAGATGGCATTGTGAACGCGTGGTGGCCGTTGCCGACCGTGATGGAGAGAGGGAGGAGAGAGGGAGAGTGAGGGAGAATGAAAGCGAGCGCGGGGGGGGAAATGAGTGTCAAACGAGTGTATCAAGACATGAAGAAGAAAAACGGTTAGCAAACAGTTGTGATTTACAAGAGGGTATGGGAACCAGAGAGGGAGAGAGAGCGAGAAAGCGAGCGAGAGAGAGAGAAGAGAGAAAGGGCCTACAAGAGGAAGAGGAGAACAAGATCCGGCGGTAGTAGTCTACGGAAGCATCGGGCCTTCTTCCCTCGATGCATACTGCCACACCCAGGCATGACGGGGGGAGAACGCCAGCGATCAGCCGTTCTTGAAGGTGAGAAGCATCGGGAGAAGTTCTGACGCAGATGGGAGGGACGTGGAGTCGTGTGTGTAGGTCGCGGGAGATGAGAAATAGATCGCTCGGCCTGAGCCTATACCTTTCGGGTACTGTACTGAGTCGTGGATCCGTTTCACGCTTGTCCGTCTTGACCTTGTGAACATGTCCATGTGAAATGAAAAAAGGGTCTTAGACTTCTCTCTCTCTCATTCCTCCCTAGAAAGTATACTACTGTGCTGTAAACCTACCGCTAAACGTCAGTAGCAAGATGATGATGAGCAGTAGCACTTATCAAGCATACCATGTAGTGTACCAACTACTTTTTCTCGACACGACCTACCATCTATCCATCCATCCATCTCAACAATGATTTCTTTTGCTGCGCCAACCTGTTCAATGAAACAGCCAGTCGCATGAAGTCGACATCGAAGCTGCGAGGGGAGAAAAATCCGGTTCAGGACCGTTTCGACTGCATACACGCGCACCACCCGATACAAACCATATCATCATCATCGAGGTTTGTCGTTGTAGCACAAACGAAAGAGAAATGAAATGAAATAGAAAAAAAGTGTACCAGGAAAACCTCTCGGCAGCCCAGTTTCTAGCTAGGAGGTACCTATGTAGGTAGCTGTGCATTCTATACAAGAGAGAGAGTAAGGGAGAAGTCGAAGATCCTGGAATGGAATTAGGTATAGGTATACTTAGAAAACAAAAAAGGTCTGTGCATAGAGCGGAGGTCCCGTCCCGATGCAAAACCACAAAAACACCACCTCCGTGCGCCTTTCCTACGAATCAGTATATATGTACCTCAAAGTTTTTTCTTCAACACTCACTTACTCACTACCTACCTACCGCGAATCTCTACTAATAACAATCAAAGATACATCTACCTACCTACCCCAAATCAAATTCCACCCTAATCCCTCGAATCCAGTACCTACCTACCTGGTACATAGTACCCACCTTACAGGCCCTCATACCTACCAGTACTATATACTCATATACACAGGGGTCCGGGAGTCCGCAGGCAGGTAGTGTACCAGACTGTAACCGCAACTTTAGACTTTTACAAGGGATATGACTCGTCGTGAGCCGGTAGAAAGAAACATCGTACTTTGTATTCGTATATATATACATACATGTATACAAGCCACGCCCAGGCAGCCAAGCCCAAGCAAATGCGCAGCTACATGTACCTATGATAGCCTGACGGGAATTATTTTTGAATTTCTCTCTTTTGTTATTTGGTTGGTCTTTGAAAAATGTACCTACATGTACATTAGTTTTGTGTGTGAAAGCTGCTGCATCAGCAGCCTTCTGCAGCTTTTCTCATTAGATCGATCATGGGCGTTTATTCCAATAGCAGCAGCAGCAGCAATACGGTTCTGCGATGGAGGTTTGTTTCCTATCGCTATTCTTCGACATATGATGAGGGGGTTGAAAAAAGAGACTATGTTGGAGGCATACAGATTGACTACAGATCTACTACTGTATGTACAAGCTCGTACTAACCTATGCAAACTTTTGATCTCATCAACATCATCCGCCTTGGTCTGAAGTTCATTGCTACTTGCCATCAGCCGCAAACAATGGATATCCTCCCTCTATGCCCAGGAATGTTGTGATTGCCTGTGCTCCACGATCCTCATCATTACGATTATTGAGGCGTCACTGTCCCCGTCTTCATGCTGTAAGGCGCCAGGACCTTCTTCGCATTACATATCCTCCATGCCAGGTTCCTCACATTCCCATCCGCTCGAACCACCTCGGGTGCGAACTCGATACCGAACATTTGCTGGACTGCATAGACCACGCGCTTAGCGTACTTGCCTTCGCGTTCCAGTGTAGGTCCAAACTGCTCGTCGACACTTCTGGGAGCAACGTTGGGGTCGCGGTCAAAGCAGTTTTGCACGATAGGAAGTAGTGTATCCTCGACGGCGCTGCGTGCAAGCCCTTCGTGTGTCGCGACGAGAGCTTCATCGTCCACGCGGCTGATCTTGATTTCAAAGGGCAAGGAGGTGGCCATGACGTTATACTTGCCATCGTGATGGTAGCGGAACTCAAAGACACCCTGTGTCCACCAGAGTTTGTCTCCGGAAAACTCAATCTCGCCCTGGAGGAAATCCTTCTCGCCGCCATCGGTGCGCTTTGCAGCGGACAGTCTCTGATCCGCAACGAGAATTCCAGTGTCAGCCATGTTGTAGTCGTGCATTCCAGGACTGACTGCAACCCAACGACCTTGGGAACCAACTTTCGTGACCTCTCGAGATGCATTGTCGCCAACACGATAAAGGCCAATCCAGTCGCGCTTGCTGTGGTTCAGAGGTGCAGTCCACTTGATCTTGATAGGAGCACCATACTCTACCACGAGTCGTTCGAAGCTATCGGTGCGCTGGAGTGGCTGTTGGCCAATCTCACTTTCTCTTCCGCTATGCGCGGCTTCGGCTTTCAATACTCCAGAGTCCGTCGGATCGATTTGGATAGAGTAGTCCTTTGGATCGAAACCAGCAAGATCTGGAGCAAGGCGTGTCACTGTGAGCCGCGCGGGAAACTGCTTGAACAATGTCTGGGAGTCCTGCACGAAGGTGCTGAAGCCAGATGCAAGTTTGGGGCCGGCTTGGTCAATAAAGTCCTCGAGAGAGTCGAGAGTGTTATCAAGGACTTTGTCAACGCTAGATTGCCACTTCTTGACTGGCGACGGCAATGAGCGCTGCATGGTCTTCGAAACTCCCGATTGTTGACGGACATTCTGCCTGTACAGCTTGTGCATGTGAGGCTTTTCAACGAACTGGATAAAGCATAGTGTGAGTGCATGAGACAAAAGTGCCACAAAGAACATGGCTTTGCTCCATGTCATGATAGCAACACCCCATATGCCGGCTAGGCCAATCGTGCGTTCTGGGTTGTTCAGGTAGCGATAGATGCCGCCGTAAGTGAGCTCGGGCGCGTCTTGTGGAAAGAAAAAGTCGCCAAAGAACCAGCCAAACTCGCCCAGAGACTCGTAGATGCTCGCAATGGTCCATAATTGGAGTGAGATCAACGCAACGCCAATGACATGTCGCAGTAGCGCCATTCCGTAGGTCCAGTTCGATGGCAAGCCTGTGTGGATGAAAATGTCAGCCACATGTTGCGCAAGACCTGCAGGAGGAAACCATCCACAACTCACCATACATCTTCCAAGCAGCGCAGATGAAGCTCGTGTAGCACATGACCATGCTGATGTGGTATATGCCCTTCCACTGACGCCACGCCTCCTCGGAACTCTCACCAATCTTGACGAAGTGGCGCGTCCACCACTTCTTGTTCGACTGGCGGTCCAGGATGAAGCCGATACCGATATTGTACCACAGCCGCCAGCCGATAGCACTCATCACGAAGAAGGTTTGCCAGAGCCATGTTGATGGCGTCAGAAATGCCACGGTATACATGTGTATTTGGAGCAGTGCGACGGAGAGATCTGTCACACGGTGCAGATCAAAATTCTGCAAGCCGACCAAGTTATGGACCGGAGACGGCGATAGATCTGATCGTGAGCTGCTAGTGACATTTCCAGCGCTGAGGAGGCGGGTCGAGTACTGTGGTCGCTTTGGTGGCGAGTCCGGAATCTCGTCTGACCGTTTAATTGGAGCGGGCGCATTGTAAGTTCGCTCCTACGGTTTAGGTCGTTAGTGATGGAGTTGGAGAATATGCCAAGGCTCAGCTTACGATGTGCGGGTTTTCGACGAACGCCAGAAACAAGAGCTGCGCAGCATGTGCGATGATGGAAATGAAGAGCACCTTGTAGCTCGCCGCCATCATGGCGATACCATAATATCCCACATATCCAATCGAGTACATGGGATGAGGCGCGAGTTCAAACACTCCATCGAAGGTTAGGTCTTGGTCAATCAGGTAGAAAAAGTCTCCCCAGTACCACGCGAAGTCTTTCACGACTCGGTGAGCATCGAGCTTCACCCACAGGTTGAAGGCAATAAGTGCCCAACCACCAATCCAGCGCCCTGCTGTCATTGCAAGCTTCTCATTGGCAGGCTTACCTCCGCAAGCATATGCAAATAAGCAGTAAGAGATGAAATCGGACATGAGAATCAAGTCCACGACACGACGAAACAGGAGCCAAGTGTTGTATTCGATTGGGGCATCTTCGAATTTGTAGTCCTTTGGGATTTTAGTCTCCATCTCTCGTTTGAGCATCTGGTACAGGGCGGGTCGAGGATTGTTGCCGGTTTTGGGGTTTTCGAATATCTTCGTCTTCTTTGCCCATGTCACCAAACGTTTGTGGTGCGATTGGTTGTGAAGCAGCCAGCCGATGCCGAAGTTGTAACATGCTCTCCAGAACAAGAACACAACAGCAAATACAGGGACGCGCAAAAAGGACGGCAGAATCCACATGAGGAAGAACTGTAGCCCGAGAGCAATCACAATGCCAATGTCGGATGCTGCCTTAGGCTGTCTCGGGTCGAACAGTTGAGACACCATATCCTCGGTATGAGGCACGGTGAATACTGTACGGGGCACATATCAGCGCTGCTTGGTGCTTCTGGGCGGGTCGCGTTGGGGAGCATGCTGATGAGGAGGACGGGTTATATCACATTCGGACCTGCTGCTCGATAGTAGCGCCGCGGACAAGACTCGCTCAAGCACGATTTTTTTTTGTTTCAGAGCACACCACATGGACTACTTACCGGTGCCGTCTAGTGTCCGTCCATACGTCTTCTTGTCCTTCTCGCTCTTGCCCATCCGCTCTTCCTCGCGGTTGAGCGCCTTTACAGTGTCTGAGGCCGTCTCAGCAGAAAGTGCCTGGTGTGGAGAATCTGGCTTTGGTGCCAGCCGTTCACGCAGGCCACTGGCGTCGAGGCCCATGCTGCTGCCATTGGGTTCAGTCATGATGATGGCGGGATCGTGTCCTTCGAGTTGAAGTCGAAGTGTGGTGAGCTGCCGTTCCGTTGAAGAAAGGTGGCAGCTCAGAAAGTAAAAGAATGTGGCTCGCTACCAGGTATTTACCGAAGACCCTATATGAGATGCGTTCATAGTTCTAGCAGAACATTTCGGCGGGGTTGTTGTAGATGTTGGTGCGATGAAATAAGTCGTGTCGTTGAGAGGTTCGAATTATTGGACGAGCGGGATGAGGTGCTGCATGTGTGCAGAAATGGCGTGCGGAGACTGGTACAAAGTAATGCTGGAACGACTCCGGGTCCGAGGCATCTCGCTTAGCACAGAAAGCCCACCTGCAGCGCCACAAATACGAACAACCTCGACAATAGAACAAAGCAGTTCGCGCTGCGGGATTAATATCAAGACAACCTTGCTGCGTCTGGAAGAAGTACTTTGCAGGACTAGTCCAGCAGGACATTCTCCTGCAGACACACCAGCAAGTACATTGGGAGGTAGGTCTACCTCACTTGCACGTTCGATCGCTACATGTACTTGAAATCGGACACTACTCCGCAGACGAGGTACGTGCACATTGGAGTCGTCGACGATGAGGTGAGACGGAGACAGTAGGAGCAAAGCAGCAGGTAGAACCGGGTGTCAGCACTAGGTACCTATGTGTTGTATGTGCATAAAAATACTGCATCACCAAGCTCGATGCCAACACGCTGAGAACGATGCAACCGAAGCGTGTTCATCACAATACAACCGTATGTACTATGACATGCATGCATGTGAACATGTCTGTAGGCTAATATCGCTAGCCTACAGTAATATCATTGGATACATCTACCGTGAGGGCTCAAACTCTACTGCCCGCCCGTCTGGCAGCTGCTTGACCCTCATCAAAAGAAACAGCCGGACACTTTCCTCATCATCGCAATCCAATGGAACCGGTGCACGCACCTCGCCCGTGGATACCTCAGGACTCACGTATGCTGCTCCCCATCCACAACACCATCAATCTCTCGCCCCTCCCAATGGTCGGCAGACATTACCGTCCAGCGGAAAGAAGGGCAACAGCTCCAAGCAGTATCTGCATGTAGTCAACTGCCGTGATGGTGGAAAAGAAGAAATGCGCTGCGCTGCGCCCCCCACACCAGGTCCCTCATCCTCGCAATCGCCACGAGTCATGAGCATGTCCCACACGCGCGCGAGAGCAAGTGGCCAACATGGCAATAGCAGCACCGTCACGACGACACAGAATCCTTATACCATCTGCAGGATCTGCGGAAGACAAGAGGTGAAGTCGAAATAGACTGCGGCAGACACATCAGATCAGTGGGCACAGGGACCATGGGGGGTAGCCCAAAGAGGTATTGGAATCCCGGGTCGTGTCTATCAGATGGAGCTTGTTAAGGTCAAAGGATCTCTTGGATCGAGGTGATGTTGATGATGATGTTACATAAGGTACAGGTATGTAGTTCTACTCGGCAATGCCAAACTCCAGATATTCGGCATTGTGTGGTGGTGGCGCCTTCTATGGCATCCAACTGTACAAAGTAGTACCTTCCAGCTGTGAAGCTTCCGTCTAAAATCTGGAAAGAACGCCTGGCTCCCTGAAGCTGATGTGAAAACAGAATTCAATCTTCCTTCGCTGCCCTGTGCAAAAACTTTTTCTACCAAAATCTCTTCCTTTCCTTCTCCTTCCTCAGCAAGCACGAGGCACGTCAACGAGGGTACTAACCTCAGAGGAGTGGCGTGGACCACCTTCGAGATCGACAGCTTTCTTCTCTTGCACCACCGAGCGCGAAATGCGCACAAACACCACTGCGATGAGCAGGCCCAGCCCAGCAGATGCAGCGGCGTAGATGAACGCGTACTTGTAGCCTCGATTGGCCCGCTGGTCTGCGAGTATCAGTCGCTCTGCAGGTGACGCACTGTGTGGGATGGGAATGGCACTCTCGGCCTTGACAGCCACAATCTCCGAGATAGAGAGCGAGAACGACATGGCGAGATTGACCAGTATGGAGGAAACAGCTCCCGCCAATCCTTGATACCGAAGTGGCGACACCGAGGAGAGGTACACCACTGATATCGTGAAGGTGAGGTCGATGCCAATGGTGGCGCAAAGCATGGATGGCATGACGAATGACCAGTAATGCAGTGGCAAGGGAGCCAATGCAAGCAAGAGAGGTGCGCCGATCCACGCGAGTCCAGAAATGACGAGCAACACCAGTATTGGGACGAGATGCAGTAAGGCACCTCCCACGACACACAGGATGAGACCTCCCACTGCTGTCGGTGTGTACCAGGCCGCGAGCTTTAAGCCTGCGATGCCATGAGCTGTGCCAGTCGCAGAGGCACTCGAGAAGTACGATGCCGACTCGTAGAGCCAGACACCATATGAGGCGTAGAAGCAAAGGCATGCCAGCGAGAAGGCTTTCACGCTTCGCGGCGAGAAGAAGTCGAATGGTAAGAGTGGACACGCGGCATACCAGCCTTCGACCCAGAAGGCCATGCCCAGACAAGCCAATCCAGTGATGAGAGGACCCAACACCATGGGGAAAGTCCAACCCGACCGAGCAGTGTCGAACTGATTCGCATATGGTTCCACCGCAAGAGCGTACGCAACCAGAATCAGCCCAGCAGTAATCAAGAAAGCCCCGATCCAATCCATCTTCAGCCCCAGCTGTTGCCGATCCGTTCTGTCATGCGGCACAGTCAAATACGCCGTCACAGCCGTCACGAACGCCAAAATCGCCGCAATCCAGAAATACCACCCAGGCACCTCGTCCGGCAGCGCACCAGCCGCCAAGAAACCTGCGAAAAACCCCAAAGGCGCACAACCCGAATATAAGCCCAGTACGAGATTCTTTCGAGGCCCTTCGGGATAGATACTCCCCATCATGGCAAATGTCGAGGGGATGTATGCTGCAATCGCCAATCCTTGCATCGCTCTGCTGACGTCAAGGAGGAGGACGCTCGTTTGAGAGAAACCTGCCAATAGGGACCATATCCCTAACCACACGACTCCAAACATGAAAGGTAAATATCCGCCGTACATGTCGCTGATTCGAGCAAATGTGAGTAGTGTCGCAGAGAGGATGAGACTGAGCAGTGATGCGGGCCAGAACATTCCCAGAGAGCCGGGCGCAGCCATTCCACTACCACCAACACCACTGCTGCTGGTATATCTATTCATAATCTTCGGCAACTCAATGGCGAATCCGGATATCATGTATTCTGCGAGAAATTGTGTCATGGCAATGGTGAAGCAAAACCCGACTTCGGCTGCAAATGTGCGGAATTTGCTCTTGGGTTGTTGATGTTCTCCTTCTTCTTGACCTCCTCCTCTTTTGGAAGACGAAGGAAAAGAAGGACGCGTGTGGGGAATAGTGGTATCATCTCCGCGTTGCTGTTGTTGCTGCTCCTGTTTCTTGTCATGCATGGAAAACTCTGCTCGGGGAGTATTCGGTACAGAGGAAGAAGGAGAAGAAGAACCAGTAGTTGAAGAAGACGACGAAGATGAAGAAGAAGAAGACGAAGAAGACTTCTCATCAGCAAAATTCAACAGCAAGTCCTTATGCTGCTGGTGCTGCTGCTGGTTTCGATCACCTTCATCTGCAACATCCGCAGCATCGGCATCTCCAGCATTATCTTCAGCGACAGTGGCAGCAACAGCATGAGCTCCAGCAACAGAATCATCAACTCCATAACAGCAACCACGGACAGCCGGCTCTCGTATCGTCGTCGGCTCTCGTCTCGTCAAGTCTTCGTACTCGTCTTGTTGCTGCTGTTCTTGTTCTTGTTGCTGCTCTTCCTCCCCACTCAAAGCAGCCTGAATAAAAGACGAAGCGCGCTTCCATTCAGCTTTCTCCTCTCGATATGTGATCAAACTGTCGAGACTCTGGAGCCGGGTGAAGGAAGCTTTGGGTTTGAGGGGCATCACTGCTGATCGTCGCGAACTGCTACGTGAGATGGAGGAAGGTTGTTGTTGGTGATGATGTGCAAGAGAGGGAAGTTGCCAGGGGTCGAAGCCGCCGGGGACGGTGTCAGAAGGGATGGGTGGTGGTGGCGGGATGGCATTGTTGTTGTTGTGGTAGTTCATCTGGAACAGGGGAGCTGAACTCGGAGGAGGATGACTACGAGGACGCTTGGACTTCTTCTTCTTACTCTGCTTCCTCCTCTCCTCCTCCGTCGTGTCTTCGAGCATGTCGTCTCGGAGTGTAGGTTCCAGATTTGCACCAGCAGCCGATGAAGTAGCCCGTGAAAGTCGGCTTTCGAATCTCAGAGAAGAACGACGAGCTGGCGCGTGAATCATTGATAATCTTGAAGAAGAAGAAGAAGAAGCGGAAATCGTTGGAACGGGAGGCACGACTGTCCGTCGGCTGGAAATTTGGTCTTCCGAATGAGGAGGACTTGTTTCTCGGTTGGTGAGACTGTGCCGAGAGTTCGTAGCAGCAGCAGCACTATATGCCCGTACAGGAGCTGGGATAGTTGAAGATGAGGCCGTCCACGGTTTGTCGTCTGTAGCGTGCATGCCAACGAAACTCTCTGATGTCGGGCGCGGGCGCCTTGGAGTTGGGGTCGCAGTAGACTTCTTCAGCTTCCTTGATGGGGAGCGTGGTGTAGACATGTGGGATGGTGGCATGGGTCGCTGGGCCCGAAGATCGGGAGTGGACGCTGATCTTCCGGGAAGAGGAGAATGACATTGAGCTTCGGGGGGTGGATGACTTGGAGGCTGAGGGGTGTTGGGACTGCTCATCTTGCTCTCTTCTTCGACGGGAGGAGAGTCTCCGCAACAGGGTGCCAGTAAAGCCCATGAAGTGCGATTGGGGGAGAAGAAGGATTTGGCGGGAAATGTGATGTGATGTGTAAGTGTAAAAGTGTAAAAGTGTGGAAGTGTGGAAGTGTGGAAGTGTGCTTGTGCGAGGAAGTAATCGATCGGAGGAGCGGTATTATGCAGAGAGGATCGTTTGTGGAATCACAGTCCGAGATATGGGAAGAGCAAAAGTCGGAATGGCTTTTTTCCAGTGGCGTGGCAAAGAGACACGTTGGACATGCGTGTCTGGCACTTTATATGCTGTTTGCTGCTGAGGCAGGCAGGAATCCGTGACAAGGATGGCTGCATGTAAGGTGGGAAGGGAGAGAGAGGGAGGGGTGCTAAACAAACACATTACCAGTCACACGGGACTCACGGGGCTGTCAAAAGACCTCCCTACCTGGATCGCAAAAGAGAATGGGTCTGAAAAGATCACACAGACCCACTGTATAGACCATGGACGGCCTGTCATGCGGCTGCGCTGGTAACATATGGGCATGTTGGATTCTCCCCTTCCTGTGTGAGATGGGCCTGGAATTTGTACCACCCAGCCCCAAATCGTCGGAAACGAGATGGCGAGAGAGAGCAGAGACACCGCGCGCAATCTATGCCTGCCTGCCTCCATCTCCCATCCACCAGGAAAACCACATGTCTCCGACAGATTGAGCAGAAACCACTTTGGAGGGGGGGCGAGTGGTGAAGATGTCATCTTTCTGACATTGAATGAGTGGCAGATGCGGTGGCAGCGAGCAGAGGGGTTTCAGGTACGGATGCATCGAGCCGTCTGCACAGTACCGATCTTCAAAAAAGTTCTTGGGGAGGCGGTCGCCGTCTGCACGACGTGTTACGGTCCGTGTAGCCATGGAGAAAGAGAGAGAGGATCATAGACATGGGTTGGAGCCTGGTCGTCGGCGCGACAGATCGTAAAGAGGAGACACGAAGCAGAATGAAGAAAACGGTCGCTGGGGCGCGCGTAGGCCTGTAGGATCTGATCCGGTCCACCTTCTTCATCCTTTTCGCGTCTCACTCTGATGCTGGTGGATTTTCTTCATATTGGAGCGGGCATATTCAGTCCCGCTAATAAGTCAGTAACAGTATCTCACAGCTGAATCAGAAGTCTTCGACGTGTGTGCGTCGTGCGTACCCCCTTGGATGCGATCAATCCCGTTGACGGCGGGGAGAAAAGCAACAAAAATAAAAAAAATTCTCCCTTTGCTGGCGCTTGTCTGTCTGTCTGTCTGTCTGTTCTGGGCTCTTGCAGGGGCAATCATCCATGTCGATTGTCAAAGCCCGTCGTTGTACAACAGCATCCACTCGTCTTGCAGTAGCGGAGAAAACAAAAGAGAGAGAGAGAAAAATTAGCGGGATCCTCGGAGCATATGCGGCCGGTTTAATGATCCTGATCCTTGATCCTTTCTTGTATGTACCTAAGAATCGAAGTCCCGGTCGTTGGGTACAGTGCCCTTGGGAGTGTAGTAAAAAAGCTGGGCGGGTCTGGGGGTGTTTTTAATAATTAATAAGTACCTACAGATCTGTTTCGCGTGCAGAATATGAAATGTGAAATTTGATGGAGTAGTGCGCCGAGGTTTGTTTTGTTTGTTTGTTTGGGAGGCTGAAAGCTAACGAAGCGACGAAGCGGAAAATATCATATAGGGCCGACGACCGAGCATAGCCGAATTATATTAACAGTACCTGGTAGGGACTATATAGAGGCATTTTGTACAATAGAAGTAGGTAAGGTACCTAGGTAGGCAACTTGAAGGTAACCTGACTTGATAGGATATACATTATGTTGTTTTGTATATATGTTATGTACCTTGTTCTCTTTGCTGCTGCTACTGCTGCTGCTGCTGCTGCTGCTGCTGCTGCTGCTGCTGCTGCAATGAGAGATATGTAGGGCTTAGGTTACCTAGTTGGAAAGGTTAGGTAGGTACCTGTAGGTTAAGTAGATGTAGTTGCTACTTACTTACCTTACTACTACTGCTACTGCTACTACCAGTTCTGCAAGCGGCCTCCTAATTCTTTATAGATAGGTTTTCGTCCTGTAATGAGAAGTAGGACTGCACTGCGAGAGAATCGCGTGCGAAAAAGAAAAAAGGCAAAGGACAAACGGGAAGGAGAAAATGTTTTCTGTATCAAACCACATACATGCAAATGACCGTAAGGTAGGTAAGGTAGGTACATATGTACAAATAGAACGAAAAAAACATGCAAATGAAACCCGACTGACCGACTGATAAAGATACATACATATATAAGATCTCCCACTTCCGTCATATCCGCAGACGCCTCGCGGCTGCCAGAACCCAACACATGCACCCCATACAGGGATGATATATGTCCCCCTCGATCGATCGGACGACCATCACGCCCGGCGTTCGAGAATGACGGATATCCGATCCAGCGCGGGTCCGACGCTGGCGCCTCTCTTGGGAGATGAAGGCGCCAGACTGCCCAGATTCAGTTGAGCGGCGTTCGCTGACACGCATCGTTTGTGGACACGCGACGAGGAGGTATCCGCGATGGGAGAAACAAGTTCTTGTAGATCAGGCACCACGTCGTCTTGCTCCTGTGAAGATGGGTCTCGACTGTTATTCTCTGTTGCTTCCTGACTTTCAAAGTTGAAGGCAAACGCCGTCTTCATCTCATCATCTGTATGTTGCTCATTATTGTCCTGTGATTGACCCTCGGTGATAATTCCTAAACCCTGCGCCGCAGGCTCGTGGTAGCCGCTATCCGCGGAGGGCGATCCGTGGGCCGAGGATGATCGTTCCGGGAGGCCGGACAGATCCCAGTACTGGATCTGATTTCTGGGGGCCGGCCTATACTCTGCGTAGGGAGTGAAGATTGGACTGAGGGGAGTCAACGAACTATACGCAGACGGCGGAGGCGCGTATAGGCCCGTCCAAGGGGTCGTCCACGAGGAACTGTGGTACGATATGAGTTCATTGAGTTGTTGCAAATCATCGTGGAGGTAAAACTGGCCCAACTCCATCTCGGAGATGGTTCTTTTAGTCAGAACGCGGGTGTATTGCCATTTTTTGCGTTGATCCCTCGTCAGCTGTCGTTCCTGGCGTTCAGCGAGTACTCGTTCCGCTTTGGAGAGCTTCTTGTACAGCTTGCTAAGCATCTGGTGTGTTCGTGCAAGCTCTGCAGTAGATTTGTGGTGCTGCTCATGCAGCACACTCAGCCTGTTAGGAGCTTGCGCTGGGGACAGCATCTTGAGGCGGCGCTTGTCTGAGCAGATTGGTCGGCTGTGTGGTACGCGAGAGCCCGGCTCGTCGCGCAAAGGTAATAGCGTATAGAAGAGGAGAGATGGTGGGGCTTCTATGTGCGCTTCAGTTTGGGCAACAGGTTCCTTTTAGTATGGCTTTTGTGCTGATCGTGGCACTCGAGAGAACCAAAGGAGAAGAGGCTATTCTAAGTTATCGCCGCGGTGGCTGTATGTCCACAATGGATCCCTTTGAGCTCCGGTAATTGCCATGAGATAGGCTGTCATGATCTGCTTTCGGACAAAGAGGGACCTTTGCGCACACCCACCCTATCTCATCACATTGTCACTGGTATTTGGAGCTCGCAAGATGACCACGAGCGCTCCCGTTGGGCCACGGACGAGATGCGTGGTACTCGAGTACACCCTAAAGTCGCACCCAAATCGTGGCATTGCCGTATCCGGTGCTTGACACGCGACACGTAGTCAGCGAGTACAACAATGCACGAGTATCAGTTTGCAGACAAGCGAGCTGCAACTTCAAACAAAGAAGTTCGCCAAGATACGGTAGGTGTGAGTGGATTCCTGATGTACACCCAGCATTTCTGGCTTTGAAACACTCCACGCCAGATCGTCGGTTGCGTTCCAGATCGGAAAGCGACAAGTTTGTCCACTGCTTCGGTCTCGATATATGATCGGGTGTGTCGCTCCGGCGGTCGAAACGCGATTTCCAACGCGACCGCGCTGGATTGTCAACTAGGAACACATATTATTTGCGACTTTACACGTCGTCACATGCTGCCGGTAGGTCATCGGCTGGTGCATGATCGACATGCCTCTGCGTCCACTCACGAATGGGGAAATCGTCGAATGTATGGCCGTGATATCAGCCTCGGATATGAACATGGTCCAGACATGTCCGAATAGTTCGATTCAGGCGAAGCCAGCATGCTCTGATACCTCGTTGAAGCGCCAGAGACCGGCTTCCTCAGCAGCCTTCCTGACGCGGTCTACTTCGGCGAGGCTGACAGCTCGGTTGATGTCCTGGTATCTGACCTCTTTCTTCGCCTTCTCTGCAGCAGGTATACCGCCTGGTTCGACTATGCCAGCTGTCGCGCCTGTGGCATTGCCTCTTGTCGTCCGCCTCGCTTTGCCCACATGCGCCCTGGGGTGGTACTGCTCCATGATATGGACATACAAGTCTCTACTGACGTTGTCTGCCAACCATTTCACGATCTGTTCGCCCTCGTTTCCTAGTCCTGGCATCACGAGATGCCTCAAGAGGACTCCCCTTTTGGCGATGCCGTCCGCGGTGAATGCCAGATCTCCTACTTGAGCGTGCATCTTGCGGATGGACTCCATTGCAGTCTCGCGATAGTTGTCGGCTTTGAGAAGGCGCTTGGCGCTCTCGGAGGTCCATACCTTGAAGTCGGCCAAGTAAATGTCCACGAGGCCGTCCATCAGCTCGAGGCTTTCTAGAGAGTCGAAACTGGACGTGTTGTACACGATAGGCGCGGTGAGGCCGAGACTCTTCGCATGGAGGATGGCTAATGCGACCTGCGGTACGACGTGTTCTGGCGTCACGAAGTTGATGTTGTGCACGTTTCCGACCTGAACCATCTCGTCAGTCCATCCATGCCCATATCATGTGCTCGCCTCCCTACCTCCTGAAGCTTGATCAGCCATTCGCCCAGCTGCTCTGGTGTCAGGTCGAAGCCATTCTTCTGATGCGCTATATCATGGTTTTGGCAGAAGACACCTACAACGCTCAATTCAGCCGTGTTCATGTGCTACTCACTGCCTCTGAGTCGGCTGATCAATCATTACATCTCAAGTTACATCCACTGAAGAAGACACTGCCGCTGCCATTGCGCCCCGATATGCACGGCTCCTCAGCGAAGTGGGGAGCGATGGTGTTGACCACGACATCGCTACCAATGAGGCATGTCCCCCTCTTCTCGAAGCGGTTGACGGAGCACAAACGAGGGCAGAGATTGCATTGTCGCAGATGTGCATAGGCCAGCGAACGCTTCTTCGCTTCCTGTACCGACGTGAGGAGCTGGTAGCGCGGTATGTACTCGTCCAGGAGGTATGGACCGGAAATTGAACTCCTGTGTCTAATGGCAGTCCCACGAAATGCAGCGCGAACAGGCTGCAAACTGGGGCGTACTCTCATACTGTGTGCAGTCCTAGAAGACAAGTATGGAGAGAGTAATTGTGCATGAGGTGTCTTTGGGTGTGGGATGTGGGCAAGACACGCTTGGAGTTGGAGGTTCATTATCCGATTATCGTGAAGGACGGACCGCGGGCCGCTTCTCCCGCATCTGCGCCACTCGTCGAAGCAGCATTAATCAGCAAACGATATAGAATCAGGTACATGCTTCTCCGTGATGATGGCTTTCCCTCCACTACCCAACAGACAACATTTCTTCCATTGTAAACCATGGCGCCCTCACTGGAAGAGCCGGTGCAGTCGGTCGACACGGCCGTCGACGAGGCACTGAGCTCCAAGCCAACGCTCATTGCCGCCGAGCCAGAAAACTGCCCGGGACCCGAAGGCGAGCAAGCAGGCAAAGCAGACGCCTGTGCAGGCTGTCCGAACCAGCAGATATGCGCATCGGCGCCGAAGGGACCTGATCCGGACATTCCCATCATCACGGAGCGGTTGTCGGGAGTGAAACACAAGATTCTGATTCTTTCGGGCAAAGGCGGCGTGGGCAAATCCACTTTCACCACCATGCTCGCTCACGCTTTCGCTTCGAATCCCGACAATACCGTCGGCGTGATGGACACCGACATTTGTGGACCCTCGATACCTAAAATGATGGGTGTCGAAGATCAGAAGATCCATGTCGCGAATACCGGCTGGGAACCGATATGGGTCACCGACAATCTGGGAGCAATGTCTATTCAGTTCATGCTCCCGAATAGAGATGACGCCGTGATCTGGAGAGGACCAAAGAAGAATGGACTGATCAAGCAGTTTTTGAAGGACGTCGAATGGGGTGAGATGGACTATCTGCTTGTCGATACGCCGCCAGGCACGAGTGACGAACATCTATCTGTCAACAGCTATCTCAAGGAAAGCGGTGTCGATGGAGCAGTTCTGGTGACCACGCCGCAAGAAGTCTCTCTTCTAGATGTGAGAAAAGAGATTGACTTTTGCAGAAAAGCCGGCATCAAAGTGCTCGGCTTGGTGGAAAATATGAGTGGATTCGTCTGCCCGAAGTGCACGCACCAGTCTGAGATCTTCAGAGCGACGACTGGAGGTGGCAGAAGATTGGCAAAGGAGACTGGTGTACCCTTCCTAGGAGCTGTGCCGCTGGACCCTAGAATTGGCATGGCGTGCGACTATGGAGAGAGTTTCTTCGACAACTATGGTGACTCGCCCGCCTGTAAGGCCTTGATCGACGTTGTTCGAGGCGTGGCAAAAGAGATTGGCGAGAAACCCGAAGATGTGCTACCCGATGAGTGAACTTATCGCTGCAGCCACGATACTCGTGTCGTGGCCCGGCGGCGTTCGCTTCCCTGACTCTACCTCCTTCATTCAAATCGACCCAGGCACTTCGGGACACCTAGGTCGCCTATGCCGGCATGGATTTCAGCAAAGCGATTCCGACTAGCATGATGTCCTGCCCAACTGTCCTTTCCTGTGGCACCCGCAGTGGATTATATGAGGACATATCTGGCGACCGGGCTGCAGCGCAAATCTACTTGGCGCTGACTTCTGGTATGCACCAGATAGCAAGTCAAAAGAATTGCTCGCTCGATTGGTGCGCTGTTTGCTAGAACTACGACCTTCATTTCCAAGCAAGAGTCCACACAAAATGCCTATCCTTTGACAGCCTACGGTGCTAGAAGGCGTCATCAGCACGACTTGCGCACCCTCCGCTGCATCTTATATGCAGCCATCACGGCTATACACGACTGATTATTCATAGAAGACTTCATTGCAAGCATACTTGCTCATTTTCGATCCCGCGTCAACCACAGTCCTCTTCTCATCGACGCCTGTGTGAGCACAAATCTATGTGCCTGGCTAAGAGGCCCTCTCCCCCCTTCCCCTGCAGGATTACTAGAATACACCCGCCATACCATAGAGTCTTTCACTGATCAACCTGGATGACTTCTCTTTGTTGTAATCCGCCACCTCCATCCGAGAATAGTGTTCGAGACCGCCCTCGTGCGGCTAGGCTTTGTTCCACAGTGCTCGACAATCTGCTTTCGAACGTAAATCACTGGCCACCTCTTCAGGGAATTGACAATACAATCTCCACCTTTTGACTTTTTTTTTCAACCAGCTTACCGGTGTACGATCCATTCCAGTATCAACAAGTAAACTTTCGTGCTCACTTTCTCGCTACCAACCACTCGATTACGTTTGGCAGCTCATATCAGACTTCTGGGGCACACAGCTGCAACGACTGGACTCGATAGACCAATAGATAGTATGATATACTTCAAGTCTACATTGTGCGCTGTGCTCAGTACATCACTACTGGTGATGAGCTTCAGCGATGCCACACCAGTCACGAATCATACCGTCTCGAAGAGAGGTCTGGCAGTACCCATCATGGGTGGCGTCAACTTTCCCGATCCCGTAAGTGAAGCCAACGACCGAAGCTACCCATGCTCGCTAGATCAGATCCAGACACTAATGTTTGAGAGCAGGCTGTAATCAGAACATCTTCCGGCTGGCACCTCTTCAGCACCAACGCTCTCGTCGACGGCAAATGGATCCACGTCCAACGAGCCTCAACCACCGATTGGAAAACCTTTAAATTCCACCGCGGAGTCGACGCCCTCCCCAAACTCCCCTCATGGGTCGCAGCCTCCCCTCGCGTCTGGGCCCCCGACGTCTCCGTCCTTCCCGACGGCACATTCATCATGTACTACACGGCAGCCATCAAATCCTCTCCTTCCATCCACTGTCTCTCCTTCGCAACAGCCGCCAAAATCACCGACCCTTTCATCGACTCCAGTTCCGCCCCCTGGATCTGTCCCTCCAAATCCGGCGGCGCAATAGACATTTCCAGTTTCACCGACGAAAAACACCCTCCTCCTCCTTCTGCAAACAACAAACAACCACCATTTCGAAGATACATCGTCTACAAAATCGACGGCAACGCAATCGGCCACGGAGGCGCTTGCGGAAATACCGTAAAACCAATAATCCCCACTCCCCTCCTCCTCCAAGAAGTTTCTCCCCACGACGGCCACACTCTGATCAACGGCCCTCCCATCCCCCTTCTCACCAACAGTCTCATCTCCGACGGCCCCTATATCGAAGCACCCAGTCTTACCTTTTTTCAAGGAAAATTTACATTATTTTTCAGCAGTAATTGTTATACGAGTGAGAAATATGATGTGCAATATGCCACTGCGGAGAATATTCGAGGCCCGTATACGAGGCAGGGACAGGTTTTGAGGAGTCATGGGCCGTTTGGGTTGTTGGCGCCTGGAGGGTTGGATGTCGCGATTAATGGGGAGAGGGTCGTGTGGCATGCGGGGAAGAATCCGAGGAGAGAGGTTTTTGTTGGGAGGTTGCAGGTGAAGAAGGGGAGTGGTGGGGGGCAGGTTGAGATTGTTTTGTGAGAGTCTCTTTTTCTTTTTTGGGGGGGTTTTTGGTGGAGATGTATATGTATGTATATGTAGGATGATAGGGAATGTGTACGTATATGTAGACAGACTGGTTGATGATATATAAGGATATCTCATTATTGAACCACTCTTGAGAGATATCTACCTATTTAATTAACAGGCGATAAGTCTCTCAGGGATAGCAGGAGGAGAATTGACCATATTATTGCTCGCTCGTAGCCAATTTGTATACAGTATATCAAGAACAACCCCTCAAGGAATAAAAAACCCCCCAGCCAAGAGACGGAAGAGACGGAGGATTCAATCAAGAGTAAGGTAAAATCACGACTCGAACCCGGACAAGGCGGGCATGTGCCTAGGTAGCCAAGAGGCTGAGGGCTGAGGCTGCGACGGGAAGGCATTGATCCGAGTAAGGTCCTTCGACTAGTGTCCGGGCCCCCGTGGCGCCTGAATGGAAGAATGTACCTTATTTCACGGCTGCAGTAGACCAGGCACGCGATGACTCTGCCTTGTCTTGTCTTGTCTTGCTCTCTAATTCGAATATTGTTTACAACTCGAAATCATACTGCCTAATCTTACCTTAAGGTATTAATCAAAAGATACCTAAGAAAAGATGTATACATCTCCCCAAATGCCAAGACCACCTCCGGATGAAAAGGGCAAGCCGAAATCCAAATGTGGCGCAGATTGTTGGATGGCAGTGCAGATCTCACCCTCTATCCCGGTACACGACACGGCTGTGACGCAGGTTAGGTTAGGTTGCAGGCCCAAAAAAAATGCATATGTAAGAGGTACATATCTACCTTTTCGTAGCGCGCGTGGCAGTCCAGGTGAGGTAAAAGGGTAATGTACTGTACCTCCTCAAGGTCGTGTGAGACGCGTCCCAAGCTATTCCTTTTTCTATCCTTATCCTATTGAACTACCTCTCTCTCTCTCTCTCTTCTCTCTATCTCTTGTTGTGTGCCTCACCAACAAACCAAAAAAGGGGAAAAAGATCTTGTGTTGACACGACTATTGTTGACCGAGCGAGAGTGTGAACATCACCGCTTCCCCCCTCCGAAATCATTCCTATCGTCATCGCCCCCTCCCCCCAGCCCCGAGTATCAGCCGCAAAAACAACAAACAATTCGTCATGACCCGAGTCTCATACACCAAAATCACACCTCTACCCTCCAATGTACCGCGCCAACTCGCCGTGGAGCTGCTCCACGCGCACGAAGAAGTCATCAAACTCAATCCCCTCGTAACGGGAGTCAAAGGCATCGAAACCCCACGCGACAGTCCCAACGACGAGTACTTTTCGCAATGGTACGAGATTTCCGAAATTATCACCTGGGGCTTTGGGATGAAGAAGAAGATTCTCTTCAAGGGAGTTTTTCACGATCAGCCATGGGGCATGCAATCGCATGTGTATGCGCCCATGGGCGTGGACTTGAGGAATAAATATCGTATTGGTGGGAATCAGCCGGGGGAACCGCGAGAGCCGAGGGAGTTGGGCGTGGATACGCCGCTCGATGGATTGTATTTGAGAGAGGATGTGGAGATTGTGTGCAATATTGCTTTGGCGAGCTTCGTCAAGAAGGAAACCAAGGATGCGACGGGGAAGATGATTGCTCGACTGGCCAAGAAGGCGGAATTGCTGGATGAAGGCAAGCTGCATGCCATGTTCGAGAATGGCAGACTGAAAACGGCGAAACCGAGCGCCTTCAGCGACCGTGGTGACGATGCGCACAGTCTCGCGCCGAGCAGTCCTGGTGCGTTCCCCTTTGCGCCAGGAAGTCCGAGCCCAAGCATGTCCTCTGCAGGTTTCGGGCCCCGACTAGATCAGCGTGGCTACGGGAATTATCACGAGATTAGGAGGTCTTCGAGTCAGTACGGCGGATCGAGTCAATATGCGCCTGCATACCAGCAACAAGGCTACAACGGTCCAGAAAACACACGACCTGGTGCATCACATAACATGCCCATGATTAATGAGCTCCCAGGCGATTACTACCAACATCAAGGCCTACAACCTCACCCATTGAAGCCACAGGGCCAGGTCTTCCGCTCAGAACTCCCAGGCGACAACAGTTTCAGTACGGGGACCGGAACACCCTCGCCTCAGCCATCTCCAGGCCAAGCACCCGCAGATTTCGAAAAGGGCCCGAATCGGCAATACCACCCATACGCGACTCCACCTCAGCAATACGCGAACGAGCGCAATCATAGTGTTTCCACACAAGGCGGTTACCACGCCTACGCGAACTCCGACGTCTCCCAGCGCAACTTCAGTATGCACGGCAGTCCTCGCCAGAATCCATCCGACTGGCAAAGTCAACAACAGTCTCAATACTACAACGGCAACGGCGTCGGTCAAGCCATCTCCACAGACGAAGGCCTGACCGCTCATCGATATTCCGACCCCAACGGTCCTCCCTATCCCAGCTCGAGACCTCCAAGCGAATTGCAGTCGGAACCCGATCATCAGCGGTTCTCGCAAATGAGCGTACAGAGTGGAACTTCTTCTTCACAGCAACAAGCCGCGCAAAGTAGTGATAACGCTCAACCGACCATTCCCCCTCGAGACCCCAGGCGTGGTAGTAGTGCTGTCCGGTCGCAGTCTTCTCACGAGGGAAGCGTCTCTTCCAATCGAGGAGGAGGAGGAGCAACTACTGATACCCACGACAAAACTCCTTCTGCAGCAACTTGTCCCGTCTGTGGACTCTTCGAAGGCGATGAAGCCGCTGTGAGCCATCATGTCAGCAAGGCGCATTTTGCATGACGATTCGGCTGATTTGGCTTCCTCTTGCTCTTCCTCTACTTCTTCTCCTTGTTCTTCTTCTTCTTCTTCTTGAATTTCCTAAGAGAGGGAAAACCCAGTACCACCTAAGCAACGATTTTAACGAACAACTAGGTGGATGTTTTTTTCAAGTGTTTACGAGTGTTATGAAGGATGATGGATGAGATGACCTTTTTTTGCGTATTGTTTGGGAGAGGAAGGAGGAAGGAAGGAAAGAAGGAAGGAAGGAAAGAAGGAAGGAAAGAAGGAAGGAAGGAAGGAAGGAAAGAAGCAAAGAAGGAACGAACGAGGAGATACCCCCCCTTTTTTGAGCTTTTTACAACGAAACTCGGTCTGTTTTTCCGTTCGATTCTTGTATATATCTTCCATGTCATTTTATTACTTTACATTTGTTTTGATGTCAAACTCAACTATGTACCTTATCTTGGGCTTTTTTTCTCGTCATGCTCTCTACCTTCAAGGGCCTTGTCTACTTACCAGGTAAGTTTCCGTTGACTTTGGGTACGGTGGTCAAAAGTGGCAGTTTGGTTTGTATGAGGCCGGTATAAGTGGTATTGAATATTTTGTTCGTGTACAAATAAACCTACCTGACCTGACCTACCTTACCTTAGGTGTTGTTATTCAGTGACAAGCTGAGTAAACGAGTCAGCAGCAGCAGCAGCAAGCAGAAAAAAAGTTCGATACTACATGTAGGTACCTTGGATATGTGTGACATGTATACCTAGGTATCTAAAAAGTAGGTAGGTAGTCATCTTGAACAAACTACCTACCTACCTATACCTACCTAGCCTTACGATGAATCAATCAATCATGCCATGTCATGCCCTCCCTTTACTGATGCACATAAACCATTCCTCTCCGATCCGCACTCAAAATCATGCCAAACGGTCTCTCGAGAATTTTGACATCGGTAATCGTATCGAGATGTCCACTCATCAGATTCTGACTCGCCATTCGAATCGTCTCGTACCGACTCGTCGAAGCAGGTTTCTGCGACGAGGGAGAAGATGTCGTCGTCGTCGACTTTTTCGTTGAAGCGGGAGATGGAGAGGTGACACTGGCGCTCACGCCGGCAAGACCACCGTCGGCGGCAGTCGATGGGAGGGTCTCGGAGAGGATACGGCAGTCCATGCCGAGGGGAGTGAAGGTGTAGGATGTTTGGTGGGGGTCATCGGCAGAAGGAGGAGATGCATTTGCTCCTCCTCCTCCTCCGCCAGAGACGAGTCGACAGCCTTCCAAACGCTCCGTATCCCAGAAGCGAACTTTGCCGTCAGGACCACCGGAGATGACATATGGATGTTGGATATCCGAATCCTTGGCTGAAGGCTGTGCTCCAAAGAATGTCACTGTGCTAATCACAGAACTAATGCTATCTTCCCCACTAACACGTCCGAGGAGAGACTCGACGTTCTCGTCATCCAGATTCTTCAGTTCATAGTCGCGTATGTTGTTCTTCTCTTCCCCGCGCGAAGATGCTGTTCGGATGACCTCCAGGCAGATGCACTTCTCCGCGTCCCACACGGTGATCTCACCGGGAGCTGTACCTCCCGTGACACAAAATCTGTTTCGTTTTGAGGATCGCCGGCTTGGGTGGAGTTGAAGGCGCGTAATTGGTGCAGCTTTTGGAAATGTCCACGATCGCAACTTGCAGTGGAATCGCAGGTCCCAAAGGTCGAGGATACCCAACGTTGTGCCTACAAGGAGCCAGTCGTGTTTGCGGCCCATGCAGAAACTCGTGGGCATGCCATGGTGCGCAGGGTTCTGAAGATCGCAAATGATAGACATGTATCGCAAGTCGACTGCAAGGATACGGCCCAGGTTCGTTGCTAGAACTAGCGTACTTGCCGATTCACCTCGGAAGTGCTCCGACCAGATTGCATATTCTCCCGCTGGGTGTGTGGTAGGTATTTGCCACTCCCTGATGATACGAAGCTTGCCATATCGCGTGCCCTTGTCCTGGGAGTCGACGACGTCTACTCGGATCACATGCACCGATCCATCGGAGCCCGTACATACGAAGGAGTGGGTGGCTTCGATGAAACATAAGCTGGAAATGGCGACGCCAGACTCGAGTTTGTAGGACTGACGAGAGCGATACGTAACATTGCGTTCCAAACGTGAAGTGTCCCAGACTCTGACAGAGCTGTCATCTGATGCAGTCAAGAAGAAGACATGATCAGGAGCCACGGCTATGTGTGTCACCCTGGCTGTATGCTCGCCAAGGACTGCTATCAATCGTCCCTGTGGTCTCCATGGTCCTGTCAAGGGGTGATTTACGTTCGTCGGGATGGCACCGTTCACTGTTTGAACAAAAGGGCCAAAGTCTGCTGCGTCGAGCGGAAAATTGTCAACATACACTGCATCGAGCACTTTCAACACTGTTGGGTCGTTTCCAGTGTAGTTGTGACCATGTCGCTGATTGGCTGTCCTCTCCGCAGCCTTCCTGTGTTCCGCGGTCTCCTGCATCGGCGACGGGCGCCGGCTTTCTGAGCGAGGCCGATCAAGTTTGCCATGCGCTGTGGTGTCATTAGTTGCGACTGCAGCTTGTGCTTTGTTTACACCACCCAACAGCCCACCAGCATTGCCCTTTTGGCGGAGGGCATGATCCACATTCCCTAGAAGGCCAATGCCTGTGCTGGGAGAAGAGGACAGACTGGCGGTTTTGTTATGTCGAAGTCGTGACATGGTCTCAGGAATCGGAATGGCGGACTGTGCTGAGCCATCAACTCCGCCAGGCTCCGCAGAGCTTAGCTCGAGAGCAGCGATCTGCTTATTTTCAGCCCTCGATGCCTCTTCAATGGCTTCTGCTATAGTCCTGTTCTGCTTTTCGACTCTTTGCTCATATGCACTGAGATCAGAATCAAAAATGACAGTCTGAGGCTGAATCTTGAGGCCAGACAAGCTCACGATTTGCTCGTAGACTGCGTCAGTCACTTCTGAGTCTTCTCTTTTGGCTCGCTGTGCAGATCGCCACAAGTACTCTCGGAAAGCCAGAATCTTCATTTCATCCTCGCCTCGCATGCCTGCGTTCCGCAAGCGTCCAAGCCACTGTTCGTCCTCGTCAGTTTTGGGCAGTTTGGCCAGCGCTTTGGGACCTAGATCTGTCACAGATGATTGCGGTGGCATCTGACCTGTTGCAGCATACGAGAGCTGCTTCGACTCCCTCGCAGTTTTCCAGAACGCACTTTTGTCCACCTTGCCGGCCCATTGTGCAGCGAGATCGAGGACAGCCCGAGGTAGAGGTTTCTTTAATGCGTCCAATAGCTCGCATTCCGTTAGACTCGCCACTGGCACTTTGAGATAAGGCTGGATCAGAGGAGCAACAAGGATGCGGACGTCTGCCAGCGACAAGTAGGTAGTGGCTGCCGAGACAAAGTGAGACGCTGCTTCCTTGATCCACAGATTGGGGTGCATCTCGAAGCGAGCAACAGTGTCAATCAGCTCCCAAGTCTTCGCACGTTGCAGTAAGCCAACTTCGGCCATGGTTGCTAAAGACCTGAGTGCCTGCTCAACGACAAACTCCTGTGGATCGGTCAGAGCCTGCAGCATGAGGGGCAGAACAAAGTTTTCCACATTGGCGCCTCCAATGTAGACAGCAATGCCAACGATCGTCTTGAAGAATGCACATTTCAGCAGCCAGTCCTGGTCGTTGAGATATGTGTTCAGGTGGCTGAGAATTACATCTGCTGATCTTGCCTCGCCAAAGAAGACACATAGACTTGAGACAGAAGTCAGAAATGCCCGTCGTACTGCATTGTCAGTGTCAGTGAGGAAAACTTTGGTCTGGCCTTCGAATTGTTCCAGCATTTCGGTACGAGTCGCATCGAAAGCTTCTGCGTTGGCGACGGTATCTATACCTAAGCCGTCTCTATCAACCGAGGGCAGTGAACCGTCAGCCCGCAGCGCCTGCATGACATCCAGGAAGTGCGATGCTGTGTCGGCCAGGCTCGCCAAGCAAGCCGCATATGTTGCTCGGACCAGCGGATTTTGCGTGAATCCTTTGCTTTTCACGAACGACTGCAGCCTTGGGAAGATATACTGCGTGAACAAGAAGGTGTTGACAGGAGAGACCACTTTCACCAATGCGAGAAGTTGCGTCATGGTCCTCAGCACAGCCACCAGTACCATCTCGTTGGAGTCGTCGAGGAGTGGCATTACATAGGGCAAGATCCGGTCCAGTTTCGCTTCATCAGGGAGATGCTCTGCAAAAGCTAGTAAGAGCTCGCATGCACGCATCTTCGTAGCCGCTCGAGCCGAGCTTCGCATTGAGGCAGTGATGACATTGAGGAGTATGAAAGTGCCATGGTCTAGGGAACCAACTTCAGCTGAATAAGCAGTATGTCGTCTGTTCGGTAGATCGATCTGCAGCGGGAAGAGCCCACGAAGGTAGGCCGGTCTTGGTATATCTGACCTGGGTGGCTCTGGATCTTCATAACCCAGCGATACAGAGAGCATTTCGAAATCTTCGTATATCTTATCAATGCGGTCATCCGCCTGGCCATTGTTCACATCGCCCGCAGCCACGGACTTTCGACCAAAACTCGGATCTGTGATCTCACCCAGCAAGGTGTGCAGGTGATTGTAGAAGTAAAGAGGAAAGACCTTGCCTTTGTATTCCTCCAAATAATCGTCTGCGTGCCAACGATCTGATGGCTCGAGCTTGAGCATAATAGTAATCATTGCGCGCAAGTGGTCATCATCGATCTTACTCAGCAATGATACAGTCGGATCGTACTCTCCTCGCTTGTATTTGTACATTTGCTCGAGGGTAAAAGTGGGCGCCTCTGTGAAAAGCTCGGCAAGCACGCATCCCAGACTGAAGATGTCCATGTTCCACTGGACCAGATTGCCCTCCTGCGGCTCCTTGCCTTGATAGAAACGCTCTGGCGCCAGGTTGCATATGCGACGGCCTGTAGTATCGTAGTAAGCTGTGAAGTCGGCAGGATTGTAATCTGGCAGATAAACTGGCTTGAAGGACGAGGCGAAGTCTGTCAGGTACACCCATCCCCAGGAGGTGGCCAGCACGTTCTCAGACTTGATATCGCCATGGTAAACCCCACGATCATGGCAGTCCTTGACCGCACACAAGAGCTGAAAGGAAATCCACTTCTTCTCGATATCTTCCAGAAACGGCCGGATGCTGATTCGATCATACAGGGAAGTGTGAATGTACTGCCGCACAAGAACACCGATAGTGCTGGTTTCCCGAATGCGAGCATACGGCAAGACATTGGGAATGTCCTTGAGTAGCCTTCGTTCTTGTTTCAGTGCTTTGACATAATGCTGAAAGGATACATCGGGCCCCTTCTTCGTGCACACCTTGGCGACAACGATGCCGTCGTGATGCCTCGCTCGGACAGTTCGTAGGTAGCGTCCGCCACCCAGTGGCTTTTCAAAGGTGAGGTCGGATAGCTCCGACGTCTCGATAGCACTAGGAGCTGGCAGTGCTATCGACGAATTCCCTTGTCCCATGCCTCAGAAGCCTCGTCTCAAGTCATGTGCTGGCGGGCAGGTGTCGACGCGGCTTGTTCTCGCGCATCGTGTTGCTTCGAGGATACTGGTGCAGCTGTGTGGAATTGTTTCATCAAAGGTTGCCAGAAGGAAGAAGTCAGGTATGCATAAGGTACATGTACGTTCAAGTCCACATCATTCACTTTGGATGTTCACCAAGTCGCCTGACACGTCCAGGCGCGTGGAGTAATGCTAAGATGGATGTGGATGGTCGGGACGAGGGGAGTGGAGGCGTTTGGTGGCCACGACTTCTGCGCTCCACGACTTGTGGCTATCGGCTATCACAAGCGAGCGTGGAGTCATCCATTGAATGGAAGATTTCTGAATTGGAGGTTGGTGGTGTCCACTCTGGAAGGCCTTCAATACCAACTCGCCTTACATTCATTTCTGCCTACCTAAAACATCGATCCAGCAAAGATGGCCGTCAATGGGACCACCAACGGCGAATTGCCTCAAGCACCGCACAAACTCTTCGATACCATCCTCGTCCTCGATTTTGGCTCCCAATACACCCATCTGATCACACGCCGACTTCGCGAGCTCAATGTCTATTCTGAGATGCTGCCATGCACACAGAAGCTGAAGGACCTCGACTTTACACCCAAAGGAATCATTCTCTCTGGCGGGCCCTATTCTGTCTACAGCCCAGATGCTCCCCACGTGGATGAGGCGGTGTTCCAGCTGGACGTCCCCATTCTCGGCATCTGTTATGGTCTGCAAGAGCTGGCTTGGCATCATGGTAAAGGAGTTGCTGCGGGCGAGAAGAGGGAGTATGGCAAGGCAACCTTGCAGCTACAGAAGCACGCGGGCAAGAGCGCACACATCGACAAATTGTTCGAGGGCTTAGAGAACGAGGTTGTTTGGATGTCACACGGTGACAAGGTCTCGAGGCTTCCAGACAATTTCCATACCATCGCAAGCACTGCCAATGCACCATTCGCGGGCATTGCACATGATACCAAAAACCTATATGGCATTCAATTCCACCCTGAGGTCTCTCACACCCCCAAGGGCATTCAGCTCATCAAGAACTTCGCTGTTGGAATCTGCAAGGCACAGACAAATTGGACCATGGGCGCTTTTGTCAATCAAGAGGTGGAAAGGATAAGAACTCTTGTAGGAGACAAACAGCAAGTCATCGGTGCCGTCAGTGGTGGTGTTGACTCCACCGTAGCAGCCAAGCTCATGCAGACTGCAATCGGTAAGTTTGTTGATCGCTACACGGCAGGCACCCTCCGTTATTTGTCTGGCATTATGCATCTACAAAGCAGATCGATACTTGAAAAAGGCGTGAATCTTGCTAACTGTCGCAGGTGACCGTTTCCACGCCGTCATGGTCGATAACGGCTGTCTGCGACTCAATGAAGCAGTTGAGGTGGAAGCCACGCTGAAGGAAGGACTCAAAGTCAACCTTACAGTGATAGATGCCAAAGATCGCTTCCTCGGCAAGCTCGCTGGTGTTTCAGACCCAGAGAAGAAGCGCAAAATCATCGGCAACGAATTCATCGAGATCTTTCAGGAAGAAGCCAAGAAGATCGCTGCTCGCGCCGAGAATACAGACCGGGCTGGCAAGGTCGAATGGTTCCTCCAGGGCACTCTCTACCCGGACGTGATTGAGTCGATTTCGTTCAAGGGACCCAGCGCCACAATCAAGACACATCACAATGTTGGCGGTCTGCCCGAGAAGATGGATCTCAAGCTCATCGAGCCTCTCCGTGAGCTCTTCAAAGATGAAGTACGCGCTCTGGGCACCGAGCTTGGTATCCCAGAGAATCTCGTTTGGCGCCATCCTTTCCCAGGTCCCGGTCTAGCTATTCGCATCATTGGTGAAGTCACTACAGACCGCATCCGCATTGCTCAAGAGGCAGACAAGATCTGGATCGAGGAAATCAGGAAGGCCGGTTTCTATCGCGAAATATCGCAGGCTTATGCTGCAGTACTGGGAGTGAAGTCCGTGGCTGTCGTGGGAGACCAGAGACTTCATGGCGAGATTGTGCACCTTCGTGCCGTACAGACTACCGATTTCATGACTGCCAATGTCTTCACTGGAGCTCCTATGGATTGGTTCGCAAGCGTAAGTGATCGTATCGCGAACGAGGTTCAGGGCGTGGCAAGAGTGGTGTATGAGACTACCAGCAAACCACCTGCCACTATTGAATTGGAGTAACGAGCTCGAGCATGGAGCGAAAGCATCGGGGTTGTAAGGCGTTGGCAGGCATGAGAGGGAGTGGTACACCAATATGCTAGATAGCGAGGCGTTGGGTCGTGATGCAGAAGTTGAACCGTGAACAGCAGCATCCTATGATACCCCAGAAGCACAATGAAACATGATTATTAAACGAGTGTTGTGCTAGACTTCATTTCACTTCACTGTTTGCATCCCAGCAATTCACGAGACGCATCTTTTCATCATCCCCGTGACATTTCCTTGGTTTGCAAAGACTGTGATGTCGTTGCCAGGCCCACGAGATCCACAAAGCTGAGTGAACGTGAATGGCAGTCTGTGATACGGTCCGTGCCTGAGTGAGGTCATAATCACATCGTCATTATTGCAAGAGAGTTTTATAGCGGGCAGCTGTCTCATGCCCCATCTTTCAGAGAACACACACACACAGACCTGCATACACCAAAATCAAGCTCTGCAACACTTCGACATACCCGTCACACTTCAACTCACTCACCACACTTCAACCACCACCACCACCACCACTACCATGTCTTCAAACGTTGGCGACCGTCGCACTTACGAGGATGGTGACCAGGTACCTAGTGCCCCTCCAACCCTCCCTCGCATTGAAGGGACTGGGACGCTGATCAATGCGCAGAAAAACTACACCGACGCGGAGCTGAAGGCGCAGAAGGAGTCTGAGCGCTTCGACGAGGGCAAGAAGAACTCACACAACGCGACTGACGCAAAGGACGAGCGCTCCATTGCCAACCGCCTAGCTGCTGAGGAGAAGAAAGACCAAGAGCCGGACTCAGAGAAGAGCCAAGAAGCATTCGAATCGAAGAAGGACGCGACTTTGCCCGTAAGTCACAGCAACCACCAAGCACGGCAAAAGCATGTCCCGGCATATATGCGACCGACTGCGAGTTCGACTGGTCACCAGCATCAGCAAAGCTCTCGTTCGAATTCCAGGACATATCTCATGCAACCTGCGAATACCAGCAACCAAGATGAGAGGAAGTAGAAACTGATCAGGCATCGACAGGCCCGCAACCACGGCAACGAGCCCTCCAAGGGGGCCAAGATTGACCAGCAGCTTCGCGAGGAGGAGGAGGTGAGAGCCCGCGGCATCCTGCCATATCGACGAAAAATGCTAATCTTGTTCAGGCAATCCTCAAGAAAAAGGGTGATTTTGGCCCAGCTGCTTCAAACTAAAGCTTTCTGTTCTGTTGTTAGCATACTACCAACCAGCGTTGCCGCATAGAAAGAGGATTGGCAATACAGAGCCAGAAAACATCACGATGAGATGTGTAGATGATACCATTGGGCGAGGAAGCTCCAGATCGGCATATAGTCTGCCGCAGAACAGAGGATAAAACCAGGTTCTTGAATTGAGAAAAGTCTTGTCAGACCAGATGAAGTTTTACCCTGCCCAGCTCACGTTATTCCCTGTGTCACTACTACTTCCACTAGACAGCAGCACACCATTGACCTCGACCAGATGGATAAACTTGCTCGGTATGCACACAACAGCAAACCACTCCAAACTGTCACGCTTATGATTCCACCTGTCGGCAAAACCAAGTCAGCCACTTAAACCTTTAATTCTCAGCTCAAGAGAGAAAAGAAACTTCTACCTATCGTCAGAATCAAATCCCTAACACGGGAGAAACTTACCAATTCAACCCCTGTGTCGCACAATCCGTCGAAAACACAGCACATTCCCACCCAGGACTTCTCAAAATTGGAAACTTGATCCCTTTACCAAGTTCCACATATTCCCACTCAAACCGATGCAAATCAATCTTATACGTTCGAACATCTCTTCTTCTCTTCTTCAACAGCCTTCTACGATGTTCTGAAGTAGCCCACGCTGCAGAAGTCGTCGTCGAGACGAAGAGTGGAGAATTGAAAATTTTCGCAAGATGGCTTTCGTAGTCGTTGTTGTCATCGTCTTCGCTGACGTTGTGGAAATGGAAATCCGGCCCGTCGAGTTGTCGATCGAGGGTTAGGGGACTTATGATGTCTTCCCATGTGGCTCCGGTTTGTGTGCCTGTGTCGAAGTCTCCCGAGAGGTGGTTGGGGAGTGTGTGTGAGGTGCTGTCGGTCACGCGATAGAGGCAGGGAGGTTTGGGTGGTGTGGGTATTACTGTTGGACCTTGCATTTTTGGTTTTATTGCTGGTGGTGGTGGTGCTGTTGTTGCTGTTGTTGTCGTCGTTCTGAATTTTGTATATACACAGTAGGTAGGTCGGTAGGCTGGTAGATAGGTTGGTAGGTTGGGTGGTGGGTTGGTTGGTAGGTCAGGTAGATATGTAATTTTGCAATGTGGTACCACTCCAACAAGTATGCCAGACAGAGAGGGAAGGGGAGTAGGTAGTGAAGTAGTGAAGTAGTGAAGTACAGGTAGTAAGGTAAGGTACATGTACCTGACAGTAGTAATATTCCTTGCGATCGAATGACTAAAGTACCATACCCTACCCTATGTATATGATGACCACCATCTCACTTCCTTACTACCAGTGACGAGTCTGACGACTACCACTACTCACCCTATCTATTTTTTCTACACCCCCTTCCCTGATGTGATCATCCCAGTAGGTAGAGAACAAGCAAATTTAATAACGTATTCAATCAATCAATCAATCAATCAATCAATCACTCACTCACCCATCCACCTACCCGAAACGTCAGACAACCGACCGCGCGCACCCCCCCAGGCCCCAGGGGTTGGGCACTTTTCTTCTGGCGTGATTCCAAGGACCAGGTCTATGGTGGTGTGCGAACAGTTACGGGTCAGGTTCCCACCAAAAGCTTCCCAGCTTTTCGCAGATGGCCAGAAAGAAACCCTGTTGCAAGCTGCCGAAGTCTTGAACCAGTAATTCCGAGACAAAAGACTAGGGGGGGGTAAAGGCCATGTCCATTGGTATGATTGTGAATGTGCCGGAAAGAAATACCTTACCTATTCTATCTTTGAAGCCTCCCTAGGCCTCTTTAGGTAGTGGTGCGTGTCTGTGTGCACTGTGACTGTGTGTGTGTGTGAGGCAGTGTTGCCACGTTCTGGCCCTGTTCTATCCTGGGTTTGATGTTTCCCCCCCCTTTTTCTTTCGCTAGGAGGTAGGGGAGGAACCCATGCTTCTTCTCGAGAAGGCGATGCCGATGGCCCGATGATCCCCATCCCGCCGGGCCGAGTCGTGAGTTTTCGGTAAACTATTTCCACCTGGAAACCCTGCAAACTTGGGCTTGGGGGGGGGGGGATAGCATGGAATGCGGAACACTCCCCGAGGCGATAGTCATGCTACCGTCGATGATGATGATAATGACCTTTCACCGCGGAATTTTCATAGAGCGGAATCGGATACATTAGCGAAGGGAAGCGTATTGATACACGGTAATTTAATATGTCCTACGGGCCTGCCCGTTGGTAGCACGGTGTCGGCCAATTTTCGTACGAGGTATGTATGTACACACGCCGCGCGCGTGTACGGGTATTCTATCTCTCTTTCTCTATCTATCAATCTTCTTCTTCTTCTTCTTCCTACGAGGCTTCTTCTATCTCTATCTCTATCTCTATCTCCTCCTCCTCCTTCTCCTCCTCTCCTTCCCTCCCCCTCCCTTATCCTTGTCCTTGTCCTTGTCCTTAGGCTTCTCTTCTTCTTGTCCTTCTCTTCTAAATTTTGAAGGACAAGGATAAGGTAAAGAAGGAGGTAGTGGAGATGGAGATGGAGATGGAGATGGAGATGGAGATGGAGATGGAGATGGAGATGGAGATGCCTAGGAAGTAGGAAGAAGAAGCCCGGGAAGAAGAAGAAGAAGAAGAAGAAGAAGAAGAAGAAGAGAACGCCCGCGAGGAAGAAGACGTCCGAGAAGAAGAAGACGCCCGAGGAGAAGAAGAAGAAGAAGAAGAAGAAGAATATAGAGAGATAGAGATAGAGATAGATATGCGCGCGCTGTGCGCGCGCGAAAATTGAGATTGGTATAAATTCCGTACTACCAACGGGCAGGCCCGTAGGACATATTAAGACTATAGGCGTTAAAGTCTCGATCATCCCGGGCCTAGATCGCAACCTAGAAGAATGTCGAAGCCTGTCGCAGTTCGACCACAAGATTGGCATTGTTGACCCCGATCTCTCCGGTCTGATTGAACAGGCCAAGCAAGCTATAGGATTATCCCTCTTTGCACCTACTGCCCTAGGCTTTGCCGCACTGAGGGTATGCGTGCCTCGATGCGGGCTCCGGTAGTTGACGGTGCCCTGCGATGCCATACGTTTAGGGCGTACGGTAAGATACTCTTCGTCTCCAGGTGGTTCCGCCAGCATCCTCTTTCTCGTTCGTCTCCCGTCCTCCTAACAGCCTATGCCTCATATCTAGTGTGTTCGCTCGTCGGCCTCTTCTAGGTCCCGCCAGGTATCGGCCGTCTACTGGGATTTTGTTACGCCAGGCAGAGCCACGTTGATGAATGTTGACAGTCCCAGCACGATTCAGCCCGCAGCGTGCGAGATATGCTGACAGCACTTCTTTGGCGAACGCTCGACAGTAGCTTCCTGTTCGATTGGGGCACCTAGCCATCCATTACTGCAATGAGTCGGAGAACGAAGAACCGGATCGAATGCTGCCTATTTCATATACTGATCCCCAGCTCTGAATCGACCTATGCAAAATTTCAGGGCTTGCTACAGATGGCGATGTAAAGATTGTATGCGATAGCGTAGAAAACCGATGTGAGCTTGCGAACGAAGCAGCGAGTAGAATTCAGGACCAAGTCAAGTATGAGCCCCTAAAGAGGATGGCATTATCCCGTCCCGCCAATGAATGAGTCTGAGGTGAAAGTGTCAGCGATGTCGTTGAATCTCGTACCATTGCCGAGATGAGATTACAACACTGAATGTGTGTACTCGTAATCATGTAGTATTGCGTGTGTATCTAAAGAAGAAGAAGAAGAAGAAGAAGACTGTCTCGAAGCAACTGCATGTGCACGCTAGCTGTGTCACGTGTCTAAGTACGTCACGTGACCACAACGTCCCCTGTCACCAAACAACATCAACTACAACTGCAGCTCAGAGCTGCAATTCTTTATTAAACGCTAATCCGGTCCAGATTTCGAACTTGGGCTCCTACGTTCCAGTCAGCGCCGGGATTGCGTTGATGCCGACAGGGCGGCTACGCTTAAAGTTCAAACATCACAAAGTTTTATTGCTTCCTTCTACTGGTGCGTCAAGGAAATGTAAAGCTGGCCCTCATGTTGTCCTCTTCTGATTCCAGATCAAGGAAATGTACCGTCCAACGTTGGTGATCACTAATTCATGATCGCAGCATGGAGTGTCAGTGGTGTATATCAGTTCTCGGGCTAGGAGGATCGGGAGCTCGGTAATACTCAGCACGTTGAAAACGAGAAGCGCGTTGTCCATTTGATTATACCTATGTCTAGAGAAGAAAGACACGCAGTAGATTTAGCGAGGGAACTGTTCATTTTACTTTTTGCGTACAAAAGGAAACACTTGTCGTGAAAAGCGCTTCTCCGTGCCCGCGGAAGTGGATGTAAGTATGCAAAAGCAACGTCCAAACTCTCAGTCCATTTCCTTCTGCCCTGACCGGTCGAATAGTAGTTCAAAGGATAGTAGCCTAAGTATCTATACTTGCTGTCGCTTTGCAAGTCGCTTGCCGAATCTCGTACGCTAGCCCCGCGCCGTAGCTACAACGTCCGGACGAGTAGAGGAGTTATAATGTAGCAGGCCGTTAACTAGCAGTAGACTCGAAATTCAGAGCTGGAGTATACTAGACGATCTAGTAGCGAGAGGTGTGTATCGAAGATAACCGTCGTTCCTTCGCGCTTATAATCTGGTACAGATCCCTAGGCTGACGTCCTAAGTAGAAAAGCGACATTAAAGTTCCGTACGCGTTGTGCTGCTTATTTACTTCCTGCCTAGGATGCGCAGGCAGGGCGGAGTCTGCGTAATAGCCGTGCTTAGGTCTTGTATTGAACGCAAAAGTTCATGCAGACGTAGAGTTGAAGCTAGTCCTAAATGGCGCCCCTTGTCGAATTTCATGTGCTGAGAACAGTAAGGCAGGAAAGACCTACTACGAGACTCGGCTTCTACCGCGTTCGGTGCTACCGTATTAGCAAGGTTATGGGTGTCATGTATCGAAGCATAATGCGTTAGAAATTTCCAGGCTAGAGCGAATAGACGGACAGCACAACTGCGCATTGTGCGACTATCAGCCCTAAGATAGGGGTTTGGTCTACGGACCGGGCAGAGTAGGTAAACAAAGGAGCAGGGAGCAGAACAATCGAATAGCTGCTTAGGATCAAGCGCATCTCTATGAGCTCCAACGACTCCAAGGGCAAATAGCCGAACGCGGAGATTCAAGAGCTGCGGCGCGAGCAGTCGCAAAGTACGGCGGATGTCGAGGAACCGCAGCGACTCCGTAAGGCTTAAGCCATGTCACTCGTAAACAGGGGAGGGGTTATCCACAACAGAGCAGCGACCAGCAGGCGGCAGAATCCCTAGCACGTCTGCGCCTCGGCTCCTCAATTGGAGACAAGTATCGCCGCATCCTATCGGCGTCATCCCAAGTGTTACTGTCAGGATCGAGCTCTTCCGCACCGTATAGACCTCCCGATAGAGAACAGCACAAGGCAGGTGTTTGTTTGCTCTTTAAGGAGGTTGAGTCCGCCGGGATGGACGAACAGCATGGCTGAAAAGACTCGGGTCGTGCTTAAACCATAAATGGTACGAAGGCTTTCGCTAGATTGCAAGCTTCTTCAGCCTGATTCTGAATATGCAAACGATAGTTATGTCTTTGTATTATTCCCGTGTTGCTTGCAGAGGTCTAGACAAGAATCGTTCGGTTAGGAAAGGGGCTGTGCGTGGTAACGACATGGTTCCTACAAGCGCATCCTTCGCCACTTCTCTCCAAGGGTCTCGCTACACACGTTAGACATATATAGAAGCGAGCAGAATCTAGACGCTCAAACGAGCTGCTCTTGCACCACTTTTACATTCTTTGTTATACCTACTAAGCATTTGGCGATCGTACCGCATTTCGGCAGCCATGCACGTTGCTAATCTTGTAACCATCTGCGCACTTCTACCATCTATCGTTGAATGCGCTGGCGGTCAAGTTGCCAGCCATTTCGACAGTGCAGTCTTCTACAACGTTTGCAAAGAAAAGAATGGAGGTTATGGACCAGGGAGAGTGACATGGAGGACTCAACAAGCGATGTGCGTAAGCGAGTATAGATTCAAAGCTCTCTGCAGGAGGACAGCTCCAAACCCTCAAGAGAATCACCAGGAATGGTACGAAAGGGATTGCAGCGACAACCCCAAGTTCCAAGTGTTCTGTTTCCCGAGCAGTATCAACTCAGAAAAGAAGCCGGACAACGCATGCAGAGACCTATTCCAAGGACAAGGTTCCAAGCCTCCAAGAGATACGGATGGAGTTGCGTGTTCGTCAGGATTGAAGTTCGACGAGACATTGACGACCTGGAGCACGATCGTCTTCACAGACGAAGGAGCGGCCTCCGACGTTCAAGGATGCTGGACTCAGCACAGTGGTGAATCATCGAAAAGACTCAATACGCATTATCCCTGTGAACACGATTCCAATGTGCTTACGTTCGAAGCTGGCAAGACATATCAAACCTGTATCGAAGCCAACGATGATTCTCCAAAAAGGATTAACTGGATCTGGAGGGTTACGAGCCCGTTTGGTCATAAAAAAAGAGACGTTACTGCTCCTTACAAAAGCTTTCTGGACTCGGTCCAGATCAATCGCACTATGGCGTCTGATCTAGATGCTCAGATTGTAATCGAGGATGAGGGTAAAGAGTATATACTCTAGAGCCGCGAGGGACGGACGCGGTAAACCTCGCGATAAAGCTGATATTGTTGTGAAATGATACCTTACTGGGTTTGTCTACGGGTTATGTATATTAGTTCTAATATACCTTAGACCGCAGACCATGTATGCTAGCCCCTATATAGCTCTATTCGATAGTGTAGGTAGTTTTGTATCCTCTTTTACCCGACAATACACCCCGATAATATGCGACCAACATGCGACGAAACGCGACTCCGCAACAGATATCCATCTTTTCAACGCTATTAAACAGATTGGAGATCGTAAAAGTTACGCGGTAGCTAAACGTTGTATTGATGCCGCTATGCACAGCACTGTTGCCTTCGACGGTATGCCTAACCGGCTGGTAGTAACAAACATACATGATACCGCGTATACGTAAGTTGCATTCTTCAATCAGCCTAGGGAACGACAACTAACGTTACGTAGGCAATTTGGAAACATGCTGATTCTCTCTGTAATCTACAACAGCCCTTACCTAGGGACTCTAGTATCAAAAGATAAGTTCAAAAAGCTGTTGGAGCGTACTATAGGCTTTCTGCGTAAGCTGTCTCTAATTTCACCAACTTGTACAGTAGACTGCGAAATTCTTGAAACCTTGAACAACATCTTGTTCGGTGTAGGGGAAGACATCAAGCCTAGATAAAACATAACGTGCATCCAGCCGCAACGAATATGTCTACGGGGATAGGGCTCCGTGCACCAATTTAATGTCGGCACTACCTACTGTTAGGTACATACACCTTCCACAGCCGTTCGATAGTCTATCCGCACCTTGAAAATTACCCAAGAAGTATAAGTTCCCCCATTTTAGGTGCAGAATACCTGGCGAGGATCAAGAAAGTGGAGTTATTGCACCTTGCAAGCGGCGAAATAAAGGTGTTTCACGATTTTGACCCCGGTGAGAATTAAAAAACACGTCCTCCTATACGCTGGACAGGGGGGTGCGGATGGACTATCGAACGGCTGTGGAAGGTGTATGTACCTACAGTTGCATCCGTAGAACAGGGCCGTCCGTCTTCCATACACAGTACATAGAGTTCTTGTTCCAACAACAAACAAGTAGTATATCGAAACCGCTCTGATAAAGAAAACAGAAACAGGGGTTTCATAACCGAAATGTTCGCTTAACCCAAATTCCAAACGGGTAACGGCTAGGTACATACCTTATGCAACATCAATTTCATAGCCCTCGTAATCTTCAACAACAACAACAACAATTCTGCCCTATGAACTACTATAGTAGGTAGGTACATGCGATCTTGTGAGCTCATCGAAAAGAAAAAAAAAATGGCCTGGCCGAGCCAACATTGAAAAAACACGGGCTCGTAGTGTAGGGTAAATTTACTTTCGTTCCCTCTGACGATCTGTGCACGCCCTTGGCTCTTGGGCTTCATTTCATACCTACATGTTACCTACAGCACCTATTCTTGCGTGGCTTTCGAAGGGCCTTGTCATTTTTCGATCATCGTGGCTCCGCTTGCGGCGTTGCGGGTAGATCTTACATCTACATATATGCTTGCAAGAAACCGTACGCGTTGTTCTGGAGTGGGGCATTCTCGGAATGAAATAGTTGAGAAAAGCGGAAACGGATGTCCATGTCCATTCCAAGCCCTAACCAACATGGGGGTGAAGCACAGACCGTAGGAGACAGGAAGGATTATACGTGGCGCCGGGAGTTTCAAAGGGACACACACTGCTTCAGGTGACGACGATTGCTTGTGTTGATTCTCACGTAAATTGCGCACTGTACTGTTGTGGCTCTTCAAAACGCCTCGGCTACCCATGTGTGTTTCGTCTATCCCTTTCGGAACGCCTGCGCTCGTAAATGATGCTTGGGTTGGGCTCATGCAGACGGAGCCTTTGCCTTCTATACCGTTGTCCATTTTGCAGATCCCATTGTCATATGTACAATGAATGCCTTCAAGTCATGCCCTCTTGGGTCTTGCTCTCGCTTATATGCCAAAGTACGTTTTCATCCTCTCGTAAACGTAAAAACTTGTCGCGACCATGGGAATCACTTTGACGTAACCAATCCCCAGGCCAACGAAGAAGCCTTTGATGCCCTTGTCAGCCTGTATGCTGCGTGCGACTTCGATCATTGTCAATCGGTGCCCATCGCCAACAACGCCTCCGACCTGCATCCTTCGCCTGATCACCTCGAGCGGATATGACACCGTCTGGCTGACGAAGCCTGCCACTGCACCAGTGGTCAGCTCAGCCCATGCTCGGAGCGGAGGTGGCTTTCCTGGCGCCAATTGTTTCTGTGATCGCTCGGAAATCGGTAGTATCGTATATTCGGCAAGAGCAGGAAGACGCATGAAATCTCCAGCTGCGTCATGCGTGAGGAAGGACGCTCCTGCATATGGTACCATGCCCCACAACGTTGGCGTAAACCCTCGAAAGAAGTTGCCCAACCCACTTCCTGGGGTAACAGTCCTGATAGCGGCTTGTGTAGCGTCAACTGTCGCTCCCAGAGATTTGGACATCGCGGCAGTATTTGTAGCAATGGGCTCTGGCGGCCTTTCTAGATATATCTTCTTGCATATCTCTCGTACTGTGACTCTCTTGCTCGACTTAGTCTCCCAGGCCAGCCGTACTCTTATCACCTCGAGCGGGTACGTGCTGAACACGGAGCATATACCTGCCAGACTTCCCGCTGCAAACCGTCGATATGGTGTTTCGTGCTCTTTGGTGGGTATTACCACGGCGCGGACCTGTTCATATGCCAGGAACTTGATCCCGCCATATGGAAAGATGCGAAGCAACGTAGCCGAGTGTCCACGAAAGAGACCTCCCACTCCGCTCGAAGCGTGTATGTCTCGGATCGCCTTTGCAGCGCCACTCCACGACCCAATGTACTTTTCAAATTTGGGGTTATTGGCCTGGAAGAGGATCTTGACACGGTCGAGCGGTGCAACCACGGTCTTCGCCGCGCAGGCCGCGAGGCCACCCGCAACACCGGAGCGTACGACATACTCCCAACTCTGCTTGGGGATCTCACGCTGCTGGCGTGGTGCTTGTCGCGGTATCAGCGTTTCCGTGTCTGTCGGACAGACCCCAGGCAAATGCGGCTTCATCTCAGGTGGTTCGTTCGTCTGGAGTCTCTGAATTCCACTGTCATGGCTGGCATGCTGCCCTGCAGGCACTGTGGTCATCGATTATGTACGGAGCGGGATGCGTGGTGGAAGTGGGCGTTCAAGGCGATCGTGTTGGCGACATTGAGATTCGGGTCCTTGTTTTCGAATGTGGTATTGCGCTTCACAATATGCTTTCGTGGGAGAGTGGCGGCAGTCTGCCTACGTGTAGGAGTGCTGAGGTGTGCTGAGGTGTGGTGATATTGTGTTTGCAGGAAGTCGACAGTGCGACTGCCGTGTGACGTCCCAAAGCCGAGCCCTTCAGCCGAGGCCTCTCGTTGTTCTAGCCTTCTTCTGTTTTCTCTTCTTAGCCTTTCCTTTCCTCCTATCACATGCTTCTCAGAAGTAAGCAAGCAAGCAAGCACGATATGACTTCAGGTAGGTGAGTCTGACTGGGCCATTGTGCACGAATACCCGTATAGGCAGACCTCCCGTGCAAACCACGAGCATGAAGTCTGTCTTATGGCAGAGCGAAGACAAGACGACAGTACTTATCGACATCCCCGGCTCTGTTGCTGTCGCTCAGGGCACGGCAGACGAACCATGTGCACATGTGCTGCAGTCGTCGGTGCCTCTCCAGAAGCCCTTCTCAATCCCAGCACCAAAACTCGTGAAGGCCGAGGGAAATCTCAGTAATAAGTCCGAGGATGAAAATTACCGAGTTCTGCTCAAGGCAGCTCTAGGAACAGTCGAGTCTCGTTGCAATGGCCAGTGGTGTCTTCCCAGACCATTTATCTTCGAAGGTGATCAGGACCGGGAGGAGCAAGGTGAGCCGTCATCTAGGAAACGGAAATCGACAGATATAGATCAAAGTCTGTCTCGTGATCCTCTGCCTCCAACTCTCCTCGAGGTCGCCGTAAAAGGGACTCGGATCCCTCTGGAATATAATGTAGAACCTCGAAGCAATAGGCTTGAACAAGACTACGAGTTTGACTACGAGCCCGGCTCTAACCTCTGGACTTACACCACAGTGCCGGCGATCTTGACTATTACAAGTCATGTCCTGGATACAGCTACATCCCTACAGTATCGTTTCCGTCTACCAGCAAATTCAGTAGCTTACTTGAGCGACTGTTCGCAGCCCCGATCATTCCACGAACTAGTTAACGAGCGACAACAGAAGTTCGATTTCATCCTTCTCGATCCACCCTGGCCAAGTCGTTCTGTCAAGCGAACACACCAGACCCCAGGGACGTCGTACTCTACCACGAAGCTGATTGACCTGGACACCATGCTATGCGGTTTGAACCTGCGTTCACTTCTGACTGGGCCAGGATATGTAGCAATATGGATCACGAATAAACCTGCCGTCCGAGCCCTCGTTCTGGGATCAGGTGGACTATTTGAGAAATGGGGTATTTCCCTGGCCGAGGAATGGATATGGCTGAAGACCACTGCAGCTGGTGAGCCTAGCAGTCCATTGGGCGATACGTGGAATGGAAAGAAACCGTACGAGATTCTGCTCGTCGGTAAAAGCGGTCAGAGTGGAGTGACCAATTTGAAGAGGAGAGTGATTGTGGGTGTACCGGATTTGCACTCGAGGAAGCCATGCCTGAAGGAACTGGTCGGCGATCTTATTGGAACTGAGGCACCAGTGTTGGAGATTTTCGCAAGACATCTTGTGTCCGGGTGGTGGAGCTGGGGTAATGAGTGCTTGAAGTTTAACTGGGAAGGATATTGGCAACAGGCAGACGAGGCATAAACGAGGTACACTGCGTAAGATACTGGTAGGGCCGCAGGCGACATGTAGTGCCCATTCGGCATTGGCCACTATACCATCGCTCGACCGTGAGGATGCTACCGAATGGGTCGATCAGACAGAAGACTCGAGCGGTTGACCATGCGTATATCGACGGAGGCTTCAAGATAAAATACAGTACTGGCTTCTTTTGTAATACTTCTCTGGGCGGTCATTCATGTTGGTCCAGCTCGAGTTATATGTAACGCATTTTATTCTCATCACATCCAGCAGCATTCTATGTCAGTATACATATAAAATCCGGAGAAATCTCGGAGCACAATTAAACCAATGGAGATGTGTCCGAGTGGTTATGGAGCTGCGTTTAGGCCATCTAAGCAGAATCCGCAGTGGCTTTGCCTCGTGGGTTCGAATCCGTAAGCATTCTTCTCGTACCGGTACAATCTTGTGCCACTCACTAACATGAATTAGCACCGTCTTCAATGTACGATCATGCGTATTGTAGTCCACATTTTTTTCGCCTTTATTTTTTTTTAACTGATTTGAGGTACCTCGCGGTATTTACGGGTTTATGGCTGTCGTCGGTGTTGTAACTGTTCGGTGTGTTAAAAGCTCTTGTCTCAAAAGTTTTGTGGTGAACATGTCTTGGCACTCTCGGCTTTTGACCTTCAACGGCTCTTCATTCCTCCGGATACATGGTAAAGTCGGCCCGCAGTAGTCAATCAGAGTGAATACGTGGAATCGTTGGATTGTCACCAGGATACTGCGACAACAGGAGTGAATACGTGGGATTTCACCAGGATACTGCGACCTCTTGCAATAGCAGCAGCAAGAAAAGCAACACGCTTGCTCGCCTGACTCTGGAATGGCAATTCTACAACAACGTTGTACTCAGCCTCAAATTCGCAATTAGCTGCACGGTTTTGAATCATGGTAGCACCTAACGCTTCTCCACGCTCTGCACACCTTTGCAATTTCCATACATATCGTTCATTAGAACGATTCGAAGAGAGTTGTCAGTTATACGGTACATCCTATGTGACCACACGGCGGAAGGCGACGGCAGACCATGGTATCGGGCTGACGATGCAGAGGCTTCGACCTGCAGCTTTTGGGAGCAAGTTGGATGCAGCCAAGTAAATGCAAAGTGCTCCGTGGCGAATGGCGATACCTCCCACTTTGACGTTAAGGTGTCGAGACCCCTGCGAGTGTGTGACGGATCGGTGCCTTGTAACACGCACATGCACATTGGTGCAGGGTCCTGGGCAGCGTCTCAAATGTCGAGATGGTTCCCTACCTACCCTGCCGTACGTAGGAGGTATCAGGTATGTACGTGTGCAACGTTCTCGCCAGACATAGTGTATGAATGCTCTAGTCAAGGACACGAGGATATACACGTCCGTCCTGCATGTTTCAATGTTTCGTCAGATGTGCACAAAGACCGATGCTCGAGAATCGAGATGCAGCTGGGGAGCCTGGGGGTGCACGAGCAAAATGGCGGTGACTATGGAGGTACTGTACGGCCCCGTGCAGGTCAAGACTGGAACTAGAATTGACGGGCGCTTCCATGCATAGAGGCAGGCTGGCAACCATGATGACGAAGCTCCCGCCCTGGAGAAGACAGGCAAACAGGCATCGCCCTGAGCCGAATGAGCGTTGTTGGCCGAAGCGTCTCTGCGGACCGACAGCGACTGGTGAGTAGCGGACCGCTGCTGGCTGCCTGCTGGTGCTGCTGGCGCTGCTGTTGCTGCTGCACGTGCGGGGGGCATCTTGAGATGGTGGTGTGAGTGAGCAGGCGACAGCCTGCCTTACCTACCTATATCCTCTGTAGGTACCTGAGGCTTCTACAAGTACATCATCAGCACGAGGGCGTCGAGGCCCCAATATACCACCGCAGCCTTCGATGGCAGCACAGCCTGCTAGAGAAACTCTGAGTGATTGCCATCGAGAAAGATCGTCGTCGTCGAGACCAGCGACTCGCAGAGTGGCCTGCAAGTGGGTGGATCCCTAACATTGCGCAGCAGAGCACATTGGTCGAAAGGGCCCTGCGCGCGTGGCAAAGGTTTTAGAACTAGGGCCACGTCAGCCAATCACAGCACGAGCGACGGCGCCACTGGCTTATTAGTCCCGTCGCACAGGCCACCTCCCACTTGACTGAAACCAGCCAGCCCTCCCGCGAGCGAGCCTCGCACCAGCTTTCACTCTCCAGCCCTCTGACTACGACTTGACTTGCAACGCATCTTAACTCTTCATCTCTATTCCATCACCAACCTCTATCCAGCTTCACACCCCAACCACCCACTTCATTTCCGAGACATCCAAAGCGACTTCACACCGAACAGCATCAGCAGACATTTTGCCACCTCCTGGGCGACGGAAATTCGATCATAACAACAACAACAACAACACCACCACCACAACAAGGCCCCCACTGGAATCACCAAACTCAAAAATCCATCACAAACACATACTTCTGCAATCATGGCCAGCTATCAGTACGGGATGCCGACATACGGAGCGCACGCTCAGAACCACCAGCACCATGCCGGTGGGCGCAGTCGTCGTGGGCCGAGAGTGTCTTCGAGCAACGCCCAACGTCAATACAGGGCGCAGAAGAGCCCGAAAGAGGAGGCACCACAAGTGCAAACATACAATGACTACTTGCGAGTGCTAGAAGCGGCAAGAGGGTTCGACTTCGACGACGACGAGGTCTTTTGCCCGTTCGACCTCCTGACCGAGGATGATGTATGTTTGGCTGCAATGCCACCAACGCTTCGGAAGCTTGGGCTAACCTCATGTCACAGTTGCAATCTATCCATTCCTCGTCTGCCTCCGACAGAGGCTCGCTATCGTCAGGCTCGCCCGAGGGCTCTCCTCTGCAACAGCAAGTTCAGCCTACATCCTCATTACTCCTGCCTTCGATACCTACCTCGTACACTCCGGTGAACTATCATCAAGCGCAAACAAAGCTTCACCAACCCATGGCGCAGCGCAACCGTAATGCCATTCCTATCGTGGACCCTTCTACCCGCTCTGCGTCGAGTGTCTCGCCAGGCCGACAAGTTCAGCAGCCGCAGCAGTACGGCCAGCGTCGCTGGGCATAAGTACTGGTCGTACTGCCACAAGTGATGCTATGAAACGTTCTGCGTTGTCGGGCTGGCGGGCCTCTCTACTCCAATACATGTTTGCGCACCATGTGTTGGCCTTTTACCATTCCAGCGATACCTTTTGTACAAACAAATACGACATTTAGAACGAGTGGAAGTAGCGCTCTTCCCCGACCTGGACAACGGCGTTTACCACAGCATTACGAAGTACTATGAACGAAGCATTTCACGGGACGGCAATGATTCTCGACTTTGATCTCTGCGAGCGAGCGATGATACACGGACGGGAAACGAATTGTTGGGAAGCATTTATCCGGACGACGATTGTGGCTTTGATTTTCCTTCCTCACTCTTATTTATTGTTTTGCTATTCTGTGTTGTTTTGCACGGTGTTTTGGTGGCGGTGGTGGCAGTACCAGTGGGGCGAGTGTCACGAAAAACAGCAAGCGAAGAGCGCAATTTCATACTCTGTCTGCGTGTCTTATCATGATAAAAACCAGCTCTGGGATGAAGGGCGAAAAACTGGGGGAAACTTGGCCATTGTGGACAACCTGACCGAACGGCGATTCTGTGGTTGTGGCCATTGCTTGCTTTTTATTTTTTATTCGACGCATGGTGTTGAGCGGAAAGATACCGTCGTTGGTTCAAGATGTTGGTGTTCTGGTGCCTACAAAGATGGAGCAGGCATTGCAGGCCTTGCTCGACTACACATTGTACCTTATACCCAGCTGCTGCTGCCATGCATGCGGCTTGATACGAATACAAGGACTTTGCCCATACAGATACCTTACCCTCATCGTTCTCGCTGCTCTGCTCCAAGATGACCTGCGTCAGTGCCAGATTGCAGTCCGAGGCACGGGCAGAAGGCAATGTGGGTAGACTTGCATAGATAGGTACCATACCACTTCGCAATCGCACGCACACCACTATATGCATTCTCTACAAAGAGTACCTATATAGGTGGTACCATGTATGTAGCAATGCCGCTCGCACTTCGGTGTACGGCCATGTATCACTGTGAATATCACTTCCGTCATCGTCCGACGACTCCCCGACGAGTCGTGTTTGTATGGGCCATGACGACATGATAGCGTCGTCAAAAACCGTTTAACGAATAGGTACCGAGGGCGACGATTGGATCATCCAGCCTACCTGCCTAAACAAACCCATTAAGGTACAGACAGGTAGCTCCTTCCTTCCCTCGCACTCACATTCTCCATTCAAACAGTTTTGCGAAAGAAGTAGAAGAAGAAGAAGACACCCGACGTTCTCATCACCAGAACCAGACTCAGCTTCGACTACCTCAAGCTCCCTCCACACACTCCTCCTACAACCTACCAAAAAAACATGTCCGCCTTCAGAATGGCCCTTCAGCCAACTGCCTCTGCCTTCCGCGCTCTACCAACTTCCCTCTCGAGAAGAACTTTCCACTCTGGAAGAATCGTGTTCGCCGGCAAGGAGACTTCCATTGGTATGTAACAAACAGCCTTCTTCAACGCACCTCAAGCACGTGCACGGGAAAACACAAACTTCTACGAGTACCTTCAGATACTGAGATTTCTTTTTTTTTATGCAATAGGCAACGAAGACCCCGCAGCGCGTAAAGCGGAAATTGAAAAAGCGAAACAGGCGCAGTTGAAAGGACAGAAGCAGGGAACGAATGAATGGGATGCTTCGATTGCTTCCGAGTCGGAGAGTATTGTAAGATGATGACACTTGCACATTGATTCCCTTGGATTCTTTCATCTATTCATTCTGCTGCTGCTGCTGCTGCAGACTTTGATTCTGGGACTGACGATTGTGAATCTCTAGGCCAAGGCAGACCGTGGCGAGTTGAAGGCCGACAAGGCCAGTATTAAGGAGTTGCAGGATGAGAGTGCAAAGGCTGCGGAGAAGAGTCGAAAGTAGAGGGATTCTGTTTATTTTTTTCTACGGCATGCACCTGCTACAGACAAAAGCGAGATGAGAGATACGGTATGGAGTCTTGTACCGGAAGAGTATCAGAAAAAGAAGAAGAATAAGGAGAGGAAGAGGGCGATTGGTGAAGAAGTGGACTTGTAAGATACATGGTCACCTCGAGAGCAGTCGATGAAGTGTGGAAATCAGCTTCAAGAATGACTACTCATCATAACTTCAATCGGACACGAGCCATGTTTCTATGATGCACCACCTACCATACATGTATGCAAGAGTCTATAAGGACTTCAACGCACTGACATAACTTTTAGGATCCTCCAACTTCACACCAGTCATTTCCTCGCGGACACCCAACATACTCACTTTTCCACCGCCATCACCTTCCCCTTTGAAGTCCCAGCCGGCAAAGAGCTTCTCCAACGCTGCAATGGTCTCGGGCTGATCTTTGATCAACAGCGAAATGGCATCGTAGCCACCAGCACCGGGAACCACGCCTCCCACGACACCTGGAATCTTCTCGCACGCATCGAGCAGTTCCGTCTGAGCAGGTGGCTCAATGGGCACGCCACTCTTCTCGGACATGAGGCGGATGAGTTCTCGGATCCGCGTGAATCTCGCGCTCAAAGCCGTGTAGTTCCCATCCTGTGCCTCCGCAACTGCTTTCATATCGGAAGCGAGGCCTGCGTTTGCTTCGTCGAGATCCTTCCACAACGCATTCGCTTCCTCGACTTGCTCTGCTCGCCATGCCAATACCTGCTTGACCATCCCCGGAGTTTTGGATCCGCAGGATACATCACACATGACCAATCGCAGGCCATCAGGCACGCGAACTTGATCTTTCAAAATTTCGGTATCCCACTCGCTGCCGTGGAAGGTTTCGTCCACAATGTCTCGAATCTCAGTACCGAACTTGGGAGTTCCGGGGCTAGCATGAGAGGCGAGGATGGAGGGGGAGAAACGTCGATACAGCATGGTTCCGTAGACTGCAGAGGCGATGTCGAAGCCCGAACCCACTTTGCCTTGAGCTGCGCAGTGTGCTGCTTGGGCGAGGTTGTGGAGACGTCTCCTACTGGAGTCGTGTGTGATGTCGAATTTGGAGCGAGGGAGATAGTATGACAGCAGTGCAGCTGTCACAGATGTTACTAGAGCTGCAGACGAACCTAAACCAGTCTTGGGGGCACTTGAAATGGGAACTGCGAAGTTGTGGAAGCGTGGAGACGATCCATCGTTACCAGTGGAAATGCCTGCAGGCGTTGAGTAATAATCGTTGTCGGCGAGGATAGTGATAGACGATGGGGATATGTTTGGGTGGCTTATGCTTGTGATGTAACTGAGAACATAGGCAATTGTCGTCTCGATGAATGGGTTCCGGTTCAGATTGAGGTCCGCGTCTCTGCGAGTTGATAGGAGCGTAAGTGATTTGTCCTCCACCATTCATACAGTGCTCATTCACCTGAGGCAACAGATAGGATTGCCATGCCGTATCTTTCTTTGGGCATGTGCAAAGAGTACCAAAAAGAACAGAAGCCGAACAAAATTCTCTTCAACAGAGCGGAAACACTTACACTCTCAAGGGCGTGACTTTGACACCGCCGTCCCTCTCAGTCAAACGATAGCCATATTCCCAAACAGCATCGAGAAACTGCGGCGACCTCACAACGATTTCATTGAGAACAATGCCTTTGCTGGTGGGAATGTCCTCGATGAGGACATGTATGCGAGCATCCAGGCCGAACACCAGACCCGTATGTGCTCGATCCAACACCAGATATCCGCCCGCCAGCAGGACTTTACCTGGCGCGGAGACAGCCACCGGACTGGGTGAAGCCATTCAGTGCGATAGATATACCCCAGGCGCCGCACCGGCCGCAGTCGATCAGCCCCAATTACTTTTTGCACGTGAGGATTGGGGGGACAGCCACTGGAGGCCGGGTGGAGCAGAGGTAAGTCCGTGGGAAGGGAAACACGGCAGCGGGCGGGCAAGCGAAGGGCAGGTGACCCGAAATGCCGCTGTCGAAGATTCGAGCGGGTTCCCGAACCTACAGGCAGGAGGCAGGCTAGGGAATTTTGCGGGACAGGACGTGGCCCCGTATGTGGCGTGTGGTACCTCCTACAGAGGCGCGTTCCTGAGGTGGACTTTCAGTAGTGGCGGAGCTCTAAACAGCTGGCAGAAAAGCGTAGAGGTAACCCAGTGTGGTGGTGGCGAGCGTGCAATGGGTGAAGCGAGGTTGGCAGATGACTGCAGCGCTAACAAGAACGTTCATGTAGATTGGGGGATTCTAGGAGGTACATGTACGGTCGCGACGGGAGTCCGGTGGGAGTCATCATCACTGAAAGTGGTTCGAGGAGAGAGAGAGTGCATGAAATAATGGCATATCCCATGTCTCCCCGAGCCTTATTACCTCACGTTGCCTCCTATTCTCTGTGGAAGCCTGTTTAGGTATGCGGGCAGCGAGAAAAAACCGTCGCGTCGTCGTCGAGTCATCGACTTCCCGTCGCACTCGAGAGCTTGGAAGGCGTCCCTTATCAGATTTGCACCGAACTTTGATGAGAATCCACCCTGTGTCGTAGATAGACTAGTAGCGCGAATTTGCATCTCTCTTCAAGAATCTCTCAGGCACGCATCGCTCCCATCTCTTCTGCCCATCCACCATCACCATCCACTCTCCACCCCCTCCCTCCCTCCCTCCATCCTCTTCCATCGCCATCAGCAGCGCGTTTATTGGACGGCCACTGTCGTCTAATGAACCTGCAGTCTCGTTCTTCACCACCCCTACCCGTAAGTGGAAAACGCGACACACTTCTCACGTGTCTCGTGGCATGATACACCGCGCCACGCCGCCCCAAAGTCTGACATTGGTGTCTCACAGTCATATCCTTCTCCATTGAAGGACTCCTCTGTCAAGTAGCTTGATGCCTTACGTCAAGCCAACGGTCCATATCACGCGACTTGCAGGCAACGCCTTCAAAGCACTCTCCCACGGCTACGCGCAAACCGTCGTCGCCGCATCTCAGACCAGCTATGCTGCTCAGAATACCTCAGCAGTCCCGCTCGCGGACCACTTGATCGGTCGCGTATTCAAAAATGAGAAGAGCAAGAAACAGACATATGGAGTGCGCCATGCTAGCACAGCTGCGGCAGCGCAAGGAAAGGCAGAGGCCAGTCATGATTCAGGCCTAGACAAATACTATGAGGCATACAGAGATGCCCAGCGCAATGGCGCAAAGAAGGACTGGCAGCAGTATCAGTTTGCACGCACGATAGAGTGGAAGCCGCCGGCGGAAGCTCTGCTGCATGGCAAGGTGCAAGAGGTTGCAGACATTGAGGATACTACTGAGCAGGCAGATTTTGTAGCGCCGACCTTGCGGCGCTCTTACACCACCAGTGCCCTAGACAACTTTTCCAAGGCTCTTCTCAACGATGAGGCGGCAGAGGCAGCAGCTCTTGCGCTCGTCAATGACAAAATTGCGGAGGAAATTGCCAAGTCGAAGGAGGATTCCGATGCTGATGGACTCACGATTGGAGCGAAGTCACCCTCAGTTGCCTCGCTGGACGCACGGGATTCCGAACCACGCTCGACCAGCCCTGCATCCGTCTTCACATCTACCGAGGGCTTCTCCAGCGCCGAGTCAATCGAAAGCGACACCTTTACGGAGCAGCTTCTGGAGTTGGTCGAGAGAAAGAGGTTTCTCGATGTTCCCGTGGTTTTCCAGGGCATGCTGCATGCTGGCGTGCAGAAACCATCACAGGCTGCATATCGAGCATTGCTCAGTGCTGCCATCGAAGTCACACATGAGAAGCACTTGAAGACGCCCAGGGCGTTAGAAGTGTATTCTGATATGCTGAAGAGAAAGGTCGTTCCTGACGCTGATACTTATGGCATGCTCATCGCACTGCTGTCAACCCGAGCACTGGAGGCTGTGGCATCGAGGCAGGCCTTGGAGCAACGTTTGACTCGGTATGGAGGTCTGGAAGCTCCAGGCACATTCATGTTCGGGTCGAGCCAATCTGAGTACTCGATGCTGCTCGAGGACAGCTCGTTATCGATTGCCCTGAAGATGTTTGAACGTGCCCGTGAGACTACCAGCGCTCTGCCGAGTGAGGCATGCGCCGCATTGATTATTGCCAGCGCCGAGCAGGGCCGCGTGGAAGAGATGACGCGGGTCTACGAGTATATGGAATCCAAGTCATTGCAGCCCCAGTCGACCATTTACGCCCCCATGATTACTGCATTCGGTGATCTTCGCGACCTTCGTAACGCAGTCAGGGTTTACGATGAGTACAAGGCTTTAGCCATCAAGAACAATGAGGGCGAGAACGCTATTGCTCGCCTGGATAACCAGGTCTACGCAGCCGTCATCAAGGCTTACGGGACTGCCGATCGGCTCAAGGGCGGGTTGAAATTTCTATCAAGCATTCAAGCAGCGACAACCAACGCCACGGAGGTCGAGAAGCTGCGTGAAGTTGTTGCTCTCGATGCTCTGCTGCCGCTCGCACTGAAGGACACTACCTTTCGCAATGCCTTCGACCTTACCGCATCTTTGACCGGGCACGCTTTCATTGCTGCCCTTGCAAAGATTGCTACATTTGCAGCCGACAAGAACCTGCCAGAGGTCTGTAGCCAAGCGTTCGATACCCTTGCTCAGCGCTCTCAAGACCTGGTGGAGCCCAGTATGGCAATGCTGGCGATGCATGTGCGTAATGCAAATGTTGAGGCTGCTGAACCTTTCTGGCGTGTTCTAGAAGCTGCGCCAGTCAACCTCTCATTCATTGAGCCTACCACGATGCGTGCTGTAGCACTAATCGGTGTTGGCCAGGCCGAGCGTGCTTTGAGACAGAGCCGTCGCATGTTCTCTCGAATTCGCGAGGCCACCACCGAGAGCCAACAAGCTGATGTCGCACAGTCTATCGACGAAGCGGTTGAGCTGATTGGAAGCTTCTCTCTCAAGCAGCCAATGCTTCTGCCTGCGACTAGCATTGAGGTTCTCCGGATGATGATGGAGAACGGCAGCCTTGTCGCTCCCATCGCGGATCACTTGGTGGCACGCTTTGGTCCAGAGCACATTGCACGCCTCAACCAGCCCGACCTTGAGTTCCTCATCCGCATTCAAAGCAGAATGATCCTGGAGGAGCACTCTGCAGATATCGCCAGCCCAGCTCGCTTTGGCTGCCTCCTCGAGAACATTATATCTCATGCCATCATGCCATCTGCAGAGACCGAAACCCTGATCGAGAAGACCCTCATCAACATCGATCGGGCTGAGCTGTCCAGGCTCTGGAACAATTACCGCTATCCGACTACTCCTGCTTTCCCGACTGCACCATTCCCATCAGTGGTGACATTACAGCCGCCGGTCACATCCTTCGAGGATACCTACGATCCTTATGCTGGCCGCACTGACGTCAAGGGCTCTAATGTGATTAACGACATGCTCGAGCGCCCGCACGGTCGTCGCATGATCGAGGCTATGAACAGATTCCGCAATATGCGTCGGGTCGGTCGTGTCCCACGTATGTTCACATACGGCAAGCTCATTGAATCCGCTGCGAAGGAGAACAACCTCAACCTAGCCAGCGACATTCTGGAGATGGCTAAGCAGGATGTGCCTTTTGATGCTCGGTACCGCGTCGTGCGCTTCGGCTGGCAGCAGATCTTGGACAACATGGTCGCTGCTTGTCTCAACGTTGGCCGTCGGGATCTTGCTGGCCGCTACCACCAGGATATGATTGACATGGGCTTCGCACCTTCTGCCAACACTTTCGGACTGTACATCACCACGCTCAAGGAGAACACCAAGACATTCGATGAGGCCAGCGAGGCTGTCAAGATTTTCCTTCGTGCCAAGTCCGAAGGTGTCGAGCCATCATCGTTCTTGTACAATGCGCTCATCGGCAAGTTGGGCAAGGCTCGCCGCATTGATGATTGCTTGTTCTACTTTGCAGAGATGCGCAACCTAGGAGTCCGACCAACTTCGGTGACTTACGGCACTGTTGTCAATGCCTTGTGCCGTGTCTCCGACGAAAAGTTTGCAGAAGAGATTTTCGAGGAAATGGAGGCTTGTGCCAACTACAAGCCACGCCCCGCCCCGTATCACTCCATGATACAATTCTTCCTGACCACAAAGCGAGATCGCAGCAAGGTGTTGTCATATTACGAGCGTATGCGCAGCAGAGGCATTCAGCCCACTGTGCACACTTACAAGCTTCTCATTGACACCCATGCCACCCTTGAGCCGATCAACATGCCAGCCGCTGAAGCTCTTCTCGAAGAAATGCGTACGAACGGTGTTCAGCCCGAAGGTGTACACTATGCTTCGCTCATCCACGCTAAAGGCTGTGTGCTTCACGACATGGAGGCTGCCCGATCTCTGTTCGATTCGGTCATTGCCGAGGGCAAGGTGCAGCCAATGCCCAACATGTACCAGGCACTCTTTGAATCTTTGAACGCCAACCACCGTTCGGCAGAGTGTGAGACTCTTCTCCAGGATATGGCTCGGCGTGGGGTCGACTTCACCCCGTACATTGCGAACGCTTTGATCCATGGCTGGACCTTGGAGAAGAACATTGTCAAGGCGAAATCAGCATTCGATCGTATCCCAATATCTCGACGAGAGCCTTCCACGTACGAGGCAATGGTACGCGCTTACCTTGCCGTGGAGGACCGCGATGCTGCGAAGGTTGTCGTTCGCGAAGCACTTTCACGAGGCTATCCGACTGCTGTAGCGGGCAAGATTGCCGAGCTCGTGCGGTAAGCACCTGTCCGCATTTTCCTGCTCGACTATTTTCCTTTGTCGCTGCTTAACATGGAAGTCGAAGCAATAACAAGCTGGTGTAACGACGATTTGATACATGTGACGAGTGTTTAGCGTTGGAGTTTGGGCGCATAGTACCTAGATTATCGCCCTCCTATATTCTGGAGTGAGGCGCGCTGTTGCCACTTTCTTTTCCAGGCACGCGAGGAAGGTTGATTGCTGAATTGGAAGGCTCGGAAGCTGTACAATATAGATACCCCACATACTCTCTGCTCTGCTGGCACGATCTGTCACCTCTAATCTAGATGAATCTTGATGGGGATGGGAGGTACAGGTAGTGACAGAGTTTCCTCAATACAAAAAGAAATTAATAGCATGTTCTCTCGCTCTGTCTGCTTTGCGCTGCTTGGATGCAATTGACGTAAACGCGAGAAAGTGCTCTGGACGGGCGTTCGGATATACAGTGGTAACCTCAACGGCTTGTCTAATGTAGATAGGTACATAGTAGGAAACAGCTTCCGAACCGGCTGGAGAGCTAGGGAATTCATCTTCTAGATCCGAGTATACCTTACCTTAGTGATGTTGTCAATCCTTGAGCCGAGTCGACGGAGGTACTGTACTTTCGGTAGGTATGTAGGTAGTATCCTCGATAATCTATGCTGACGCACACATGGTGGCTACGACATCGCGGGAGGGGTTCCGCGGCGGCTTACGGAGAATTGAAGAGCGATTAATCATCACTATAGTGTTCTAGAATCTAAGAACTGGTTACCTCCTAGGAGGTAGGTCAGGTATGCAAGCTTAGAATCAAGGGGGGGGAGGGGACTAGGAGGTAGTTCTTACAGTAGCTTGCTAGGTCAGGTACCCTAAAGTAATCTTGGAAGTGGCCGTCCGGAGTGTGTGTTGTCCTTGTGGAACTTGTAGTGGAGTCATAAGGAAGGACGAGGAAGGGGACAATATATCGTATAATAATCCATGTAGTAGGCAGTTGGATCGATGGAAGTAGGAGGTATAGACAGGAGAGCAGAAGGGCATAAGAGGATGGAAGTATGCCAAGACCAATGGCGGAGGCAGCTCCGGGAGAAGCAAATTTTTGCCTACACCAACAACAACGTTCTCTCTTCTACCACCTGGCATCTTCTGATCAATCAACTACGGACTATACCCTCTAGTGCACGCGCACTCGCCACGTAGCAATGCCATGCCACGCCACACTTGGCGGGATGCTGCGGGATCTCCCCCCTCTCCTTTGCCCAAGAATAAATGTGTTCCACAACATACATGACCTCCTCACGCTTCAGATGTACATGCAACATGTACCTCTTCCTAGACCTTCCAGGCGAGCCCCGGGCCACGGAAGTGCCTCGTGCTGTCGGTCCCGTGTTAAGGTTCACCTTCGCCCCTGATCATGACGGTGCTTGACTGCTGGTTGCAAGCTGTGTCTGCAGCTAAACGTCAGCATTATGAGACTGTAAGACATGCTCACCAATGATCGTTCGCATTCTCCATCCACGCGCTAGGAGGTACTCCCCCTGCGCCTGAAGACGGGAGTGAAGACTCGATGCAAATGTAATAGCCATACACAGGTACCTCCTAGCCGTTGCTGTACCTCCCCTCCTAGCTATCTCCAGACGCCGACGTTATTGATGCCTCCTAGTAGGTAGTAGGTAGTAGGGAGTAAGTAGTAGGTAGTAGGTACAGCACCATCTTGATGCACTCCAAACAGTAGGTACCTGTACCTATGACCCGCAGCTGCGGCCGGCCGTGGAACCATGACGCCGTCGCCAGGCCCTTACCACCTTCTCGGAAGAGGGTCTTCATGATGTGAGCCTGCAACGAGGACAAAGGTACCTGCAACCACATTAAGTACAACTCCGCTTCTGCTAAGTGCCTACATCGAAACATTGATCTATATTATATTTCGCTTGGCGCGATATTTCGCAACTCGACTTTCACACCCTCCATACACTGCACTACCCACTGACGAAGCAGCGATGGGCTCCATTGGTGCACCTGAATACACTTCTCAAGCTGATATTATTGATATCAGGAGCGATGCCGCCGGCATTGAGCTGAAACAGCTCATCTACAGTGGCTTGAGAGCTCAGGATGGAAGCAAGGAGAAGACGTTGCCAACATTGCTATTGTATGATACCAAAGGGCTGAGACTATTCGAACAAATCACGTACCTTGACGAGTACTACCTTACTGGGGAGGAAATTCAAGTCCTCGAGCAGCATGCTGAGCGAATTGCTGAGAGAGTTCCCAATAACGCTCTCGTGGTTGAGCTTGGGAGTGGGTAGGACCTATACCATTCCAGTCAACCCGAGCCGTGACCACTGACAGCACCACGCAGCAATTTGAGAAAGGTGAAAATTTTGCTGGACGCGCTTGACCGCGCTGGAAAAACCATCGAATATTATGCCTTGGATCTCATGCGACCCGAGCTCGAACGTACTCTAGCTGCTGTGCCCAAGCACGCCTTCAAGCACGTACAGTGCTACGGACTTTGGGGCACATACGACGATGGCCTCGAATGGCTGAAGCGCCCGGAGAATGCTGCACGACCAAAGACAATCCTCTCGCTGGGTTCGAGCATCGGTAACTTCACCCGGGATGAGGCCGTCGGTTTCATTGCCCAGTTTGCAGAAACATTGAAACCGACCGACTCATTCCTTCTCGGCCTCGACGCCTGCCAAGACGCTGAAAGAGTGTACCGGGCGTATAACGATCGTGACGAGGTTACACACGGCTTCACAATGAACGGACTCCATCACGCAAACCACATCTTGGGCCATGAAGAGTTTGTTATTGCCGACTGGGAGGCAGTGGGCGAGTATGATCAGGTCGGCGAGCGACACCGTGCCTATGTAGTGCCCAAGAAGGACGTTGTGGTTCAAGGCGTTGCAGTCAAGAAAGGCGAAAAGGTTCGAATTGAGGAGAGCTACAAGTACAACCACAAGCAGTCGATGCAGCTTTGGTCCAATGCTAGTGTCGTGTAAGTTTGATGGAAACCCACCCCTGGATCATGAGATATATACGATGACAGTACTAACCAATCCATAGTGAAAGTGCCGCGTGGTCCAATCAGAGTGGCAGCTATGGTGGGTCGTCTTGTCGTTCTTGTGCTTCTGTTTTCGTCGCCCTGTCCGGCCTATCAATAATCCATGACATCAGTTGCTACCATTACCTAACAACTCTTACTTGTATGTACTTATGCTGACAACCATCTTCACGACAGCCTTGCATATGCTCGCGAGACCTGCAACGATGTATCCTACCAAGCCAGAAGCATACGCACCACACCCAGTGCCCTCTATTCCAGAGTGGGAACAGTTATGGGCTGTCTGGGACAAAGTCACACGACAGATGATTCCCAATGAAGAACTGCTGGAGAAGCCAATCAAGCTGAGGAATGCCTGCATCTTTTACCTTGGCCATATTCCGACCTTCTTTGATATCAAGATCAACGAAGTCACCGCACTCGGCCTTACAGAGCCAAGCTACTTCACGAAGATCTTTGAACGAGGTATTGACCCGGATGTCGATAACCCGGACCAGTGCCATGACCACAGTGAGATTCCGGATGAATGGCCCGCACTCGAGACGATTCTCAAATACCAAAACGATGTGCGCAACCGCGTGCGCGATTTGTATAAGTCCAACCGTGTCTATGAGGATAATTGGGCTGGTCGCGCCATGTGGCTCGGATTTGAACACGAGCTCATGCATCTGGAGACGTTTCTTTACATGGCGTTGCAAAGCGACAAGACTCTCCCACCCGACGGTACAATCCGACCCGATTTCGAACAGCTCGCCGCAAAGGCCAAGCGGGATGCCGTGCCAAACGAATGGTTCACGATACCCGAGCAATCCGTGACCATCGGCATGAATGATCCCGATACACCCGATGGACCTGTTCGACAATTTGGTTGGGACGTTGAAAAGCCTGCTTACACTACGAAGGTGCACAGTTTCAAGTCCGCTGCCCGTCCGATTACCAACGAGGATTATGTGCGCTACATGATCGCAAAGGACATTGAAAAAATTCCAGCTTCCTGGACAACTCAAAACAAGCGGGACAGCGGTATCAACGGACATGCCAATGGAAGATCCAACGGTGAATTCCATGACAGCAACGGTCATACGAATGGCGATGTGAGGCTCGAGCATTTCATTGGCGACAAGTTTGTTCGCACCTTCTATGGAGCTGTCCCCATGAAGCATGCATTGGACTGGCCCTGCTCTGCATCGTATGACGAGCTGAACGGCTGTGCAATGTACATGGGAGGCCGCATCCCGACGATGGAGGAAGCTCGGTCTATCCACGAGTATGCTGCTCACCTCAAGAAGAAAGAAGCAGACAAGGCGCAAGGCAAGACGATTCCAGCAGTCAATAGCCATCTTGTCAACGAGGGCGTCGAAGAGTCGCCAGGATCCAAGCCTGCCACCAATGGGTTCGGCCGTGAGGCCGACCCATACCAGGGCAAAGAACTCCATGTTGACCTTGGTGACGCGAATGTGGGCTTTAAGCATTGGCATCCCATGCCAGTAACCCAGAACGGCAACAAACTCGCTGGTCTAGGTGAAATGGGAGGTCTGTGGGAATGGACCAGCTCAGTATTGGAGAAAAGGGATGGTTTTGAACCGATGAAGCTGTATCCGGCATACAGTGCCGACTTTTATGATGGCAAGCATAACGTCGTGCTCGGCGGATCATGGGCCACACACCCGAGATTCGCTGGTAGGAAATCAGTGTAAGTGCCCCCCCCTTTACGAACCCTCTGCTTCCCAATGACTACCTTACCTTACCTTACCCTCCCTACTGGAGAAGGACGTAACACTAACATTGCATATTAGTGTCAACTGGTATCAACGCAACTACCCATTTGTTTGGGCTGGAGCTCGTCTTGTCAAGGACAACTAACCTAGTTCTGATTCACGTGGAAAAAATGGCTGGAGTGTGCGTGTGTGCGCTGCTTGAAGGATGAAAACGATAGCTACCTACCTACATTACGAAATCAATTCAAGACTGTCTCAACACGGTCATTCACTCCTTTGCAAAACTCTGTACGGGAGCCTGAAGGTGTGTGTGTGTGTGTGTGTGTGTGTGTGAGAAAGAGAGCCCAAAATCGACGAGGGGTTCGTGAGTACATGTATGTAGTCGCATACATGTAGGTATAACACGAAATAGACACGGCTCAAGCCAAGACCCCTGTCGAATTTCTATCACATGCAAAAAGTTTAAAAAGCAAATCGCGTCGCCGCGTCGCCGCGTCTCCCTGATGTGTGACATGTACCCCACTAAATAGTCCACATCCATAGCAAACAAACCAACTAAGGTGGACATATCTGTAAGAGGTAGAGCCGCTCGTTCAAAAGAGGAAGAGGTTGGCTGCATCTAGCCGAAATCTCTGGATGGATTCCCATCTAGGCATGAAGAATTACCTAACACCAACATGAGATTCGTGTCTAGAGTCTTCTATACTCTACGAGACAAAAACCAAAAAAAGTCTCGATGAGGAGGAGGATATTCACTCCGCTTCCTAAGATAAGAAAGTGCTGTACCTAATTTACCTCAAGGTACCTTAGTGTATCTCCAGTGAATGGATTAAGGTAAGATATCATTGTAAACACCACCTCTGGTTTTTTAAATCCTAATCTCCAGATCAACACCCGACTTCACCAAGACAACCGCCCTTTTTCGCCAAAACGCGCTTCGCACTGCATTTCGAGTTTTACTTCTGCTCGGAACTTGCAGACATCGCTGTTTTATTGTTGTTGTCGTCAGAAGAAGAAGCGCTTCTTGGAATAGCAGCGAGGCTACAGACAAAGGAACAGATACACTCGCGACTCGACGTGCTTTCAAGGCCGAGATACTGCATCGTCGTCGTCATCGTCGTCGTCGTCGACGAAGAACTCGAGGAAGACCAACCATACCTTACTCACAACAACTCGGCAAATATGGGCCAGGAATTATACAAGTGGGATGACGGTGGTGTTCTCAAGTAAGTCCTCCATTCCATCTTGTCCCCAAAAAGATCAAGCAGTAGAGCTCGCTGCCGACGCACTGGCAATTACAATCCCAGGCATCATGCTAATTTCTGCAGACACCATTGCCCAATATGCCATCAACCACTCTCTCATGAGAAGTGCCGCACAACGTGCTTGGGCAAACACGTCGAATGGTGTCACAGATACCACTCGTAAGAGATCCTCTCTGAAGTACCCTCTGGCAGATCGAGGTGATCGCTGACTCGTGCACACCACATATCTAGATTGTTCCGAATCACGTGGGCGGCACGTTGTAGCGCTTGTAAGAACTGCGACGAACAGCATGAGAAGAGGCACAGGGATATTGCCGAGATCTGGCACAGAATTAAAAAGCATATGGCTGAAGAGGAAGCCTTGCTCATGGAACGACCGATTTCCCCAGCCATATCGAAAATGGCCAGAACACCGTTGACGGCCAAGGCACTGAGTACAATGGAGAGTCCAATGACACCGACCAACAGCGCCGAGAAGATGACCAAGAAAGCGCGGAAGGCAGCAAAAAAGGCCGCCAAAGCGATGGACCGGGATAAGTTCGTGACCACAGCTGACATATTACGCGTGGCAAAGACGCTCCACCCAGAGCCCGAGAAAGATATGGATGCCGCTGACGCAGACGCCGAACTTTTCTCCGAGGATCAAGACATAAAGTGGAACCTCGGCTTCAACTACAGCACTTGCAACACGAATTCCATGCGCCAGAGCTACGTTAGCACGCAGAGGAGCAGTCACTACCAGGTCCCCGAGGCCGATATAGAACGTTTTCTGGAGCAACTGGAGGTAAACATCAATGCTGTCGGCAAAGAAGGCGAGCTCGTCGCAGATTTAGTCAAAGCCATCAAGAGTGACTTGATTCACTTCCATGATGAGGTCGAGGGTACCGCCAGGAACAAGGCAGGATTTTGGAGGTGGGCTAATAAAAAAGCCTACCGCGCACTGATGGACCGAGGCAAGGCCTGGGAAGACAAGCACAAACCCATCGAGACCAACGTGGCGGAAGTCGTCGAAGAGCACAGAGACGACAGGGAGCTGAATTCCGATCAAGAGGGAGAAGACCATCCCAGCCAAATCAGCTCAGGCAATAGTGTGGTCCCAAGCCTGACCCGCTCTACCAGCACCAAAAGCGACAGCATTGCTCTGCCGCCAAAGGCACATCCATCAGCTCGAACGCCCGGTCTCAATGGCAAGACCCCCTCCACTCCAGCACAAGCCACCGAACGGAATCAAGCCAGCGACTCCGATGGGACCCAAGTCGGTAAGAAGGTGATGAGCGCACAGCCTCGAGGCAAGTTCACTCTGGCTGCCAACGGCGGTCTCGAACATCTTCATCTCAAGCCCAAGAGCAATTTCGGCGCTTTGTCGTGGAGTGACGTCGCTCGGGGCCAGTGAGAGTGATTGTGCATTGCTTCGATCCGCAATTGCCCAGGTGTACGATGCCAGGTATACGACGGGCTTCTTGCACGAATCAGGTCGTGCATTTTTCAAGGGCAGTTGGAGGATGAGGTCGTCGGCGTGTACTTGAGGTGGGTAGTAGGTCGTTGGACGCGGCCAGGGTGGGCCATGGCAGGACTTGAAGAACATCATACATGTACTTTCTTGTGTTTCACGTCAATTGCAACTCCTTGCGTGCCCGAGAAAAGTGCGAATCGGTTGTGGTCTAATGGTGAAAAAGGTCACAATGCACACGCCGAGTCAGCAAGCGGAGAGTGGAAAGGTCCTGAGTCGTTGTTCATTTACATACTCGCTCATGGTCCGCCTGTATGTAGCCAAGGGTCATGCAATAGCTCCTTCGCAGTACTGCGCTCCTGGGGAAGCCACTTGAGCATCCTTTTTACAAATTCGATGCATAATCTCTTCTCTTCGCCTTCCATGCAAGTGATTGCAGATTCGAAGCTGAAGTCTTGCGGGACTAGCTCTGGATGCTTCAAATTACCTGCTCAAAACGTGTCAATAGCTGTAGAGATGCATATGCTGTCCTTATTAACTCACCGTTTGGATTGTAAAACATTGCTGTCCGCTGGCCGGCTGGGAAAGTATCTGGTTTAGGGCCTAGAAGTGCGGTTATATGGGCGATGTGCAAGCTGTCATCATACTCGTGGGTGCCTTTGGTGGCGACTTGGAAGAGCCAATCACCTTCGAGCAGATCCCATAGCTAATGCAGCGTCAGATGAGTTGAACAGCGTGTGTGTCATTGGGGTACGAGACTATACCATTACCCCAAGATTCCAGATATCAGCAGGATAAGAGAAACCCGCGTCGAGGATACTCTCGGGAGCGCGATAGATATCTGCTTGAATGCAGCCAGAATGTGCTTCTGTTCCCAGGACAGCGCGGTCAAAATCCGTAATGCATATCATCCCCGTCGGTTCCCTGAGAGGGCCAAAGCCGTTCCGTGACAGATAGATTACGCGACCATCGTCCAGGTGCTTCTGCGGTAGTGGATGGTGGTACTCGTCATCCGCCACCTCAGCTGGAATCGCAGGATCTTCGAAGCGTATCATGATATTGTCGGTTTTGAGGTCTACAGATATATCAGAAAGTTGTTCTAACATGATGTAGATGCGATCGTGATACCTGTATGGATGACTTGGCATTGAGAATGGAGATAATCAAGCCCTTCCAAGATCATCCGAATCAGAACTTTGACGACGTTAGGAGGTATGACATTGCCAACGAATCTTTGACAATACATCCAAAGGGGTTCACGCAGGGGCTCAGAGACAATACATCTATGTTCGGCGTTGGGGCTCCCCAGTGTGAAGGAATCCCGTAGTTTCCGCACAAAGTTCCAGCCCATGTGCTGCCGATTCCCGTCAGTAAGCCTGCGCAGGATGGCGAGTTCGTCTTTGACACCATGACCAAGCGATGCCTGCCGATTCGCACCAATCTTCACGACGACGAACTTTTCTTCCGTCCAACGAAATCTTTCGGGACACCATCAGCGTATTCCCGATCGAAGCCCAAGTCCAATTACCTGCGAAGATCTCTAGCTAGCCAGACTGTCGAGCCGGAGCCATGGCCCAATTTGGCCACGATCTGGTAACGGCTGTTCAGGATGTCCCAGAGCCGTGTCGGGTGGAAGAAGTCATGCCGATAGTAGGGGCTTTGTTCTTCCTCAATGGGCTTGTTGGGATCCAGTCTTGGCGCAATTGCTGTCGACGGGGACCACGGCGCATAGTACAGAAGTGAGGCCAGCCTTGTTCTAGAGCGCGCTAGGCAGCTCGATACAGCCATGAGAGGTCAATATCGACGAGCACCAACGATTCCATGGACTGGAGGAAGTGCGAGAAGTGTATGTAACACTGACAGTCGTTGGAGGTGGTAGAGTTCGGAACTTTCGGCAATCGTCCCGAGAGTGGAGCGAAGCGGGAAGTGGGAACGGGCACGTATCGATAGATTTATTAGCGATTACAAACTTCTTCTTTCCTCCGTTCGACCACCACACAGAATTCGAACACCACCCCCACTTGTCGCCCCCTCTACAAGTTGGTCGTGAACAGCTACAAGTACCACACTTGACCACCATACAGCTCAACGCCCCCCGCACCATCTTCGAAAGCCGCCCAGCATGTCGATGGAGATCGACTCCATCGCGCTCGAGCAGCGGCCGACCACGATGGCAACAGTGCTTTGCTACAATTGTGGCGCACCGATTGATGGCACCCAAGCAGCAGGCGCTTTGTGCAATGACTGCCTGAAGACCACTGTTGATATCACATCCAGTATCGAGCGAGACGGTATATTGCTCATGTGCAGAGATTGCGAAAGATGGCATTCGCCCCCAGCTACCTGGGTTGTAGCGGCACCTGAGTCTCGAGAACTGCTTGCTCTTTGTTTACGGAAACTGAGAGGTCTACACAAGACAAGGATCATTGATGCGAGCTTCATTTGGACAGAGCCACATTCGAGGCGTGTCAAGGTGAAGATCACAGTACAGCAAGAGGCGATGCAAGGCACGATACTGCAGCAAACATTCGAAGTGGAATTCACACAGAATTACAAGCAATGTCCTGACTGTGCAAAGTCGTACACACACAATACATGGCGCGCTGTCGTTCAAGTGCGGCAAAAAGTTTCTCATAAAAGGACGTTTCTGTACTTGGAGCAGCTTATCCTCAAACAAGGAGCGCACAACAACACGATCAACATCAAAGAGGTACCTAATGGCATTGATTTCTACTTTGCTGAGAGGAATAGCGCCGAGAAGTTTGTGGATTTCCTGCAGTCTGTTGTCCCTGTGACGACGAAAAAGGCACAGGAATTGATCTCGATGGACACACACACGAGCGTCAAGAGCTACAAGTTCACATTTTCCGTCAACCTGGTGCCAATTTGTAAGGACGATCTGGTAGCCCTACCACCCAAGCTCGCAAAGTCAATTGGCAACATCTCTCCTCTCACGCTTTGCTACCGCATTGGTACTTCAGTGAATCTCCTCGACCCCAACACGCTGCAGACGGCAGACCTCAGCACGCCGATATACTGGCGAGAACCTTTTTCACCTCTTGCAGCTTCGAAAGACTTGATCGAGTTCGTGGTGATGGACATTGAGCCGACTGGACAACGGCACGGTCGCTTCGAGCTTGCAGAAGCCACGGTTGTCCGTGCATCCGATCTTGGTGTCAACGACAACACATATCTTATCCGTACACATCTCGGCAGTGTGCTGAATGCAGGCGACAGTGCAATGGGCTATCTTCTTTCAGGAACGCAATTCAATAACCCGAACTGGGAGGCACTCGAGGAATCAAAAAAGTACTCTGGCACGATCCCTGACGTAATACTGGTCAAGAAGCACTACGAACGTACTAAGAAGAAGAGTGGCAAGGGTCGCAACTGGAAGTTGAGGAGAATGGCTCGCGAGGAGAGTGAAATGAAGCCAAGAAAACAAGATCAGGACCGCGATGAGATCGATTATGAGCAGTTCTTGCAGGATCTTGAGCAGGACCCTGAGCTCAGAGGCAACCTCAATTTGTACAGAAATAAGGACGCCGCGGCTGCGGCTGCTGCGGCCAGCGAGATGGAGACTGACGATGAGGACGATGACGGTCTCCAGATACCGATGGATCAGCTCATTGACGAGATGGAGGACATGGGAATGGACGATGTCAGCGAAGAGGAAAGTGATGATGAGTAGCAGAGTTGAGCTCGTACTAAAGGTGTTGCTGTTATATCTGATACTGTCAGTTGGTGGACGTGGACATTTCTCGACGAGAGAAGTCGCGAACATGCGTCATTGAGGTATAGAGGAGATTTCTAGAGTACTCATAGCCCTGTCGCCATGGGCCGCGCTATGCAGCTACAAATAATGCACTGGGGCGGATTCAATGGCTTGCCGAGCTATCTTGAGCCGAGATCTCTTCATCCTAGGAGGTGGCTGGTCACACGAGCAGCTGAGAGCCAGGAAGATAGCCTAGGTACCTAGGGAGCCAAGCAGCTTGATCTAGCGGTTGCACCGCTCCAAAATCACCAAAGTTCCTACCTCCTACAGCCATGACTATCCTGGATGCCAATTATCTCTTCCTTGCAGCGGCGTTGCCAAAGATGTAAACTATTATTGTAGCAACGTGCATTCACATGTACCTAGGTAAATGTAGGAGGTAGGTTGGAGGTATGAAGACATGGCGTGAAGCGTAAGGTAGATTCGATTCGATCCGCCAAGCAGTGACATGATATGACGCGGATCATTCGGCCTCGGACACGGATTGTGTTGAGCACTAAACTGCTTCGATCTCACAAGTTGCCGACCACCGAGTTCGTGCAGGCAGTATAGGTAAGAAGAAGATACCTTATGTATGTAGCAGAGTAAACCGGGTAGAGAAGGACGCCCAAACAGCCGTGCGGGATCTTCCACAGCCACTACTGCGTTACTTTCACAAACAAGGCGAGCATTGAGGTCGTCTGCAGTCTGCACAAACCTCCCAACACAAGTGACAACGCCCAAACAAATAAACAACAGGAGTCCCTTCTGTTTAGCGCTGTCATCATCCATCGTTGTGCCCCATCGGCGCCACCGGATGGTTCTAGGTCTTCGAACTAGTGTAGCCGGTACCCTGGACGACGGAAGGCCAAAGTGGCCAAGGGCCATGAATAATCACACTTCACGTTGTCCTTTGTAGTAGTAGTAGTAGTTATATCATATCACACCTCACCGTCGCTATATACGTCTATTCCACTTCACCGTCGCCTTACTACCCTTACTATCGCCTTACTACTACTACCTTACCGTCGCCTCTATACCGCTCGTAGTATGCCTACTGTCTATAGACTACGTAGCGGCCAAACCCTCGATTACGAGCAGTACCGCGAGTTTATTACCGAACTATATACTAATAGACATACGCAATAGGCGATTCGCAAGAATCTCTTTACCGCCTTCGGCGTTCGTATCGAGATACGTACGTTAAAGCGTAGATTGAACTTATAGGGCCTTATAAGAACGTACGCGCTACTATAAACACGACTAAGCAACACCGAAGCCCTACGCCTACGAATCGCTTATACCTATTACTACCTACGTTTGACGGACGAGCAGGCCTACTAGATTCTCGGTATTAATAGTTAGAATATAAACAAGCGGACCTACAGGCGTATACAGAAGGAGATAGGGTTTATAAAGCAGGTACCGGCAGAACGACATACGGAGGCAGAGGTAGAGATCGCTATTGTACTATCCGAAGAGCTAAGCAAGTCGTCGGTTAAAACCTATAGACGTAGAAATCTCTATATATACCTACGCTCGAGGACTAACCTAATTAGGAGGTATACTACTTACTTATATCCCTATAGCCGACTTACGGCCGACTCTTATAGCAGACTTATAACTAACTTATTGTAGGGACCGCGTATACTGTATATATAAACTACTTAATCCTAACGGCGTTCAGCGGCGGCGCGACAAAGCTAGAGAGTACTATAGCGCTATTATTACCCCTAGGCTAATGTACGTACTCTCGATAGATGCCTATTATAAGTTTGAATACTAGGGTATTTAGATCTACGGCGTAATCGATGTCTACTCTCGCTATATACAGTAGCTCTACGTAGGAATTATAGGTAGGACAGTAGTATTAGTACTCGCTTAGTATACGGCTACGCTACGCGATAGGGGCGTTGCTCTATTAATTCTACGTTTAGACTATAGTAGAGAGACTCTCTTAGCCGCGGACGTATATTATATAGTTCGATATACTACGTACGACGTAGAGGCCGCCGCTACCGCCGCCGCTACCGCCGCCGAGAACGAGTTATTACGCGAGCGCGGCCTGCCGCCGCTGCCGCTAGTACTACTATCGCTACTACCTACGTTCGGCGAGTACTACCGATATAGTACGAGTAAAATAAATCAGCGTATCGAGGTATAGTAGAATTAGTAGGCCAAGGCACTTAATAGATAGAGAGGATACTTCTACTCTCTTAATACGAGAGATTTATATAACCCTAACTTACTCTTAGATCGCCTAGCCTTCCTAGCGGTATATATAGAAATTATACGTACTACAGTAACGGAGTTCGCCTATATATAGAATACATATAAGATTCGGAAATAATCGAACCGTCTATACTTAATTCTAGGCATTCTATACGTACTATACTACTATCTAGAGCTATATAGGGCGGCGTCGTAGGGGGTACGTATACCGGAGGCTATTATCGAGATACTCGAATAGAGTCTAGAAGGGTTTAGTAAGTACCTCGTCCCCGCTCGCTATACTGCTTATTAATTCTAGGTAGATTTAGAGGCTTTTCTCCCTAACGAGACATATAAGTAGTATAAGGTCAATCTGCTTACGAGCTGCGGTCTCTCTCTGCCTATTAATAGAGCTTCCTTTGACTAGGCAACCGGCGAGCGTACCTATAAGTCAGTATATACTATACTACGAGGATTAATAGATAAGTATATTACCTCTAGGCAACTATCTATTCTTAGTAAACTTAAGAAGCTATTAGTAGTACGAAATTGGATACCTAATCGTTAGATAGAGGAGGCATTCAGAGATATAGGCGGCCGGCTAATTGCGAACGCTGATTTCGGTATAGTAGAATTCGAGTTTATATAATAAGTTTATATAATAGACATAGGTATAAAAATTCTGTAGGCACTTCCTCGGCGATTCTAGCCGCGAGCAGCGATAATTCTCTTTTCTACTACCTTATATCCTATACTTCTTTCTATATACGTAGCCCTATATCTACTATGCCTAACTACGATACCGACTAAAAACTACCGGATTTGTAGGCAGAGTACTGCCCTATTAAGACGTTTATCTACTACAAGACTATATTCGGCAGGTTCTCCTATTATAGTTAGTATCTATAGCTTAATCCGGACGGTCCGAAGGACAAGTTTGTATAAGAGCCCTTAATAGTACTAGATCTATTATACCCTCGGCGTATAGTATCGTCGGTGCCGGCTGTCTCGGTAAAGGTAAGCCTATACCTATTAACAGAGATATAACGAGTTACTTAGCGAACTATTAATAATAGGGGTTTCAGACGTTCGATATAATTCCCTAATACGCGAACTCCGAGCGTAATAGTACTAACGTATACTTCCGATAGAAGGCTACTAGCGCTGTTAATCCTTACGCCGGCGCTAAGCTAGTTACCCGTCGTTAGCAGTCCGCGCCGGCCGTATCCTCGTTGTCGTTAGTATCCCCGGCAGCACTAACAGTTAACTTTGCGTATATCTATAATATCTATACGTAGCGCTCGGTACCTAAGTATAATCGTAAGGCTAAGAAGGATAAGTAGGTACTAGAGGAAGCCGAGCTTATTCTTACCGTCCCTAACAACTTTACCGACGTCGACCGTAACGCCGAAGACGCCTCTCGCTTACTCGTTGACTTCTTTATCGAGCGAGTCGATCTAGTAGACCTACTAGCGTATCCGATCGATAACATTCCTAACTTTGACGACGTAATACTCGCTACTAGCTTTAAGGAGAACAAGCCTCTTAAGGTGTCGTATAGAGCAACCAAAGCGCCGAACGTTATAGATACTATAGCTATATTCCTCGTACTACTACCTACCAAGTCGTCGCCCTATATATATAATATTACGATCGTTATCCAATTAAGAAAGGAGCTAACGCTACCGCCGCCGAAGAGTCTTAAACGTAAGGATAGAGAGAGTACTATACTCGAGCTATTAGTACTCGAGAGTGTCGAGCAAGACCCGCTTATTAAGAAAGAAAAGGGCCTAGCGTAGACATACAGAGTGATTAACACGAGCAAGCTACCGGAATTTATAGATCTAATAGGCGACGCCGACTATAGGAGCGATACCGACAGCGAGGCGGCTAAGGATACGAAGGGGGGTATCGACGCTAAGAGGGGTATCGACGCTAAGGGGGGTATCGACGCTAAGGGGGGTATCGACACTAAGGGGGCTAGTATACTATAAGAGCGAGGAGAGAGAGAGTCCGATACGAAGGCAGTAGTAGACAGCGATAGAGAGAAGATTAGTATAGTAACAAGGGCGGTAGCAAGGGCTCGGGGTTGACTTATTAGTACTCGCGGAGGGAAGAGGGCATAGGCGCTATATGTACTTAACTATATAATAGCCGTTATAGATAGTATAGCTTTAATAGCGACGTACCCGGAAGGGGGAGGGTTATAGATATTAGACGGTTTCAATTACTACTTAATTCACTTATTCTATTTAACTAATAGTACTATTATTAGCCGCCTAATCTAATATAGTCGGCAGCGTAACACCCCTCTCGGGCTACAAACGAGTAGCGAGGGCATATATCTTACTACTAACCTAATTGAATCTACCTTTAAAGAAGCTAATCTACCTGCGCGCGTACTTGTCTAAGCCGTCTACTCGTACCTTAACGGCGGCGACTCGCCGAGTAAGACGTACTAGCTTACTGCTATCTATATCTTCTATAGGCTAACCGGTATTATACTCTACCTTTGCGTATCGCTTACAATAAGCATATATCTTACTATTAACCTAGTCTATCTTATATAGAACAGATAGGCCCGGACGAGTATAGTAATAATACGGATCTAGTACGTCGATCCCTTCGTAAGTTTCTATAATTCGGCCGGCCTAGTCGAATTTCTATAGGTTATTCTTCGTAACCTTCTTCTTCTTAGTATCCTCGCCGTTCGACTTATTAATCTAGCCCTACTACTTCGCGGCATCGCAAAACTAGAAATCGGCGGTATTAGTAGTAGTAGGGCGGCGAGGGTAGGGATCAACCGGCGGAGTACTACTATAGAGAGAGAGAGTTAGTAGTAAGTTATAGATAACAGCGCCGCCGAGGATCGTACTCGGTATTATTATCTATTGTCTTATCTATCTTATCCGCCGTCTTATCTATCTTATCCGCCGTCGTATCTACCGTCGTATCTGCCGTCGTATCCGCCGTCGTATCTGCCGTCGTATCCGCCGTCGTATCTGCCGTCGTATATACCGTCTAATCTATTGTCTAATCTAGTAGCTCTAAGTTATTGTCCTCGTTATAGCGCGCTTCGAGCGCTATAAGTGCCTCGAACGCAGTTATTATATTATCGCCTTCTTATAGCATCTCGAGCGCGAGCGTTACATTCGCGATAATACTAGGAGGGTTAGTTAGCGTACGTCTGTAAGTATAGCAGCGAGCGTATATACTCGGCTCGGTAGGGCATAGTTGCGGAATATAGTAATAATAGATATAGTAATATATATATAGTTCGTACTCTGATAGCGGCGGCGGCGACGACCTAATAAGTCGCTTATAGCGACGACAAAGCCGCGGCGACGACAAAGCAGTAGAACGAGTAGAATGGACGCATCCGGCGACAATGGACGCATATAGCGACGGTGAGGTGTGATATGATATGACTACTACTACTACTACAAAGGACAACGTGAAGTGTGATTATTCATGGCCCTTGGCCACTTTGGCCTTCCGTCCTGGACCCGATTACAGATGTAGTCGTTCCTACTCCACCTCATTGATCACCACACCACTGGAACGGGCGGCTGTGCTCGTGCACTGCACTACCTACTTTCGTTGTCGAACAGAGGACAACGCGCGCGCGCTGCTGTTTCCCCACTCACGGCCGGCGCTGGACGAAGGGCATATTTGTACGCATTGATAGAATTCGGAAAGTGACCAACATCAGCATCGTCCCGCGAAGACCAGATCCGCATCCGCTCACTCAATCGCTGCTCATCACCGATCGCTACCACTGGCTGCCCACTCGCGGCACAAAGGCCGTCTGTCCTCTCCACAGAAAACTCGTGTGTAGGCAAGTCGTACGCGTGTGCGACGAGAAAAGAGAAGGAGAAGGGCCGTGGGCGGCTTCAGGTTGCGTTGCACGAGTCGGACCACTCGATGGGCTCGTTACCGGACGCTGTCGCAGGCGCGTCGCTCCCGACAACGAGTACTGCCCGAGCGCTATCAGAGGAAGAGAATACCCCTGTCGAGATGAGCACATTGAACGCTGCTAGCAGGAACGACGTTGCTGTTGGGACACCCGGCAGTCTTGGGGGGCTCGAGGACGCAGTACAGACACAGCCTGCCGTAGCAGCGTCAATGGCAACAGAACCAGCACCAGCAATTGCAGGAAGCTCACAACCTGTATCCACCACATCGGCGTCTGCTCCACCTCCTCAGGATAATCTACGCAGAACGGAAACAGAACACCTCGGACCTGCGATCGAGGGCGATGCGCCCCTAGTGCCGAGTAGCACTGTGTCTGCTGGACCGGTCCTGATGATATCTCTCATGCTCATAACAGGAGCAAGACATCCATACAAGATCGACGAGAAATACCTTCGAAATCGAAAAGTCATTGCGCAGGACTCCTCAGGAGCGTTCAATCCAAGAGAGTTGAGTGGGTATCAGCTCAAAGAGCTAATTTGGACGGATTGGCGGCAGGAGTGGGAACCACGTCCGAGTAGTCCTGGGAGGATCCGGTTGATCGTGATGGGCAGGATGATTGAGGACAAGGGGTTGTTGAAAGGTGAGATTTGTCTGCGAGACAGCAGCACAAGGAAGTCGCTAATGTCTCTATAGATCTTCCGTTCAACATGACGGCAACAAATGTTGTTCACATGACCGTCAAACCCGCCGATATTATTGACGACGACGAAGCTGCGAACGCTAAGAGTACTGGTAAAGTCGCAAGACAGCGCGAATCAGAAGAGCAAGGTGCTGGGTGCAGATGCGTGATATTATGAGGACTGGTCGCAGAGACTCTTCTGGCTGATACACCTTCTTCGGAGGCATCGATATGGACTGTACGTGCACTCATTACTGGGAGCATGCAATACAGCATTGTTGTGGGGGGTTGGGAATTTTTTTTGATGGCGCATATGTACGGGCAAGCATAAGGGCAGGAGTGATGGGTACCCAGAGGCGAAATGTGCGAGCATAGGGTGTCCGCCAAGTTTTATTTATGGGTTGGGCTGTAGCATAGATGGTGGCATGAGTGACGTGCCTTACGCAGCGGTCCGTAGGTTAGGTACATTTTCATTTTCGTTTCACTAGAAATGAAATCTTTCTTATACATTCGATATCACTCCGGTTAGCCTTGCAGTGACAGTAGCCATCTCAGCACTATGCGGGCACGAGCACAAATGATATTATACAGCAAACGCCTAGCCGCGACTCCATCTATGCACCGACCATTCTAGGCGGTATGGATGTTCACCCAGCATATGTAAGAAGGAACCGTAGCAGGATTTCCCAAAACTTGGTAAGGTCCTCGCCATTTTACACCATTCTATGTCTCGGACCCAGCAAGAGTGGTTCTCGAGAGAAATATATATCCTCTCTACCAGACGTTCATCTTAAACCTTCCCTCCATCTCCGAGTGAAAGTCCACCGAATCTCTCAATTCCTCCCCAGTAAACACATCTTCCCAACTGATTTCGCAGTCTCGTCCGCTCAACACGTCCGCATGGACTCCACCCATTCCCGCCCCAAATCCTCCTCCCAAGATACTAGGTCTCCACTCTCCAGCGCGTACAATCGATAGTTCCATTTGACGCTTGACGGGCTCTGCAATTCCATACTGCTGACGGAGAAGGTTGTATTTGAGGCTGTCTTGTTGGTTCCGCCAGTTAGAGAGGCGGTTCTCGAGAGGGTGGGCGGATTGGAGGGTTATTGATGCGCCGGATGAGGTTGTTTTCGGGGCAGGTGTGCTGAGACTGAGGTTGGCCCGCAAAGTGTCGTGGACACCTGGCGCAGAAGGGGCGCCAATGTTGGCATGTGAGTGGGAAGGGTTGTTGGAAGAAGGGACAATGCGGAGAGACTGAGGTAGAATGGTCAGCATGGTAGTGAGGGTTGTTAGTAGAATAGTGATGGTTACTGACCATGGCTCTGGTGTTTGAGCGGTGCTCGAGTTGTAATTCGACGATGATGGAAGCGCTTTTGGACTGCACTGTTGGTAGATGGCTTAATCACAGATGGCGCTGTATTGTTTGGCCTTGGCGAGTCTGATCTGGTGATGGCGTGAAGGTGGTGATGTTGGGTTGTGTTTGAGTGAGCGAGCGAGCTGGTCGGGAGCTCGTCAGCGCGAAGGCAGTCGCGACGCATCACAGAAAAGTGGGTCCGCAGTTGCGCCTCACTTCATGTCCGACGCCGACAAGGTTTCATCTTCTTGACTTGACCTTCATCAACCACATGTCATCAAATAAATCATACTCGACCTCAGCGCGGAACACGAAGGACGTCGCACTTTCAAGTTCCAATCTCGTGCTTTGCACGGATCACGCAAGTCTTGCCAGGAGCAGAGTATACCCTCCGGAAGGCGGGAGACATGCCCGCGTGGTTCACTCCAACAATGAATGCAGGCGACGAACCGCTATATCAAAAAACCAAAAGGGGTGTGGCGACGACAGGATCATAATTTCCAGAAAGGTATATTAGCCGAGCTGGCTCCAGCTGGCTCTACTTTGGGAGAAAAGCAGTGCATGGGCTTTCATATATGGGAGCTGTGGATGGCGAGATCTGATGCTCCATCCGCGCGAAAAAGGCTTGCCCGTTCTTGAGTCGCTGTTCTAACTCCTTTGCTGACAATTCCCTGCCTCCAATTCGTTCGCATTTGGCCCAGCTAGCCCTCGCTAGTATTTTCATGTGTGCTGCGATGGCTACAGTCTGATCCCACGATCTGCTGATATGGTTGCCATACATCTATCCCAAACTCTTGGCTGCCGGGACTACTCGCCTCTTTCCATCTAGTTCTCTGCTCAGGGTTATCGAAATCATCGAGCTTCTTCGGTTCCGACCAAATAATCCTGGCCTTCACGTTCAATCACGCCTTTCGGTCCCGGTTCGGCCTCCTTCGAGTGGCATACATGACTCTCATCCGCAGTGACTGCAGAAAGCTGAACTGGTTCATGCAGATGTCGGTGGAGTAGTCCATATAGTTGTGGATCGGATCAACACCACGGTTCGGACAGGTATCTGGATTAGTTGTTGGACATCCCCTTGTTGGGGTGAGCTGCTGCGGAGTATCTGGAACGTAGTCTCCTTTGCCTTGACAGCCCAGTCCATCGTCTTGGAAGGTGTGGAAAAGTCCAAACCTGATGCATCTTAGCGCACAGTTCAGATGTCCGATCTCGAGTTCTCTGGCACTTACCAGTGTCCCGCTTCATGCACGGCTGTCGCTCCCAGATTATAGTTCTGTGTTTCGCCGCCAGGCATGCTTCCTGCGAGGTTCACGCAGCCGTCAAGCACGCGTTGCTCGGCATCTGGCCTCTGTTCTGGAAAGTAGCAAAATCCAAGAAGTCCGCCTAGATCCAATTTAGTCAGTACCGTCGACTAGGCTCGAGGGACTGTACAATACTCACCACCAAGATCGCTCAGGAAGTACAGATTGAGATCATCATAACCTCCTTTTCTCAGCTTGGTCTTGTACTCGAGCTCTAGAGGTCCGTCCACAGTCTTTGCGTAAGCATCGTTGACAGTATAGTCGATGCTCTTAGTGTTGAAAGCGATACGAGAGCTAGCATATGCTTCGTTCATAACACGCATCTGCGAGCGTGATCAGCTCATGTATACACACGGTAAGCAAGTGCAACCTGGCACTCACTTGTTCCTCCACCATGGATCGAGGATAAAGATCACTTTTGTTCTGGGAGGTAATAACGTGAACATAGGTGTCCACGGTATATCTTGCTCGGCGAGCCGCTCGCTCCACGATGTCGCTCGTGGGCTCAGTCGTGGTCTCGAATTTCAAATCCGCAGGAGGGTTGACTGAACCACACTTCCGTTCTTGGGCAGAAGCACATGTTGCCGCAGCAGCGATAGCCAGAGCTACGAAAAACTTCATGTTTACTCTTCCCAAGAGACAAAACTCAAAGGCGTGGATTCTGACGGGAACCTGATGGCAGATGGAGACTACTTTTATATGGAAATATACAGTCTATTCCGTCCCTCCAACGCACCCATCCCCTCTATCTCTGTCGCGATCCATGACAGGTCGAGACTTGATCGCCCGCGTTTTTTTCTTTTACGAGACCACTGGCGAGTGATACCAGCAAACAGCAGTCGCCAAGAAAAATGGCTTGAAGTCATTGAAGCTCTCCAGGCTAATATGAGTGGCGCGCTTTACTCAATGCGGAAGGTACATTGTCCCCAGGTGCGTTGATCTCCTTTCCATGTTACCATCTACCTACCACCTACCACCTGTGTGCCTCCTACTGGCTGTTGTATGTCTTGGCAATAAGCTACCCTTTTGCACGGAGAAGGGAAGTACACATTCATTCCCTCGCGTTCTATCACATGTTCTTGTGTGAGTATCTTTCTTTAGCGGATTCTTTTGTTACGACTGCGTGGGCGGGTTTTTTTTTCACTTGCCCTGTTTGGACTGGGGCCTTTGCAGTTTACTTTACCTATTCAGTGATAAGTGGCAGATGCTGGCGTACTGTTACGCCCGTTTCATGTGAGTGTAGTGTGGAAAGGAGAGCGGATTTTGTGGTGGCCCGATTTCGCAGCATTGGGGTTGTCGTGCTTGCTTGTTGGAGGTCTCGATTTCAGGTCTCGAGGGAACGAACATTGCTGCGGGCTTTTGGTCTGTGTTCTTGGAAATTGGTTTCCGTTGACCCAAGTAAAACTCTCTATATACATGGTCAGTCTGTTCGTATCTTCGCAATCTGCCGCATCTTTTGTTTCGCTCAGAGAAGATATGCGTGACTACACCTGGCTGGAAGGGAGTAAATGGACATGAGCTCCACGTCGTTCTACTTCTATAGTGTAGGAGGTATATAGTGCGTGAGTAATCTATAGCTTTGGAAATCGCACTCGCAAGAATTGTGTCGGCCACGCGATATCAACTCTCAGACGCCACGCAACTTTCAACACCCACTCGGGCTCTCGCATGAATTGTCTTGCCACCAAAATGACATCTGCCATTGGCTCCTTGTCGGCACTCGCATCTGTCATGGCTTTGGCAGTTTCCGCTTCGGCTTGGAGACTGGCTGCATCCTCTTCGACAATGTCACGGGCCTGCTCTGCTTCAGTGATCAAGCCCACGGCTCCTATCAAAATTTCCTTCTTTGCAGCCTTGACAGCACTGCGAATTTGTGCGGCAATTTTGACCTGATAATCTGTCGATCGGAACATGTTGATGCGCTGCTGGTGATGGTTCCCACCCGACGATACATCGAGCAAGTCGACTCCCAAGTCTGCAACAATCTTGGTGAGCTTGATGGTGCTTTCTACATCCCAACTGCCCAGTCTCTTGCCAATCTCACTCTCTTCCATCCACTCCGTAGAGCTGAGCCGGAGAAATAGCGGCATGCTGACGGGAATGACTTTGCGAACGGCTTGGATGATCTCGATGACCAGTCGTGTTCGGTTTTCAAAAGACCCTCCATACTTGTCTGTGCGCCGATTGGTGATCGGGCTCAGAAATTGGTGAATCAGGTAGCCGTGGGCTCCATGGATTTCGAGCAGGTCGACTCCCGCTCGAACACCGCGCACAGCTGCGGATGCCCAGTCTTGCACCAGTTGCTGAATGTCCTCGACAGTCAATTCTCGGGGTGCATAATACCCGCCTTTGGGGTCAGCACTGTTCATGCCATCCCACGTGAATTCCTCGCCACCGGATGGGCCGACCACGTTATCAGGCCAGCCACCAGCCTCTTTCGAGGCGCGCACGCTTGCAGCCTTCTTCCCCGCAGCGATGAAAGGTGGCATCGTGCTCCCTTTGCGGCCTGCATGGGCTAGTTGCAATCCACATAGAGCGCCTTGGCTGTGAATGAAGTCGGCAACAGACTTGACGCCATCAATCTGGCTGTCTGACCACACGCCTGGGCAGTTGGGGGTTATGCGTCCATTTGGCTGTACTCCAGAAGCCTCGATGAAGACCAAGGCAGCGCCTTTCAGCGCATAATGGCCTAATGTCGCATGATGATACGGCGTGAGGGCACCGATTTGTGGTCCTGCCTCGGCCGTGGAGTACTGGCACATGGGCGCCACCACAATGCGGTTACGGAGCGTGACGCCGCGGATCGTGAGAGGCTTGAATAGTGTCGGCACTTTGGCATTCTTGTCGAAAGGTGTCCCTGGAGAGAATTGGTGTGCCGGTGTAAAGTATGGTATGCCTGGAAAAGGCGTGTTATACGAGCTAGGGGCCATGCTGTAAGGTCATTCGAGATGTTCTTTTCGTCTACGGATTGATTAATCGAGAAGACAGCGAGATCACTCGAGAAGTGACATCAAGACAGTTGGTGGTCAGCCTGAGCGTAACGGTGTCTAGATACGAAGTCAAGGAACCTGGATTGCGTCCAGGGATCACAACCTGACCTCGGTAAGCCGATGCGAAAACAAAACCGAGTTGTAGCAACTCATCAATGGTCATTGAGTTGCCAGACGGAGGTTGCCCTTTTCAGAGAACCACAATCTTCTCATCTCGATGCCACGAATTGTGAATATAAGGTATGGGTCGGATTTGGCTGAGAGAGGCTACGAAGGGACGGCATGTTCAGTCTCCACTTTTGCTTTTATTCCGAGGCTCTCCCTCGTCTCCATCCATCTGTACCATCAACACTACATGTACCTAGGTATTCACGCAACATGACATCCATCACTAATCACAGGCGCGTTCCGTGGCATAGGCCATGCAACAACCATCCTCGCCAGGCCAGCGAAGCTAGAACATAGGCATAAACTAGGCACTGTGCTGAATGTCGCGGCCGGTAATCAAATGCTAGTACACTGTCTGTTCAGCTACCAACACGGGTATCATGCTATATAACACACCAGGAAATGTAATGGCTCTCGTGCTGCACTGTTCGGCATCATTTAAGAGCCCATGTAAGTCTTTGATGAATCCACACTTTCACTTGACCCCATGTACTTTCTTCTTCACAGCCCTCAGACCCGGCAGCGTTCCATCCTTGCCTCTTGCTCTTCCTACCTCTATAACCACCATCCTGATGAAATCCCTTAGTCCCCAGTAAGCGCTATGCGCACCCAGCATAGTCAAATACTGGATCTCAAATGTTCCTCCGCCATACTTCACGAAATAGTCAATCTGTCCATTATCGTTCAACAGCGTCATTCTCTTCTCTGCAATCTCTTCTCTTGTGAAATTGTGAACTTCCAATTCAACATTACTTGGTAATCGGGGCAGGACAGGGATATCTCTCGAACCAACGTCACCAGTCGCTGTAGTAGGGTATCCATAACCGCCGCCAAACCAGCGTGTGGTGTTGGATGTACCAGCAGGGAACCAGTACGAGGGCGTGTTGTTTGGAATATGAGCTTTGCGTAGTGAAGTTGCATAGTCTCGATCCACGGCAGCGTTCATCTGGTACGCTACAGGATCGTAACCATTGATGATGTTGTAGATATTGTCAACTGCGATACACCCATATTGACCTCTTTGGCCGCAGATCGTCGGCGTATTGCTTTCGGGGTCAGCTTGGGCTTGGGCAGACGGACTGTCGATTCGAGGACGAAGATGAGAACGGCGGAGCAGGACGAAGAAACCAGCAGGACTTCCCGCGAGGAACAAGGAAGACGTGTTGAAGAGAAAGTGGTCAATGTCGTCGGTCTCGATATCGATCTGAGTAGGGTCGGAGAGGTGGGGCGGAACAACGGTGGGCTGCTTGGAGAGGATGTCTATGGCCATGACAGATCCGAGTGAGTGGGCGATGATATGAACTTTACCATGCTCAGAGAAGCCAGGATTGTTCTGACACCACAGCTTGTAGACATGATTCGCCTCCTTGATCACAGCCGCGATCATCTTTGGCTGGTGTTGCGACATGTAGTACGGAATGTCGAGCATGACATCAGACACAATGCCGCGCACCGAAGGCAGAGTGTCGGGCGTGATGTCCTGCAGTGTGAACTCGTTCTCTGCTGTAGAGGCCTTGGCGTCTCCTGAATCTTCGTCAGGACGATAACCGCCTTCTTCGAACGAAAGCGAGTGGCGCCAGTTGATGGGCAGCACCATGATACCGCCCATGTCTTTCCGAAAGTGCGTCTTCACTTCCTTGTTCCCACACTCGACCTGGATTTCTCGCCGGAAGGCGTTAATAGCATGAGTGAAGTGGAAGCTCTCCATACGCTGGCTGAGTTTCTGTCCAATCCCATGAATCACAAACACCAGATCCGTGACCTTTGGCCGCTCACTCAAAGCAAGATCGGGGTCTAGCTTGGCTCTCACATTTGCACTCGACCCCGAAGTCGCCACGCCGTGTGCTGCTTTCGTCACTTTCGCGCCTTTCCTCGGGGGATGCAATTTGTCCCAGATGGCTTGATCGAAGCCACGCACCACAGGTATGCCAATCGCATGACCTTTGCGGATGTAGTTGGCCAGCGGACGTCGGCCATAGTATGCAGAAGGAAGCAGAGTTGGCTTGAGAATCTTTGCTTCGCGTTCGTTGGCGTAGAGCACGCCACATGTGGCATACTGGCGTATCGCTCCAGCTCTCCCATATGTGGAGGTGCCATAAGCCTTGTTGTCCACAGCACCTCCTGTCGATGCATCAATCACATCGCAGGCCGCCGACACTGCTTTCGCTCTGTGTTGCTCCACGCTCTCTGGACCGGTAGAGTATAACATGCTAGCGGCAGTCTCCAGCACGCTTTGATCTTGGTTGCTCCGCATCGAAGCTGCTCTATTCTCCCTCGCTTTCAACTTCTGCTCAGGCCATAGTTTGTGCACAATCTTCATCTCCCCAGCAGCGCCCACCTCGACGGCACTGTTCAGCTCGTCTTTCCACGTCTCCGTCCAGCATTGAAGATCCACATATCCCGCCTCGAGCATGTTCGCAACAGGTGTCTCCACAGGGAGCATAGTATCTTGGTAGAACCAAGTGCCGCGCACCACCTTCGCCGTATCGTGGACAGGAGTCCAGTAAATGGGCGTCATATGCAGTTCTGGCATTTCTACGTGATGCAGTCGTGACACCCCCACGGCCACTTTGGTAGATGGGGCACGCGGCGCAGCAGGACGAGACGATGGAGCAGGGCTGCGCTCGGCCAGATGATCTCGATCGTCCCAGTTGTAGGTTTCATGTTGTTGGGCAACAGGTCGCGTCGGCCTCTCTTCTAGTGTATGTAGTGGATCGATCTTCTTCCTTGACGGCGCGCGTGCAAAGGGTGTGCCGGTGGTGGTGGACTCGAGACTGCTCACCACCTCAGTGGCGCTGTGGGGGACTGCTTCTGGTAGCTCATCATCGTCCCCCCCTTCTCCTTCTCCTTCTTCAGCCGGGCCTTCGACATGACTGAGACCAGAGGGGACATGGGCTCCAGCTTTTGCTCGCAGTGCTTCTGCTGGACGGGACTGCGAACCGGAACCTCTTCTATCTCTCTGGCTGCCTGCCGCACTCGATCCCTTCCTTGGCCTCACTCTGCTCGTGTCTTTCTCCCCTCTCTCCGCATTGTATGCAATGATTCTGCGCCGTAGATCGTTCCATGCCTTGTCGAGGGCGCTGTTGTCGTAGTGGGAGAAGGGCTTGGGTGGCTGCTTGGACACGCTGCTGGTCGATGTCGTCGGAGGGGGCAGCGGACTGAGTGGATCGTCGATGGGAAGGTCGCTGGTGTAGAAGAAGCGCGCGTTCACTGGCGGCGGCGGTTCGGAGAGGTGAAGGTGCTGTCTGACATAGCGATTGGTGGCAGCCGACGAGCTCGACATGGCTGTGCAGGTCCGGCAGTGGAAGTACCTCTGGGCGCTACGCTCTCCACTGTGCACTACTGTAGGTACGCTGCCTACGACTGGGCATGAGATCCCGACCGAATCAAAGCGAATCGAGTGCTGGTCGGATGACTGAGGAGAGAGGCAGGCCTGTTTTGGTCGGGCAGCTATACAGCTATACAGCCAGCGAGACAGACCATTACCGCCAGGCGAGACCAACCAGATCGAGGGCAAAAGTGCCTACTGGACAACAGGATGAGGGCTTGGAAGGCGAGAACATGTGTTTTCGAGACAAGATGCCTGCTCCCCTTCGCTGTTCCTGACGTGGCATGCAGCAAGGAGCCAAAACTCCCGCGGATGCTGCTACCGCATATCCGGACAACACATCGTGGCGGAGGAGGCGTTGTATATAAATATACCTAAGGTATATAACGGATCGATCATCTGACCTGTAGCTGGTTGACGCTGTCTAGAGTTGATCCTTTCATGGTTGGTTTGTGGCATTTGACAAAAAACACTAACTGAAATTACCTTACTCAGCGTCTTTGTTCTCACATGAAGACTTTTACTGTACCCAGCACGGCAGCACCTGTATACTGTATACGAACAGCGACGCCTTCATTAGCTGGGTCTGCCCTGCCGCCCAGTACGGTACGCACCCCTCAAATGCCAAACACCTCAGGCCAAGTCTTCACCACTCTCGCAATCGTCTGTTCCAAGTCCTGACTACCGGGAGGCGTGCTCACACTATCACTCTTCTCCATCTGCCAACCCAGCTCAAACTCCGTCAAACTCTTCTTCAATGCCTCATTCTGTCCATCAGCAGATGTACTACTATTCAGCGTGAAATGCACAAATCTCTCCCAGCGTGGCACATAATAAGTCTTGATCAGCCCCGCCCATTGCTTCGACGCGTAGTCACTAATCTCCCCTCCAGGTCCCCACAACGTAATCTGATTCCTCGCATTATATTCGTAAAAGTCCGCGATAGCAGCTGCAGTCATGTTGTCCCCATCTGCAGCATTAGTCTCAGTAGGCGCCCAAAGTCGCGCAGAATGGATCCAAGACTCGAGGCTGAAATGGGCATTTCCCGAAGCCTCCAGGACCGAATCTAGATCGAGGAGGAGTGACAGCATTCGTGCTCCCGTCTGCTCAGCAGAGGCCGTAGAAGAGCTGGGTAGAGAGCTGTTGGCTGTCATGTTTACGAATTCACCGTATAGTGGATAGAAGGCATTCGCGAGGACTTGACGGGTAATGTCTACGAGATCGAAACGATAGGATTCCAGTTCCCAGAGCTGGGGTGTCTCCTGAGACGCAGAGTAAAAGTGTTTCCACGCCGACACGAGAATCTCGGGGTCATATAGAATTCGCGTAGAATGATGTCCTGTTCTGTCCAGCAGGCCGGTGGTGTTGGGTTGCAACTCGAATATGGATTTGGTAACTGCTTCAGCGGTGTCGATATCAGTGTTGTTATAGATGGTTTGGCGCATCATGTCCCAGGCAATGTATAGATCTTGAGGAAGTCCAGCAACTGCATCATCACAGTGATAGCGTGAAGTCACCCAGTCGTCAAAGTAGCCTGCACTTTCAATTGGTTCGGGTGTCCAGGCTTGGTCGAGAAGGATGTCGTATATGATCTCGTTTCCTTCCTGGCCTTCCATTGTGAGGCCAATGCCGACCATGGTGCTCGTCTCGTTGGCCAGAGCCAGTATAGGATTCATGGTCACGTTCTCAACTTGGCCATGGAGACCCTGATTGCCTCCATAGTCGTGCAGTTGGCACCAAATCCAGGGCTTGCCGAAGTAGGAATTCGTCCTTTGCCATTGAGGTTGTGATTCCGAGAACAAATCAAGGATCAACATGTCCTTATCTTCGACACCTCCAAGATATGCTTTGATCCGCTCCTCGTCCCAGAAGTCCGCTGCGCTGTAGAACAACCATCCCTGTATGAACCATATGGCTTCGGGGTCTGCAGCCTTGAGACTCTTGATAGTATTCGAGGCCACATCCTCCAGATACGTCACGTTTCCTGAGAAGGGATCGTTCTCGTTATACTGATCTAGAGTGTACACGCTCGACACATTTCCATATGCTGCATCCAGCTTGGAGATGAAGCTTTTTTGCAAAGTGGTGAAGAGTGGGTCGAAAGGTTCCAAGAACGTCACATTGGTGTATTGAGCTTGAAATCCATTCCACTGGCTTCCGTTCACGAAGGAAGCATTAGGATACAGTCTGCTGATCTGCGTAGGTACAAAGCCCGTGAAGCAAGGCAGTACGGGGGTCATGCCTAGCTCAATCATACGAGCTATAATCAGCTGATTTAGTTCGAATTGTTGATCGATCCAGCTCTGTGGCAAGTCGCCGCCTCCCCACGATCCTTGAATGTTGCCAAACCTATTCCAGGCTTGAAAAGCAGGACCCGAAAGGAAAGTCGCGACCTCAGCGTGAGTGAAGCCAGCCTCGATGAACACGTCTTGAATGATCTTTTCCACGCCGACCCAAGCCAAAGGGAGATTGATCCCACGAAGCGCCATCCAGTCCAATTGAATCTGCCAATCATCCCAACTCCAGAAGGCAGCAGTGTAGCTAAAGGTCACCGTATTGGCCCAATAGCGATAGGGTACAATTGAAGAGCCGTGATAGGTCTGGTTTAGACGTGGTAGATCACCATGGATGAGGTTGAAGTTGCTCCCTACAAACCAGTATATGTCGACATGGAGTATATTGGCCAGATACCAACGCAGTCCGCTGGCGAGTGCAATCGGAGAGTTACCGGAGATGGCGATGACGCCGTTCTCCCCGTTGGACACAGTGTATTCATCATTGGGAGGGCGTGTAGACGATCCAATCGAGCTGTCATTGTCTGTAGTTAAGGAGAATGAGAAATAGTCCACGTAGTCAGGGAGACGTCTCTCCACCAGTGACCGGATACCAGCAGTCGCAGTCGCGTCAAACTCGATGCTCGACCGAACACCCAGAGCGAATATCAATGCCACCAAGATGCCATTGAAACGCATCGTGCAAGGCTTACCGCTGCGGACTGGCTGTGGAGTTTGTCCCAACTGGTATGGTGCTTATTCTTGAATGGCGCTTCCCACTAGGAGGTACAATCGAATGTCACGTCGTAACGTCGCCGTTCCAGAAGCAATTGAGTTTATGGCATTGATGATATGCAACTGTTGTGCATACTGGCCAGCCCTGCACCAACGCGCACGCGCTATCGCCCGGCCGAGATGAGGTTACATTTTGGTCCTTGGCCGGTGGCCGTCCCTGGGCCCTGGCATCGAGGAAGATGTTCATAAAATCATAACCGGGTTTGATGAACTTTGATCGGAGAGGAGAAGTGAAGAAGGTTGGCCGATGGCGACTCTGCCTGCCAAGCCGCTGTACCTCCTAGGCAAAGGTGGATCTGAAGACTGGCGACTGGGACCATCTTTCACCCAAGGGCTCAAGTGCTTTTCGGGTGGTGACAGTATTTCAGTATCAGATCCCGACTACATACAGTAACCTATGGCCAGACTATCAGCTGCAGTGCATAAGAAAAGTCCGTCAATCATACAAGAATGCCCTTCCCAGAGCGTCATGGCCTGAGAGCCGGCTCAGACTGCTGCGTGCGCTATAGAACCGATCGACTCAAGCTCACTCACTCACTCACTCACTCACTCACTCACTCACTCGCTACCACTACCATACTACTGACCAAAGCCACTAAGAACCAAGACCGGAACCATGCCCACCACAGCGACCATGTCGTCTCTATGCCCAATACCCGCCCCCCAAAGCAGCTCTCATCTTCAAACTCCTCGCCAACCTCTCCTCCGTCCCAGCTTTGCCTCTTCAAACCCGATTACGCCCTCTCCTTCCTCGTCGCAGGTCCCTCACAAATCAGCCCAACAACATCGTTTCTCGCCCAATGGAGTGGCATTTGTTGGAGGAAAGACGGGAGGGAAGAAGAGGAAGCAAGAAGTTGTAAGTGTAAAGGCATGGATGTGGGATGATATGGGTTACAATACAAGTATTGTCGGTATGGGAAGACTACGCGGAATGGACTTTGAGGACTCCAGGCGGAGCTATCAATCAGTCCCTGCTCTGCCCTATTGATCATGGTTCACGCTAGCACTCATTACTCCTCTTCCAAACCAATCTCCAATGACCCCAAACCGCCCACCTTCGCCAGGATTCTGCAGACTGGAATCGAATAAATCGTGCCTGCTCGCACTTTCCATCTGTGCCTCTCTGGTCTGTCTTACAATAGCATTCTGCGGTGCACAAATTGGACATTCAATCTCCACGTCGTTCTTGATATCGATTCCCTCTGGAACATTCAAACATCTCTGGTGGAAAGAGTGCTTACACAGGAAGTGGACTGTTGGCAAGTCCAATGTAGCACCACAGCTTGAACATCTTGTCTGCGAGAATGATTGCGGTTTCGTGGATAACTCTGTGATTTCGTTTTGCTTGGCGATTGTATCGGTTCGATACGAGGAGATCAGTTTCCGGTTCGACTCAATCTCAGCTCGTTCGCGTTGGACGGTCAGCGAGAGATAACGTTTGACCAGACCCATTGTGGCTACTGCATTGGCTGATAATGTTTGGATGACTTGTAGAGGAGCCATCAAACCGTCTTCGTCAATCTTTCTGAGTACGACGTCAACTTCATCGCCTGCGGCGTCAAGAACTTGAGGTGTGCTAGTGAAGTACGCGAGAGCGGCAGGGTATAGTTGTGGTTCTTCGGGACCATATTTCCGTAAAGCCTTGATTGCTCCTTGAGTGTCGTAGGCTGCTGTGTAGGAGCGGAAGACATCGAAACGGAGACCCTGTTGCTCACTGACGAGGATTGTACCTTCGCGGAACTTTTCGAGATCGGACAGGAGAAGGACGTTCGACGTGTCGATGGGGCCATTCCTTTCCTCGATGAGTTTCTTCGCTTTCTGTTCCCACTCGGTCTTCTCGTCGGCATCTTTGCTTGTGCCTGCTTTGTGGAGATACATCTCGAACAACGTGGTGTGAAGATCGGCACGGTGTTCAGCCTTGACTCCGTCACTGTTGATGCACGCGTCCAGAAATGTGATAAACTGATCAGGGTGGTCGATAAATGCTGGGAAAGCAACTCGTGGTTTCGGCACTTCGTACTCCACGTATTCACCTTCTGTCAGCGACTCGACCACTTGCGCTTGTTGGACTGTAGCCGGCTCGTCGCCATTCTTCGGCGTCTGCACTGTACTGGTGTTCATATAAGGCAAAGGTATGAGTGCAGCCAAGTTTTGTGCGGCGGATGCAGCCGACGAAGCCATTGTGCTGCCGAACCCACTACTCTGCTGTGCAACTGGTGTTTCTTGCACAATCACAGCATCCTTCTTCGGCTTAAAGACGCCGGTGAAGTATTCAGTGAATAGCTGCGTCGCTTCTGCAGGACAATGTGCAAGCAGCACCGTGCCGTACTTCATGAAATTCGGGTACGCCTCCTTTGGCTCAAGTCGGACGATATATGCCAGGGCTTCTGCATACTTTTTGAGGTCTTCGATCAGGATGTCAATGACCAGTCCATGCTCTTCGTGTCGTCTGGCCAAAAATGCCGCCTGGTCATAGTAGTGGCCCTGCCGACACATTACGATGGCTGTGTCCAGGTCAAACTTGAGTTCCCCTGGCTGCTTGATGAACTCTTCCAGCTTATCGACATCTTTCAGCTTGGCGTAACAGTTCAACAGCAGTGTCGTGTGATCTGACGTAGCTTTGTTGTGCTCATGGAGCTCTTCCAGATAATCGATCAAGTTTCGTATACGCTGGTTGTCCAGGAATTTCCGGATAATTTGCGAGGGCTCGGTGTTGTCAATAGCACGTAGGTACTGTTGCATAGCCGTATCATAGTCGCCTCTCTGGTACAGGTAATCCCCATATTTGCGGAAGATAACATTTTGCTGTACAGCATCAATGTTATACTTCTTCGCCAGCATGATGGCGAGCAGATATTCTTTACGGCTGTACAATTCTTCCAACTTTTGCTGAAACGTCTTCTCGTGGTATCGATAGAGTTTGCCGTCAATGGTGAGCAAGAAGATGTCACCCCAGATCGTGAAGACTTTATGTATCTGGCTCGAGATGGGCTTGGAGTAGGCAGTGAATTTCAGATCAGCATTCAGAATTGAGAAGGTACTCGTATTGAAGATCTCGTCCGCTCGCGCAGTGCGAAATGCGCCGAGCTTGGATGCCTGGCCAAAGTTGTTGGCGGGAGGTGAGGCGACCAGCATATAGTCCTTGTGCACGTTGACCAGCTTCTTTGCGCCTTGGCACGCGAAGGAGCTGGCCTTTCCCTTGGGACCATACGAATAGATGGCATCCTCACGAGCGACAATCACCTCATTCGATTCTGGGTCCAAAGTCATGCAGCCGACAGCGCAGCCATGATCGTCCAGTGTTCGCGCAGGAGTGCCTTGGGCCTTTCCAGAGATGGCAAGAGCTAGAATCTTCGATACCGTGGCAATATAGAGAGCAGTGGTGCTCGCTTCTCGAAATGCTAGGCCCGTGATGGGCTCCTCAGATTCGAAGACGGTACGTTGTTTCGTGCCTCGGTCGTGGATCAGATCGCCTCGGACCACTGTCACAGCGCCGTTTCCAAAACCAACAGCAAGTTGCACAAGGTCGCTAGTGACGGCAAAAGCGCTCACGGGAAAGTTCTTGCGACCATTCTGAACCGTGAGAGTGCACAGACAGCGTGGGAAGCCGGTCTTCTTCTCGGTCTGATCCAGTGTCCAGACTTTGAGCTCGGGTTCATGCTGCAGTGTCTCGGCCAGGGTGATCAGATAGGAGGTGTCATGAACTTGCGTGATATGAGTGACGCTGCCTGCATCGTGCGCTTTCCATGACCGGACGGATTTGAATGCGTGATCCAGCAAATGGACATGTCCGGTGGGCGTGCCGACAAAGACGTTGGCCTTGCCCGATGTTACCGTCCCGATGCTCGCTTGCTGTGGAAATTAGTACCGGCTCGCATTGGGAGGGAGTTGTCGAGATGGTCTACCTCGAGAGACAGGGAGGCATCGCCTTCCGGCAACCGGACTGGAGAGACGTCGAAGAAGTGGAAGAGCTTCCACTGGGGAAGAAGTCAGCAGCGCTCGTGAGGCAATAGTATGCCTAAAGCGGTGGAGCACAAATGCAAGCATACCGCAGTGGGAGCTATAGGCATGATCACCGAGCCATATCTGGCAAGCTGGAAGCAGTTTGTGTGTTCGACAGAATGAGAGGGAATGTTGTGAGTGCCTGGGAGTGTGTTGGTAGTAGGTGGCAGATGCCGAGATATGCCCGAAACGCTCTGGCGCGTGAGGTAGTCAGTATGTAGGTACAGCGTGTTAGCGTGCTGAGGTGCTTGAGCTTCGAGCTTCGCGTTGGCGATCGCAAATCACTTTCTATCTGCACAACGACTGCAACAATCCCGACATGGAGGAAGACGACGATGACTTTTACGGTGGAGGAGGAGATGGTGGCGAAGGTGATGAGGGTGCGGAGCGGGAAGACCAGATGGAGACCAAGGAAGAGGCCAAGGACGACATGGACGTGTCCGAGGATGGGGCTGAAGACGACGACGATGAAGACGACGACGACGACGATAGTGACGACGTAGGCGAGCCAAAAAATATCCCTAGTCGCCAGTCATGTAGGCCGTGTGGGCGACAGAGCTGATGCAGTGGACAGGACGTTCAATTCACGCTAGAACGACCGGACGGCGCCAAAGCAGAACCGCCGTGAGTGATGCCCCGAGAGCCACTCCAGCGCACAGTGTGGATCGCTCCATGAGAATGAATTCTTGTAGATGCACGGGCTGACAGGAACGATGGGACAGGCCGGGATCGAAAGCAGCTAAGGCACAGAAGAAGGAGGGCACTTCTAAGGCTGTCAAGCTCGAAGCGGATCAGAATAATAGCGCGAAGAGAGACAACAGGGAGGGCGCGCCCCGAGCGGGCTCAGCAGCACCGCCCACTGGAGGGGGCACGACGCCGACACCCACAGCGGCGCCCGCAGCCGTCAAAGGCTCTTTGACGCACAACGGCAGAGAGGGCAAAGACTTCCCGGCAGTGCGCACCAGTTCGCTCCAGGTCGATCAGATCCCCACGTGGACCAATGGCAAGCCCATCATTGCAGTCGACATCGACGCCGATCTTGCAGAGCACTCCAAGCCCTGGCGGTTACCGGGCACCGACCAGACGGACTACTTCAACTACGGCTTCGACGAATACACGTGGACGCAATACTGCGTGCGCCAGCAGACTATGGGTGGTACCATTACCCAGCTCAAGCAAGATGATGCACAAATGAAAGCCTTGTTTGGTGCGGGCGGAGCATCAGGAGGTGGGGGTGTTGGCCAGCAACAACAGACTGTGGCCCTGCCCATGCCGGCGCCGGCAATGGTAGAAATGGCGCAACAAATGAATGTGCCGGTCGAGTTTGTCCAGCAGATGATGCAGAACGGTGGTATGCCCCCAATGGGTGGCCCTGGGATGGGCGGACAGCAAGGGTATGGTCAGCAAGTCGGAGGCTTTGGAAATGACACTGGCGCATCACCGCAGCCGCAAGCTGGCCAAGGGTTTCAGCCCCCATCTGGTCCCGGCGCGGGACAGCAGGGTGGAATGAGTATGGAAGGGCTGAGCCCACAACAAATGGCCATCTACCAACAAGAGCAGCAACAGCAGATGGGGGGAGGAGGGCATCGAGGCGGGAGAAATCGGAGAGGGAGGTGGTAGGAGCACTGTTCCCGAGTTACACGCTTCACATGGTACGCAATGCTGCGATGCGTGTGATATTGACATGTTTTGGCCTAGAAGGCTTCAGCCAGGAGCTTCGTGAGATTAATGCCAAGAAATTGCCCTCGAGCGGGCGTGAAAGATTCTCTTCGAACGTGTTTGTTCGCTTTGTCAAAGCAAACGTGGTGAAATCTGTACTGCCATTGCGCTGATTGGAACTTTCAGGAAAACAACCGCGAACATGTCCAGTGACATGAAAGAGAGATCTTGCGGCTGGAAGAACGAGGACTGGGATAGGCTTGAGTGTTGCTGAGATATGTTTGTCCCCAGGAATCACAGAGAAGGAATTCTGACAGCAGCATCATGCTGCTTCTGAGACGTGATTGTAGCATACCATAGCATAGAAACAAGTGAGGTGAATGATGACCTTATCGAAGTGATACATGTAGTGTTTTGTTGCAGTAGAATTGATTGTTCGGCATCCACAGCCGGCCTCCGATTTCGCCGTCTACCTCCCTATGTCAACTTCTTATCAGCTCGCTCGCTCTACACGTATACAACAAGGATATTCACAACAACAAGAAAAACAAGAACAAAAACCAAAAACAATAAAGAATAAAAAATAACCATGCCCCCAGGCTGCCTCATCCTCGGCGACACCGCCGTCCACAATCTATTAACCCACCTCTCCCGCACCGAAATCCTCACCTTTCAACACACCCTCCAACTCTCCCTCCAACGTTTCTCCTCTTCCACAGAAAAAGCTTTGCAACCCGACTCGGGCGTCTCCATTCGTCCCAACGGCTCAAAGACACTTTTCCGCCCTTTTACATCCCCTTCTCATGTCGGATGTAAGATTATCGTAGATCCTGCTCCCCCCAATAATCCTCCTCAACAAGGAGAAAAGAAGAAACAACAAAAAGAAGAAGAAAAAGAAAAAGAAGAAAAATCTGGACTCCATGGCATTCTTGTGCTCTGCGATTCACAAGGTATTCCCGCGGGAATCATCAATGCGGAAGAAATTACGGGATTTCGAACTTCACTCTGTGCGTTAATTCCATGGATGTGGAGGAAATTTACGCGGAAAGTTGTGGTGTTTGGGGCGGGGAAAGTGGCGCTGTGGCATGTGAGATTGATGTTGGCGTTGAGGGGGGAGGAGATGGAGGAGTTGGTCGTGGTGAATCGGAGAGTGGAGAGGGGTGACGAAATGGTGAGGAAAGTGAGGGGGGAGGGGTGGTGGGGGGAGAAGGAGGGTCAGACGAAAGTGGAAATGAAATGTCTGGCGACTGGAGATGTCGCGGCTGTGAAGGCTTGTGTGAGAGAGGCGGATGTGGTGTGTTGTACTGTGCCTTCGCAAGAGCCGCTTTTTCAAGACGAGGATTTGATGAGAGGGAGTGCTGTTGCAGGTCGACCACGCAAACAACCGTATATTTCTGCGATTGGATCTTGGCAACCGGATATGATTGAATTGGATCCGGCATTGTTACGACGGGTGGTGAGTGAGAAAGACGCTTTTAATCCTATTGCGAAGGATTGTGGAGGAGCGATTATTGTGGACGATCGCACGGCGGTGTCGGAGCATACGGGGGAAATTTTGCAGAGTGGATTGCTGCTGGAACAGATGGTAGAGCTGGGTTCGGTGCTTGAGATGATGGAGAAGAAGAATAGTGGCGAGGATGATCATCATGCGAGATTGGAAGCGTGGCTGCGAGAGGGATACGTGGTGTACAAGAGTGTAGGCGTGGCTCTGACGGATCTGGCGTCAGGGGAAGCGATCTTGGAGCTGGCGAAGAAACATGAAGGAATGGGGACGTTGGTGACGGATTTGTGAGCACTTCCAGTCACGTTCACACAGGCCATCATTCAACTTGAGGAAAAGAAATGTGAAAGTAAGTGAGAGCAAGGCCCGACTAATCTTGAAGCTAGAGAGAGAGAGAGAGAGAGAGAGAGAGACGCATCAATCTTTCTTTTTGCTCGCCACTCATTTCTTCAAAGCACTAGTCAATCTCTGAAGCTCGGCAGCCGTCACAGGAATGACAGTGCCATGGCGAGGACTCTTGGGAAGCTTGTACGAAGCAGAAACCTTCCACTGCGGCTTGGCGATATCGGCCGTCTCCAGAGGAATATAACCACGACCACCATACTCGTCGACGAACAGATAGAATTTGTCACCATTGACATCTCCACTGTTGGCGCGGAAGGAAGTCGGGCCTTCGATCGCTTTCGTACCCGCGTTTTTCCCAATACACGTCGTAATGGTAGTCCAGCCGTCCAACTGGTCAAGCAGGCGCGGAGAGCTCTCTTGGATGATGTCGGTGCAGCCGCTCACGGCTCCTTCGTCCTTGGTGAAGCGGTAGTAGGTGTTGCCGGACTTGATGACGGTGGAGTCGATGCGTGCAGTGCCGGCATCTTGCCAGATTTGTGGCTCGCTAAATGTCTTGAAATCTTGGGTGGTGGCATATAACATGCGATGATAGGTGTTTCCAGTGTGGGCCGTGTCGCTCTCCTCGTACAGCGATGAGGCCCAGTAGACGACATATGCGCTGATGTCTTCATCGTAGTAGGCCTCTGGGGCCCAGGTGTTGCCTGCCGTGGGCGGTGAGACGAGCACGTGGCGTTGTTGACCCCTATATCACAATTAATTGACGGTGATGATGATGATAATTGACTGTGGTGGAACAGAGGCCAGAGTACATAGGTACCTTACTACATGTAGGGTCTAGACTCACCAGTTCACGAGGTCGCTGGATTCCCAAATCTCGAGATATCGACTGCCCGTCCGAACCGATTCGCCCCACGATGTACCAGAACCGATGGAGAGGTCAGTGGCCAACAAGAAGAACTTGCCACCATCGACGGAGCGGATGACAAAGGGATCTCTCAAGCCCTTGGTGCCTTGGGTGGATGAGAGCACGGGTTTCCCCCCGTTCAGCTCCTGCCAGTCCAGCGCATTGTTGCCATTGCTCGCGGCAAAGTAGATCTTTTCGCCATCGATGGTGTTTCCTGTAAAGTAGGCAAAGGCATAACCTGCATACTGGCCGGCCTGTCGGGACTCGAGGGTGGTGGGAGTGGCGTGGACCAGGCCCGAGAGGGCGGCAGTGAGCAGGTGGAAGACGAATGGTCGCATGATGGATGATGATAAGTGATTAGGGTATGATGATTATTGAAATGCAGGTATTGCACAATCGATGTCGAGAATAATAATAATAGGAATAATGATAATAATAATGGGGATCGAGGGTGCAGTCCGTCACAAACTCTCGCTCAGCATCTCATCACAGGCGGAAGAGGAGATAGCAGCAGCGGCAGCAGCAACAACAGCAGCAGCAAGGTAGGTATTAGATGCAGATATGCGGGCAGAATTGAGGCAAGGCAAAGCATGGCATGACATGGATGGATCTACAACATTTACATGTAATTTCTCCGTCTCAGGCCTTTCCAGGCCCACGTGCCAGGATGTAAACAGAAGCATACGATTCTTGGCATGTACCGGTACGACCTCTGCAGTTTGTCAGGTGCCAGTAGGAGAGGAGGAGGAGGAGGAGATGGTGGTGGTGGTGGTCGTGGTGGTGGTAGACTACTTTAGTTAGTAGTAGTGCATGTGGCGAGGCGGATGATCTGGTGCCACCATCGCTTCTTCTTGTTCTTCTTCTTCTTCTTCTTCTTCTTCTCTCGGCTATTTATATAGTCAATTTATGAAAAGGTAAAACGAGAGTTCCGAAGATGGACGATACGGTATAGCGTATAGGGTACGAGAGGGTAATTATGTAGATGGACGGTGTGTACTGTAAAGTCACTAAAAGTGTAGAGGAAGTGTAAGACAGACAGTCAGACCGTAATAAAGGCGGCGGGCGATCCGGGTAAAAAGAGATCTACCGAATCGTCGGCACGGGAATGTGAGGGGGGGCTATTCTTATTCTTGTTATTGATGGAGAAATACACCCTTCTTTACCTAACTTTGTTTACTTCGGCTTCGACTTCTACTTTGACTTCAACTCCGCATTCTGTCTATACTCTGAGGCAGAATAGGCAGAGTAGTTTTATGGGCACAAAGGGGAAAGGGGAAAGGGGAAAGGAGAAAGAATTCCAGTAAGAGAAGAGAGAGAGTGTGTGAGAGAGAGAGAAAGTCACATGTTCCTGTTACGTGTCTCGGAAGACGGCAGAGAGTGAGACTCCAATTTCACCATGTCTAAGACTCTAAGACTCTAAGTTGGGGGAAAAGGGTGATGATACAACTCTGTGCTACAAACCTAAGTTAAACCACCCACTCGACACCAACTCTATCACATATGATGATGATGATGATGATGGAGTCTTACAGTGGTAATGTGGTATTCTGGTGGTTTCTGGTGGTATTCGGGAAAAGAAGTTGCTATACTGTCCTCTCGCTTCATCGCCATGTCCTGAAGGGGATGGTATGAGATGAGATGGTATTGCTCATATACAACACAGAACCTCCTCCCGTTTGCTGCTGCTGGCACGAATCGCCATATACAAACAAAAAGTCTACCTCTATTATCCTCCAACCCATCCCTGCTCTGCTGGCACTGCATTTCCACTCCCAATGTCGTTGAAACCATTCCACCTTTCCCTCCACCGCAGCACGAGCACCAGAATGAGCCTGTTACACCTGCACAAGCTTTGGTTGTGCCCATCGGCATCACAATCACCACCGACCGACTGCACCACCACTGAAGGGATCCGGTGTCCATCTTGCTACAAGCCTCATCATCGTTCCCATTCATCCACTCGGCCCAGTATAAGGTCCTCCGAGCCATGGCCCTTTTCATTACAAGATTTCCGCTGGATCTGCCTCTGCTGCTTCTGTATCCCTCGTTGCTGTGCCGTCGTCGTCCTCGTCGTCGTTGTCTCCTCCTATCACCACCATGCTGCTCCCGCACTACTACTACTACCTGTTGTACCTGCTCAGCCTCGGCTCCGTTGCTCACGCTGCAACTAGACGATTCGCCATCGAGCCACAATGGGGGACGGGTGCTCCGGATGGGTTCACAAGACCGATGATCTTGGTGAATGGCACGTCGCCGGGCCCACCTCTGGTCGTGGACGAGGGCGATGATGTGGAGGTAAGTGGTGACCATATGCCTCCTCATCTGTTCTTTTATCACATATATATACTCACGCAGCAGCTGGTGATAGTTCTACGTGCGCAACGGACTGGATCAGGCCACGACCATTCATTTTCATGGCATTGAGCAGCTCGACACCCCGTGGTCAGATGGAGTAGCTGGTCTCTCCCAACGACCCATTGAGCCCGGCGCCGATTGGCTCTACAAATGGACCGCCACACAATACGGAGTATACTGGTTCGTGGTTACTGCTGCTGCTGCTACTGATCATCCTTCGAAGAGCTTGCACGCTGACCATGTCCAGGTACCATGCTCACTATCAGTCCCAAATCAGCGATGGACTCTTCGGAGCCATCTACATCCGCCCCAGAAGCTCGCAGGATCGACCGTTCAACTCCATGGCGAGTGACCCTTCGTCGCTCAATGCCCTGCTGCACGCCGAGGACAATCCCCACTTCGTCATGCTCTCCGACTGGCAGCATGTCACATCCAACGAGCTCATGGACATTGAAGATCAGGCCAATGTGGACATTTATTGCGCCCAGAGTCTCCTGTTCAATGGAGTCGGCTCCGTCCAGTGTCTGTCGCGAGAGGAACAGCAAGCGGCCTTGCCGCCGCCCTTCCAGCCGCTGTACGCTTCTGGCGGACCGCTCGCCGGTCAATGGCTCACTCCTAATGGCTGTGCTCCATTCAATAAACTCACGCAGAGTCCCGGACAGTTCGACGCCAGCCGAGTTCCGCAACAGATTGTAGGCTGCCAGCCCACACGCAACTCCCCCTACGACTTTCGCGTGAATCCTGACGACCAATGGGCAAGCTTCCTCCTCATCGGCGCCGTCTCCATTCTGGCCCCCGTGATCTCCTTGGATCATCATGACTTGTGGGTGTACGCGGTCGACGGACGTTACATTGAGCCATACCGCGTGCAAGGACTGCAAATTTTCAGTGGTGAGCGCTATTCAGTCATGGTCCAACTGAACCAACCTCCGGCTACGTATACGTTCCGCGCAAGTCACTTTGGCCAGAACCAGCTGTTGAGTGGCTTCGCCACGGTGACATATACCTCCAACGCAGTCTCCCCCAACAACGACCACGGAGGCAGCGGCAGCGGCAGCAGCCCAGCGCATCGAGAGCGGAGAAGCGGCATAATCTCGCCATCGCTGGACTTGGGCATATCACTCAATATACCAGCACTGGGAATCTCCATTGGCAAGGACCAAGGCCAGGATAACGAACACGTCCAGGCCAATGATCAAGGCCAGGCCCATCACCAAGGCCAGACAACAGAAGAGATGCCAGGCTACTTTACGTATGGTGGATTTCCAGTCTCGCAGGATGTCATACAACTCAATACGTGGAACATTGTACCCTTTCCCAACATTCCCCCCTCGCAAACCGTCGACGCGACACACATTTTCATGATGTCCCGCTACCAGGCTCCATGGCTCTGGACCGTCACCGGAACCGAATCCTATCCTTCCTTTCCCACCGAGTACGCCGAGGACGACCCAATGCTCTACAACCCCCACAGTGTCGAAGCCACGAATCGCGATCTCGTTGTCCGTACCCAGAATGACACCTGGGTCGATCTCGTCTTGGCCGTCACCGACGCCTTTGGCCCACCGCATCCCATGCACAAACACAGCAATAAAATGTACATCATCGGCCAAGGCACCGGCAACTGGACCTGGAATAGCGTTGCAGAAGCGGCTGCTGCACAACCTCAGAACTTCAACTTTTACACGCCGCAATTTCGAGATGGCGCCGCCACGGCCCCTTCGGCCGGTCAGCCTGTATGGATGGTCGCGCGCTATCACGTCGTCAATCCTGGTGCGTTCTTGCTGCATTGCCATATCCAAACTCATCTGGCCGGCGGAATGGCAGTGGCTTTACTCGATGGCGTGGAAGATTTCCCTCCGATACCGCAGGAATATCGAATTGATGGGAATGGAATGAAGCGATGATGATATTATTGGTATGATTTTTTATTAATCTTATTATGATTATTATTATTCCTCCTGTGGCAGAAACTTCGCGCTTCATGCAGTTGCTTGTATCACCTTATCGATCAACGAACAGGAAGTATATGGAGCTCTATCACAGAACGTTCATCTACGGATATGTCAGATATAGAGAGATATAGAGAGGGGAGGGTATCAGAGAGGGAGGGAGAGACAGAGAGGGTAAATAGAGAGGGAGGAGGGGGAAGAGAGAGAGAAGAGGGAGGAGGGAGGCAAAGAGACAGAAAGAAAAAGAGACCGTGAGCGTGTACTTACCGCTATGCAAGATCGAGCACCCTGAAATGGGTACAATATCAACAACTACCTAGGTACATATCTAGGTCACCATCGCTAGCTAGCTGTGGGAAGAAGAGCAAAAGCAAAAAAACTACCTAAAACTACCAATATGAGTGAGGGTCATTATAATACCTAATAATCAAGAAATCATCGTTTACTCCTCTTTGAACTTGCGTAAGACTTGTAAGACTTAAGCGAAGAACTCATTCTGATAGTACTTAAGACTGCCCTCGAGGTAAAAACTAGCAGAACCTATATACCTTAGGTACGTAGAGAATAGGGAAAATAGTCATCCTAGCAGTAGAAGCAATCTATAGCTACCTAGCGAGCGGGCGAGATATAAAGACCTATCTTCCCGGTAAGAACGAGTAGCTAGTAAGAAGAAAAGCCAAAACCTTGATGATACGAACGAAGGAGTGGATTTACTTAAACGGGAGACTAGAAGTAGTAACAAGTAACAGGTGACCACTACTACTCCTGTATGATATTACCTATCTCTAGTCATAAATGCCTCGAGCGGTTATCATTGAGGGCGTTGTAGATCAAAGCGTCAAAAGTAATTTCAAGTGTAGAGCGAATGTCGACAAAATTCATCACGCAATCTCGCGCCATTGGAGCCAAATCTCGCATTATTGCTGCGATACGGATACCTACACACACACCGACAGAGAAGGGACTTTTTTATTTTGTTTTTTGTTTTTACAAGACTGACCGACGGACTTACCTCAGGTAACACACTTACACACGTACACACATAACAGCAGCTGCATGAAAACAGAAACGACATATGGTGTAACAACTTCAAGAACAACTCCTTGGGCTGCACTACCTGCCTACCCGACTTTCCATTGCCTACCTTACCTTTTCATATACGACAAAGGCCGAGCCAAGGACTACTACGTACCTACCACCAAAGCTGTATTAGCACACGAGCAAGGCCAAGTCGGAATCATGACCAGCCTCGTACAAACCGTCACAGCAGATGACTCCTTGTGGACTCCTCCTGCTGCTGCTGCTGCCTCAGACAAAGCGAGTTCCCAGCACATCGAAATTATAGCACGGGATCGTGCTCACCCGAGTCCGCCGACTGGCGATTCCACCAGCGAAGCTGCCTACAGGAACGATCTAGACATCAGCAATGCAACCTCCAGGGCTGCGCAGGACAGTGTCGTGACTCCCTCCACAATCGACCTCAACGCGAGCTATCTCATCAGCTCGCCCTACAACCATTTGGCCAATCGGCTCGTCCTCGACGATCTAGAAATTCCATATCGACTCTTTGCGTTTGCTCTCACTTCTCTGAAGCCGATTCGCGACGACTACGCAACCGCACCGTACCTAGAATCGTTCAATTGGCCCGACGTCTTTGCCCTTTTGCGAGACTTGTGCAGACAAACAGGCTTTGCATGGAAGCAACTCAGCTTCTATACTGTCATCTTTCGTTCCGTCCTTCTCCCCGGCATCGATCGCGGGAGACTAGCCCTGCTCGATCAAAAGTCTCACGAGGAAGCTTGTGCGAGTGGCGGCTTGTTGAAGTACTGGTTCGGAAGTACGGATGCAGAATTGAAGAATTTGGCGACTTGTGAGTATTCGCCACGCTGATGATGTACACATTCAAATATGCTGATGAGCGATGGGCAGGCCTATGGCGATCCCGTCAAGATGCTGCCGCTGGCGGAGCGGGGCCTTGGCACGCCAAGGCAAGAGGTGCTGCGAGGACGATGTGAGTGGCGATGTTGGTGTACGGATGACCCGCGCTCGGAAGCTGACGCGCGACGAACAGGTATCGTGACATTGACTTCTACACTCACCAGCTTGTTGTGGAAAATGGTGCCGAGTCGTGGCGGCTTGATGTGCATGTTGAGCAGCGTCCTCATCGATGATGAGCGAAGAGCCACATGAACGGAGGAATCTTATGCGCGTCGTGACGTGGAGAGATGCTTCATGGTCTGTCTAGAATCAATCCGAGGTTCTGGTTGGGAGTGCGAATGCCGTGTGCCTGGATTTATTAGCATGGTATTGAGCAATGGCATACAGCGAGATGGCGCGTTCAGTGGTGTGTTCAAAAGGGAAGAAGGAATATCGCACTGGGAGTTTATGCGCTCTTGAGGCGCTTCCAGCAGGGCAACTCCAGGTCATTGACGAGACAGTGTATCGGCAGGCAGGGCGCAGTAGAGTTTTCCGCCATTTGTGCCCCAGCAAATCCTCAAACTTCACTCCTTCCTCGGCACCCAATCCTTCCAAGCCGGGTTTCTCGCCTGGACGTAGTCCTTACTTTGAATGCTCCTCTTAATGCCCACGAATCCAGCCATGGGCCAAGTCTCTAGCAATCTTTGCGTCCACGACTTTTTCTGTTTCGCGTTCTTCTCCGCCTCCACGCTGACATGCACCTTCTCCCACGCTGTGGGGAGGGTCGTGGCGGAATACTTCTGTCTGAGCTTCTCGTACCAAGATCTGTCAAAATCCTTCCAAAAGTCGTTTTCGTTGAAGTAGGTCTGCGCATACAGCCACTTCATGCCTCGTAGTTCCTGTAGCGTGGCTTCAATCTCTCGATTCGCCTTCACAAAAGCTTCATGTGTAGGCGGTGCTTTACCCCACAGACCAATGTTGAGCATGGGTTTGAGCGTTTTCCCGTCCGCCTCGTACTCGCTATAGTGGGGATGCATCGTGGGGGATGGACTTTGCTTGAGTGGACATAGCCAAAGTGGCCAGATTCCAAGCTTCTCGTCCATGCGTTTGACGAATTCTGTCGCTCGGTCGTACGGGAGCGCGAGATCCTGAATGATCATCTGTTCTGAGCGACCGCTGGAGTGGAGTGCATTGTATAGCATACGGGTGTGCAAGAAGTCGTCGAGCCATCTACGGGACCAGTTTGCAAAGGGAAATTTGAAATATCCAAATGCTCCCTCACCCACCCAGAACCCGCCGCGATCATATCTGAACAGATAGTCTGGGAGTGGAATCACGTCCGAGGTTGGCGCTTCGCAATTCCGTATGCGCTCTTTGACGTGGAGATAGAACCATGGATCTTTGGGGTCACTGAACCGTTGCTCCGGAATACCAGCGGAAGGGTTGTCAGTCATTCGTCCGGTGACGATGGCTCCACTGTTCTGCGAATACATGATGCCATCGATGTAGTCAAACTCATCAGGCTTTGAAGTAAAGTCTAAAAGCGTCGCGGTAGCCTCTTCCATGCTGTTGACGGGGTGGTATGTGGCCTCGACATATCTAGAAGCCTTGATCAATTGTAGCTCGACCATTGTAGTAACGCCAAATGTGCCCACTGCACCGGCAGCCCCACGGAAGAGGTCTGAGTTTTCTGTCTCTGATGCGGTAATGATTTCGCCTGTGGCGAGAACCATCTCCACGTTGTTCAGGGTGCGGTCGAAAAAGCCATGCTTAAATGACGAGGACTCTCCAGCGCTGGAATGATGGATGAAGGGTAAGTAAGGGAGCATCACATATGTCTGTATAGGACGGAACTTACGTCCCTGAATAGCCACCTCCCACAGTGATGCCCTGGTTGAGGAATCAGCTCTATCTCCTCTGCCCATTCGCCAATGTGCATAGCTAGCTTACAGGAAACTCCATGACTACAGGTGGCACGAGTCCATACTTCAATGTCTCTTCCACAAGTCTGTCCATTGGCACATTGGGTTCGACCAATGCCGTCATCTTTTCTACGTCCACTGACACTACATGGTTCAGTCTGCTGGTATCCACTACCGTCCTCGGATCTCTGCCCATAGCGGACTTGCGTGTACTGTTCGTCGAGCCATGGAAGATGCGGAATTTTTCCTTTCGCTCATAGAAGCCTCGAACGCGCTCCGATATCTCGTCGACCTGCCGCTGGTGTGCTTCGATGGTCGTCGGGGCGGTGCCTCCTCTGGTGAGGAGATGTCGTCGTTGGACGCGGAGTGATGGCGCTGGTCTGATACTTTTGCTATGTTTCGTCATTGGCATGCCGCCTCGTTGTCCATGGTATGCAGACACACTGCGAGAGGCAGATAGGAAAGCAGCAGCATTGAGTGATACTTGGCCTGCTCGACTGGCCTTGCTCACGCACGAAAAGCAGATGAAGCGGGAACTCGGTGCATTCAGCTTACCCAAAGGCAGTCTCATGGCCACCATCATACTGTGTGGTGGTGGTGGTGATGGTGGTGGTGGGAGTGGGGGTGGTGAAGGCGACGACTTCTATGGAGGTCCAACGCGGACGGGAAACGCGAACCTGGGAGCAATCCACGTTTTCTTGGCGTTGACTTTAGCGTCAATTGAAGCAGCTGAGAAGGCTCATTCCATAGCTAGGAGGTACAGTAGGACAGTAGGACTCCCCATCCCCCCACGGCCAAGGGGAGAGAGTAGGTGTGTGCGCTTAGTCGTGCGTGCGGAGAATTAATATCACCGGGACTAGTAGTCTCTTTTTACTACATGGAGGTCAGGTAGGTACATGTAGGGTTGATCAATAACCACTGCTGACATAATTATGGTAGTGGCACAATGGCAGTGGCACAGGCTCACAGCTGATACCTAGGTAGGAGGTACATGTACCTTACAGCTCACAGCTCAGACAGCTGATACACATTGACAGTCGCGCCCATCAAATAACAGGTAGAGACCACCTAACCTAGGTAGAGGTACCTGGAAGTAGAGAGACTGAGAGAGGCTAGAGAGTCCCGGTTATCGACGCAGGAACCACCGAGTCACTGTCACTGACCGCCCCCCCCCCTTCCCCCGTCCCCCCGTCCCCCCGTCTCCCCGTCCAACATATCCCAGACACTCCTTATCTGCCGAGCTACAGGTCCATCCACTAAGCACTTCATGACAAAGCCGCTTTCGTGGTGTCAAGTGTTGGGAACGGGAACGACGCACGAGTCAACTTGTCGGTGACCGTTGTTGGATGGGATTGGGGGCGTAGGTAGTCAGGAAAAGAGTGCATCCCACGCGCACTTCCATTAGTGCACCGCTATCATTCTTCCAACCATTTTGCTCGTTGCTGTCGAATATTTCTCTGCTGCGTGCACCACTCACGCTCCAACGTGGGATGGTGCTGCCCTTCTCCCTACATGCAACGACTATACTCGTGTTGTCAAGTCTTGTGGTGACTGAGAGCCGGTCGTGCCGACCGATTATCGTCTCACCACGCTGTCCTCACTTCCCCCGGCTTACACATCAGTGACCAACCAACTACTATCGCTCGAGACGGACAAGACATGTCCTATGAAATATCAGAAGAATCCCGCTTCAGAGTCTGAGACCCAAGATCGTCGTAGATCCTCGACACTACGTGTACCTGGCCTCGACGGTAACACCCTCCGTCAGCAGAACACGAGCCGCCGCTCGTCCGTGCTGACGATAACGGAACTCGAACTGCCAGACCTCCACATATCCAGTCCTAGTCGCCGCACGGCACTCTCCAGTGGAGCTCACTCCATGGCGACAACAACGTCCCGCTTCCTCCAACTCCCAGCAGAGATTCGCATCCACATTGCCTCCATCTACTTTCAACATGCAGAAAATCTTCCTCGAATTAGACCCGCCTACGGTATCCCGAGCCTGCTCAAGACATGTCGAACAGTCTACACCGAAGCCATAGCCCTCTACTATGCTTCCTCTCCATTCCGCTGTCTCGATGAAGCCTCCACCATCCATTGGCTTTGTTCACTCCCTCCCAAGTTCCTGGCCATGATTCCGGAAGTACGATATGATACTCGCTGGATCATCTTTGTGACGCCCTATATCCCCATTCCCGGGACCGAGTTGTGGTTGTGGCAGAATCTGTTGAAGAAATTGGAGGCCAACGGATTGGACCTTGGAACGTTGCTGGATGTGGAGGCAAAAAACGGTGGGAGTGCGAAGATGAAAATCAGCTTCTACAGAAAGGGTGCTGAAGGAGGTATTGTCTGGATGGATGGAATGGAATCGATGGGCGTGGTACAAGGTGACAATGCGTGATGTGGTCTGCGAGCACGACGACCCTCCCAGGTGCAGGGTGATGCTGCATTAAGGTAGGTAGGTACCTGGGTGCTCTTGGAAGGAAGCTCTTCCCCTCTCGGAATACGCATGCCAGCTCTCTCTCATCTCCTCGTCGCGGTCATCTATAATCTCCCTCCCAAAAGCGTGCTGATACGCCCATTGTCAGTCTCCACACGTGTCATGTGGTATGCTGCTCACCTGGCTTTTCCGATAGGACCCCGGGATGGTTTGATAGTGCTGAATACACGTAATGTACAAAAAGAGGAAGGTATGCTATACACAAAGCTCATGAGATGAGTAGTAGTAGTCTCGTGTCCGTCTCTCAATCAAGGCATCAAATTCACAGATGCGCAACGCTTTCACTGGTCTATGCCTCCTGTATCTTGTCATCGTCAATCTTATGCTGCACCGCGTCCGTCCTCTATTTCCTCTTCGAAGACGGTTACGCACTCGTGAGCGAACTCTTCACGCTCTGCTCCATGATGTCTTTTCGTGGTTTCCGCCATCGCTGCTCGAGATATAAACGTACGCCTTGCCGCTGAACCGTACTGCACAGCATGCGAGCTCTACTCGACAGGATCAGCACCAGCGTCTGAGCTGGCGCCAGTGACGGATATGCTTGGGTCGACGGCGATCATTTCGGCGAGGATGTCGAGAATTGGCTGTGATGGACAAACACATTAGCACTCTACTCATCTCACTCATTTCTCAACCTATTCTTCCGACATGTTCTCATGGCAAGCCACGATGTTCTCGTGATAGTCAGGGTGTTCTCGTGATAGGTCATCATGATCATCTCGTAACATGATTATATAGCTCACCTTCGGCACAGTCTTATCATAAATACTGATCAACTCCCTGGGTTGCGGATACACCTTCAAGGCCTTGTAAAAGCACAAAGCGGCATCGACAGGATCACTTCCATCCTGACACATCCCTTCACCTCTCGCGACCTCTTGCATGAAGTATGCCTCTGTTTCTTCGGGGTCTCGGGGGAAGCCCTCCTCGTTTGCTTCGTCGACGACGGCGCGAATTTTCTGTTTCTGTTGCTCTTCCGCCTGCTTAGACGATTCGTGGACTTCTTTTTGGATCTTTTTGTGTTGCTTTTTGAGGTATTTGCGGAATTCAGGGTCGCTGCGGCGCTTATGGTCAAAGTAGAGTGCATAGCCAATTCCGCTGAGGGTAAGAAGAGAGGCAATGCCGGCGACTATCGTGGTGGTCGATGGCCCCGACGAGGCTGTTGTTGATGCCATTTTGGGTGTGGAGATATCGAGTGAGCGCCTGTTGGAGTGTGCGCGATGTCAGTGGGATCTCGCGATTCCACTGGTGATGATGGTGGTGCCAATGGGTTGAAATGCGTGTCGGTTGGCGGTGGTTGGAATGTTGATGTCTGCTTGAGGACTCTGCGTGGCTAATTCTAGCTCCATTCTAGTTCGACTTCTAGTTCTTAGCTGCGTCACAGCTCGCACCTCATGCGTCTCACGCGTGTCTGGCTACCTTACCTCCTACTGTCCCTACCAACCTAGGTAGCTAACACAGCCATTCATAACACTGCTCACCACGTCTTCTCCTTCTTCTTCTTGACCACCCTCACCACCCTCACCGCCAACACCACCACCACCGCCGCCGCCGTCGCCGCCACCGCCGCCGCATCCTCCTCCTCCTCCGCCCATGGTCAATGCGGGTCCGGTTGAGTAGGCAGTGAGCAAGCATGTCGGAGGGCAAAGGAATCATCTCGCTGCGGCGCAAAAAGACGACGGCCACACGTCCCACCATCTCGGGGCCCATCGCACACCAAGCTAAACCTCCGGCGCAAAGGACCAACTCGGCGTGGAGCGCGAAAAGCGATGCCCCGTCCCGCGAGCGCCCCAAGGGCGACACGAGCGACTTGGTCAAGCGGCGCTACAGCACGCGCTTCACCACCGGACATCCGCACGATGGGCCTGCTCCGCCCATGCCCGCCATGCCCGCCCTGCCCGAAATGTCCAACATGCTCGCCCAGTATCGACTGGACGCTGCCAGTCGGCCGAGTACATCGCGCCCCCCGCCGCTCAGTCGATCAACGACCCAAGGCACCCATGTCCCGCCGAGTGGGAGAAGCAGTCCCGACAAGGGTGCGGAGTGGGGCCGCGGCAGACTGAAGATCGATCTGCGTGCCCTGAAAGATGCCAACCTGCACGCCGAACAGTACGTGCAGTCCATCCTGTCTGAGGCCACCGAGCAGGACATCGAGGCCTACCAGCGGGACTTGCAAGCCGTCAAGGCACATACCAACGCCGATCTTCAACACAATGTCTACCAAAATCGCACCCAGTTCATCAAGATTTCCAAGGAGGCCGACAAGCTGAAGACGGAAATGCGCACCCTGCGCACCCTCATGAGCGACTTGACCGCTGCCCTGGGACATGCAGCCAGCGCGGGTGGTGCCGATCTGAACAACACCGCCAGCACTCTGAGCATGGCCGACAGGAAGCGCGCGAATAGGAGCAGCGTTGCCAACCTGGAGGCCATGTGGAGCACGCACTTGCAGACCTTGTGGAAGCGAGTGGAGGGCAGTCAGAAGTATCTGCCCGCCCTTCCCGGCCGACACATCATCATGGAGAGTCAGCGATGGCTGGAGCTGAATGCCGCCACCTGGAAACCTCGCAGACGTGTGGCCATCGTCCTCCTCAACGATCACTTGTTAGTGGCCTCGGAAAAGAAGCGGCCTGCTGAAGCTACGCCACAAAAGGGCAACCGCCAGAGTATGTACTTTGGGTCTCAAGCCCAGGCCAGTGGTGGCGGAGTAACGACGCTCGTGGCAGACCGCTGCTGGCCTCTCCACGATGTCAGTCTGGCAGATATCTCGACGCGCTCATCCACCTCCATCGGTCATTCCAATAGCAAAGAGAACAGAGCCATAGCGAACGCCATCAATGTCCGTGCCGGGAATGCAAGCTTCACATACGCCACATCTGACAACACTGACAAGCTTGGCCTGATTGTAGCGTTCCGCAAGGCACAGGAAGACCAACGGAAACTCCTCGCGGCAGAACATAGCAAGCGCGAAAAAAACTTGGATGCTGTATCATACATGTCCGGACGAGAGAATCGCTCCCTGAGGAAAGCCGCTGCAGATGCTGCCCTTCAGGACTCGAAAAACGCGGCTTCTGATCACAACTCGTCTTTTGGTGGCTTATCACGCAGAGGCTCTGTTCTGGTGGACTCTGATGGACGGCCTCAATCCATTCGCTGGGTGGAATCGCAAATTGACGGACTCGATATCGACATTGCATTACAACACTTCGAAGATGCGGTTACGAGGGTGGAGACATTGAGGAATATGGCAAGAGGAATCAAAGGAAACCAGACGGCGCAAGAGATTATCCAAGCAAAAGTTAATCAACGTGCTTCGAAACTTGCCAGCGTCATCGCGAGACAGCTGGGGTATGAAAGTGGCGGACAAGAGTCCACACAACGTGCTGTGTCGTGGTTACTTCGCCTCGGCTTCGAAGAGTTGGCTCGAACAACATATCTAGATTCTCGCACCAAGACGATACGTACCCGGACACGATCGCTGCCCTTCACGGGAGTGTTGGAGCCCTTTGTCAAAGCCCTGGCCTTCACCACATTCATGTTATTACTACACTCTTTCCGGACGTTTGAGGTCTCGTTCCCGGCCGCGAGTGGGAGTGCCGTTGTGAAGTGGGCCAAGGAGAGGGTTGATGAGTTTAGTGCTGCATTGCAGAGGCACATGAGCAGTGCGGAGAAGGGTGGAGAAGTGTGGAGAAACTGCGTGGATATCGTGAGAGAGCAAGCGGAGATATTGCAGGAAGTGGGAGTGGATTTCACCGGATTGGTGGAGAGGGGATTCGACGACAAGAGAAGAAATGTTGATACTGTGAATGGGAGTGAAGACAGCCAGGGCGCATGAGGCGGCTATCACTGCTCCTCTCAGGACCGTGAATGTGCGATGACGGTACGGCTGGGATATGGTTCTCAGCCGGAAGGACACATGATTCTGTACAGTCTGTATTGAACAATGACAGGGAGTCGTCTTCGAGGGAGCCGATGATGCTTGCAGCGTTATAGCGCCAGCGATTTGTTTGATTCTTGCGAGGCCAGTTGGGCATTGTGCGAGAAAAAAGGCCTTGGTAGCAACTCGAGTTGTTTGGAACGTCTCCGCCGCAAAGCTCAAAAAAAAAGAGGAAGAAGAAGAAAGAGGCTCTCGTCAGTGAGGTTGTGCAGCATGTGTATTTACAACAACGCTTTTCTTGTCGGCGAGAGCTATCCCATTCACAGTGGCGAAACTCACCACCACCTCCAAGATTAATTACTACTAGGTGCAACAACAACAAGAACAACAACAACAACAACTGCTACTACTTCTTATTCTTCAAAATCTCATCAAAGTTGAGGACGGCCTTTCCCAACACCAGCGCACTCTCCGCACAATCCTCCTTGCTCGTCCACTCCTTGGCATTGTGACTGACACCATCCTTACCTCGGGCAAAGACCATGGCCGTCGGACATTTCAATCGTGTCATGGTGGAGTCGTGGGCCGTCTCGGTACAGGCGCCGATGCCCTTGTCGCCACAGGCACGCTTCACACAATCGACAGCTTCCGGCCAGAACTGCCCCGGCTCCAAGTGGACCAACAGCTCGGAAGAAAAGCCCAGACCTGCAGCCTGCGCAATCGCTTTACCACGGGCCGTGATGTCGGCTCCCATGGAGCCCAAGACTTTCGCATCGTAGTTCATGAGGCAGAAGACGAGTTTGGTCCAGGATTGAATGTTGCAGCACCCAATGGGTCCGCTTTGGATGTTGGTCATGGTCGTGTATCCACTTCCGTGAGCCTTGGGAAGACTCTCTAGCTCCACGATGAGTTTGCTCGCACCCACCAGGCTGTCTTTGCGACGCTCCATCGGGTAGGTGTTGGCGTGGCCGTCCTCTCCCGTAAATACCATTTCGTAGTAATCGATGCCTTGCCAGCCTTCGACCCACCCGACTGGCTTGTTGGCCTTTTCGAGCACCGTCTGTTGTTCGCAATGAATCTCAAAGTGACCCGAGATGGGGAACTCTTCAAAGGTGTTGGGTCCGTCGCCGACATATCCAATGGCTTGGAGCGCTGCACCTAGCGTCTCGCCGCTCCCATCGTTGGCTTTGCTGGCATAGGCTGCCTCCAGCGTGCTCTGGCCTGGACCGCGTGACTTAGCAAGAATGCAGCATGATATGGGTACAGGTAGATATATAAAGGCTGCACGACACCACGACCGATCACTGGTGGATCTTACTTACCTGCATATACCACTGAAGAGCCCAAGAACGGGAAAAACTTTGCTCCTTCCTCGTTGGTCCAGTTGATCAAGGCAATGGGGGCGTGTGTCTTGATGCCTTGTTCCTGCATGGATCGGAGGACTTCGATACCACCAATAACGCCCAGCGGCCCGTCAAAGCGACCGCCCGTGGCAACCGAGTCCAGATGAGAGCCCATAGCAATGGGAGGGAGAGAGTTATTTTCGCCTTCGAAGGTGGCGAATTGCGAACCTGTCCCATTCACCGCATACGTCTTGGCACCGAGAGCCTTGACTGTATCTTTGAACCAGTCTCGAGCATACTTGTCGTAGATGGTGCCGGACAGTCGAGACAGTCCTCCCGCTTCGGTGGTTGCATTGGGTTCACTCCATTTGGCAGTCATGTGAATATCATCCCTTGGGAAAGATGTTAGCTCTGGCAGACTCACACCGACGCCTCTCCATTATCACCATCACCATCACCACCATCATCATCATCATCATCATCATCATCATCATCATCATCATCATCACTGACGAGGAAATCACTAGCCCACACATACCACAAACGATCGGCATTGATCTTGAGTTTCTTCGCAGCGGGTGCATTGAGATCCGCATAAGTCCTTCTCGCATGCACCAGCCGTGGTGCAAGCCTCAGTCTCGTGGCTTGTCTGCAGAACAACATGTTGAAGGTGGTGGTTCGGGATGTATAATAAGGATGATGATGGATGTGATAAAAACGACGACGGTCGCGGGATTCTTTGCCTGCAATGCGCTCGCCCCCTTCTCATATGTTCTTCACATTTCGTATTCGACCTCGTTGCTTTCCCACACAGACCAGCACATCCATAGCTTTTCCCCGCTGTTGCACTCCCCCCCCGACGCCTATCTCGTCTTGTTGCTGTCTGTTGTTGGTGGGCAACACGCAGGAGTGTGTGCGGGCCCGGCGGGGATGTGCCCCCAGGAACTCTGATAAGCTCGAGGCTGCGTCTCGGTGCCTCAAGATAGTAAATAAACGCTCCAGCAGTCTCGGTATAGAGCGTATAGTGTGTAGACAACCAACCAACTCTGCTGGCCGCCGGCTATCATTCCACTCAATTTCGCCCTTTTCCGCTTCATCTTACTCCCTACCTCCTAGCCTGCATCTCTCTTCACAACCGACTTGGGTGCTACATGTACCTACCGCACACACGTGGCCAGCTTGCTCGTGTCTGCACGCATCGATCGCATCATAAGTTCTCACATGTCAGCTTGCTCCCGTAGTGGCAACCAACACTTCATCATCTTCGCACGATACGGAGCATCATATATACAATGCGTCGCTTTTTATTCCCATGGAAGCGCTATGCTACCCCAACACGATGCTGCAAGAAGGATCGCGCACCCCACAAACGCCTCGCTATGCAGCCCCTCCAAGTAATTGATTCTATACTGATTCGAACCTTTTTTCCCCACTGGAATTGAAGCACCACATGCTCTCTTTACTCATCGTCTTCCTCGAGCTCGGCAGTCTGTCTTCACGTTAGCCCGGGTCCGCGCGCACATGGTTTCGCATCATGATATCACATCACTTACGTTCTCGTGGAAATCCTGTCCACCCTTCGTGGCCACAATGATGCCCTTCCGAATGACGAAATCGCCAAATCTCTCACCCTCGTTTCTCTCCAGAGCATACTGCTTCAGCATGGGCTTCATAATCTCCAAAATCTCTTCCTCCTTGATCGAACTGCGATACAGCTTATTCAGCCGGTTGCCGTGGTAGCCGCCTCCCAAATACATGTTGTACGCCCCATATGCCTTGCCGACAAATGCCACCTCCGCCAGCCACGGACGAGCACATCCGTTGGGGCAGCCCGTCATGCGCATGACGATGCTCTCTTGCCGGAGCCCATTCTCTTCCAGTGCGCCCTCGAGCTTCGTCACGAGCTCGGGCAGGTATCGCTCCGACTCCGCCATCGCCAGGCCGCATGTGGGAAAGGCAACACAGGCGGAAGAGCTGAGTCGCAGACCGGAGAAGTTGACATTGTCCAGCTTGTACTTGGCCAGCAATTGCTTCATCTGTGGAAGATCTGCATCTGCGACGTTCGACAGGATGAGATGCTGATTACCGGTCAAGCGGAATTCGCCCTTGTGGTGCTGGGCGATCTCGCGGAGACCACTCTTCATCTTGAAGTCCGCAGTGTCCTCGATGCGACCGTTCTCGATGAACATGGTGAAGTGGTTCAACCCGCGTTCATCTTTCAGCCAACCAAACGAGTCCACGTTGCTCTCAAACTTGAACGGTCGTGGCTCCTCGAACTTCTTCCCCCAAATGCGCTCCACCTCGCTTTTGAAGCCCTCTACCGTCATGCGATCGATGGTGTACTTCAGACGAGCCTGCTTGCGGTTCTTGCGATCACCGTTGTCACGCTGAATCAGCATGATCTTCTCGCAAGCAATATGTACCTCATCCTTGGGCACATATCCGAACATGCGGCCGATCTGCGGGTACGTCTTCTTCATGTTGTGCGTCGCCCCCATACCACCTCCAGCGAGAACGTTGAAGCCCGCAAGCTGACCGTCCTCACCTTGAATCGCAATGAGCCCAATATCGTGGGCGTAGACATCGGTGTCATTGTGCGGAGGCACGGCGATCGTGATCTTAAATTTACGTGGCAAGTATGTTGGACCATACATGGGCTCCAAGTCCTGCACCGCGTCACCGGCAAGCTTGAGGTCCTTCTCACCCTCCATACCCTTCAACCAGATCTCATGGTACGCAATCGAAGCGGCGCCGGGCAACAGATGATCGGAGATCTTCTTGGCAGCAGCGTGTGCCTGTCCGTGCAACACGCTCATCGTCGGCAATGAAGAGCACATGACGTTGCGGTTGACATCGCCGCACGCAGCAATGGTGGTCATGAGGGCGCGGTTGATAGCTTGCATGGCAGGCTTGAGCTTCGCCTTGACGATACCGTGGAATTGAAAGGTTTGTCGTGTGGTCAGTTTCATGGTCTCGTTGCCCAGGCTGTTGGCAATGTCGTCCATCTGGACCCATTGATCCGGAGTTGCCACACCACCGGCCAGTCTGCAGCGAATCATGAAGCTGTACGCGGGCTCGAGCCCCTGCGCCTTACGCTCGTCACGTAAATCACGATCGTCCTGCATGTATGTACCGTGGAATTTGGTCAGCTGTTGGTCCGCCGCACTGATGGCACCCGTAGAAGGGTCCTGCAGGCCCTCCACAATCGTACCACGCAAGAAGTTGGATCCAATCTTGATGTCCTCATTGGTGATGGGCGCGGGTTCTTCGGGCAGGCCCTCCACATTACCCACACCCAGCGCATCCCAGATCTTAGGCTCCCACTCTTGATAGCCCGTCTGGTAGCCGTCCGGATCCTGGTCATCACCCAGACCGCACGCGACTAACTGCTGCGCACCAAGCTCCAGCAGACGAGCATGCAAATCCTTTCCAGGCTTGTTGTAGTAATGCTTGTCTTCCTTACGAGGCCAGTAGTGCGAATCGCCCAGCGCAAAGGTGCTGAACTTGACATTGACCAGATCCAGATCGGTCGAGTTCTTGACCGCTTCCCAGAAGTTGCGTCCATTCTGCGGGAACTCACCTTGACCGGCAGTCGATGAAACAAAGATGACATTCTCCTCATTGTTGAGGTCCTCGACGGGATAGTCGTCCATAGCCATGAACATTGACTTGAGGCCTCGAGCCTTGCCCCGGTTCGCTAATCGCTTCGCAAGATTCTCTGCATTACCGCCATCGGAGGCAAAGAGCACCGTCATAGGAGCTCCTTGAAGACCTTCGAGGAGAACCTCGTACGCATCCTTAGCCTTCCTCTTCTGTACCTTGCGAACCTCGGAACCATAGGACTCGGACAAGCTAGCATGAAACTCTGGGTGTCTCTTCATGATCTGGGTCATGTAATTGTCCCTCTTCAAAAACTCCTTCAGCTCTTCCTTGATACGTTCCGAGTCGAGCTTGAACGTCTCGTCGCCCCGCTCTTCCGCCCGGGGATCCCACCGGTAGAGTGGCCAATACCCCAGGTCTACAGCCTTCTTCGTTTCTTGTAGCACATGGACAGGGTTCTCATTTTCGTGGTGATATGGGAGGTAGGCTAGGACCACAGAAGGGCCGTTGAATGCTTCCGCTTCCATCATGGCCTGCAGCACTTGCGTATAGCTGCTGTAGACGGCAGTGCTGGCCACGTACGCATTGCCAAAGTTCATGGCGTAGAGGCCAATATCCTTTTTCCTTCGTGCCGCGTCCACTGATGCTCGCTCGCTGTACGGTGTCGAGTCAATGATGAGCATGTTCACATTCTCGCCGCTGGCAAGCACGTGATGCACACCACTGTTGCCGAGATCGTAGCTCCACGCATCGCTACCCACCAGCCACTGTGACTCCTTGAAGAACAACCCTTTGGAGCCCAGCAGTTGGGCTGCGGCAGGGGAGCCATCGTTCGCGAGTCGGGAGAGGACTTCGGGTGCGAGCTGGTTTGCCTTTTCCGTGTCTTCGGCGATCAATGCCCATTGCGACAGCCACTGGAGCGGCGCATCGGTGGTGAAGCTCCTGGACTTTGCGGCAGCCTGCACTTCGGAGATGAATCGTGCACGGTGTTCCTTCCTCGCCAGCAATGAGCCGAAACCGAACTCGGGGCTCGCCTTGATGATGTGGTTGATTCCCGCATGGTTCGACTGGAGTGCATTGGCAATGTACAGTCGTTGCCCAAAGAGTTGATCCAGAATCTTCATATATGCGTTTTCCAGTGCCGGCTGTTGGAGAGTAATCTCCGCCTTCGATGGGCCATTGTGGGCACCAATTTTGAGATTCTGGATGGGGTCCTTTGCAGTCAGATTCTGGAAAATGCCACTCAGTGCCTGCGTAATGGTGGAATATTCAATGTATCCCAGTTGGTAGCCCACGATTAACGGCGAAGCGGCTTGTGAGCTGGCTTTGAGAGACATCAGCAAATCCAGCAGAATAGGTCCCCATTTGGTCGTCTTTCTCTTGATTTGCTCGAGGACTGCAATTCGCTTGACGCTCTTGGGGAGGACCTCGGTCAAGCGCTCCGTCAGCCATGGTCGGTACAGTACAGGCGTGATCAAGCCCACGCTGGAGAAGAAGTCTGCGGGGGTTGCAGCATCGAATTCAGCGCTAAAAAGGCCTGGATCGCTTCCGAACAGGAACAAGGCGTTCTCTGCATTCTGAGGACCTGTGTAGTTGAAGGCGCTGTATGAACGGCCCGTCTTGGCCTTGATTTGTGCCCAGATAGCGGCACAAGTGGTGTCGATATCCTCAGAGCTCGTCGGTTTGGGCTGAGAGTCGACCGTGGTGGCAGACTCGGCCTCGGACGCGCCCGAACTGCTGTTCTTGCGTTCTGATGAAGATGTGGTCGAAGAGGCGGAGGATTGCTCCTTGGAGGGTGTGGTGGCGCCCGATGTGACATTCGTTGTTGGTGGGAGGTCACTGTTGCCACTCCGCTGCTGCAGACTCGCAGACGTGGGAGCAAGGCCTTCGCTGACGTATATTCCAGTTTCCTGGATGGTGGTACTTTGTCTATTCCTCGCAAGGTCGATGTTCAGCGTCTCCTCCACCACGCTGCGATCCTCACGCGCAATGGGCGTGTCCTGCTTGCTATTAGAAGCATCAAAGAAATGCACGACACCCTTGCCGGAGCGGATGGCCAATGCGTGTGCCGTCAATGCCAAGTCCTGTGCCTCCTGCAGCGTCGTACTCTGCAGGAAGGTGAAGCCCGCATTTCTGATGCTGGTGATGTCGCCATAGTCTGGGTATCCGCTCGGCTGCAGGCTCACATGGATGACAAGCGGGTACTGCGCCAGACGGTATAGGTGGGGGATGCTCCTGACCAGCACATCACTACTGGTCGTCACTGCAGTGAGTTTGCCGGCGCGCACTCTCGAGTACACATCTAACAGAGGGTCGTTGTTATGGCGCACAGAGATGAGCTCGGGCGAGTCGCTGACGACGGAAGTGGCGTTGTTGACGGCGTATTCGGCCAGAAAGCGCGAGAAGTCGGAGTGGGTGGCGAGAGAAGGCTGGACGGAGACGATGGAGTCGGAGGAGAGGTAGGCGATGCGGGCCACTGTGGGAGGAGGAAAGAGTGTCTGTCAGCACATGCTTGTCTGTCTATCAGTCACTCACTCACGTACCAGCCTCGCCCGCGGTCAAGATGGTCGCCATGGTGGATTCGTGCAAGGCAATGGGTGAGTTATTGCATGGTCCGACGGCAATGGCAATGAGAGAGAGGAAGAAGAGGAGGAGGAGGAGGGAGATGAGGGAATGGAAGAGGGAAGGGAATAGGGAGCGGGAGAGGGAGGGATGATGAATCAGTGAAAGAAATTCAGGCTGCAGTGGCCGGAGTGAAGTAGTGGTGAAGTAGTGGTGGTGGTGGTGGTGTTGGTGGAAGTAAAACTAGCCATAAGGTAGGAGAGTAATAGTAGTAGTGGTGGTGGTGGTGGCGGCGGGCCGAGCTAGGACATGTTCAACACCTCCAGTTGCGCGATCGGCAGGTGCAAAAAGTGGAAAACTTCGACGACCGCCTTCTATGTTCGGCTTGAAGTGGGGACATTTGACGTTTGCGCGTCCGCTGATTGGGCCTGACAGGATGGCGTGATTGCGGGCACGTTCACATTCACGTGTCGCGTAGAACAATGGATGATTCATCTCTGCAGCGCCGTGTTTAGGACGTGCACCTGATTATTAATAATAATAATGATGCCTTTTTGGTGCACACGAGGAGGTAGAAGGTAGGAATTGTAGGAGGTAGTAGGAGGTCAGCCTAGTGGTTACCGTGTGGTTACCTGAGGTCTTGAGGTACATCTCATTGTACTACCTCCTAAGGTCAGGCTGGTCAGGTACATGATTACATGTTGGACCTCGTGGCGGGGAGAGTGGCAATCAACCCCCGCAGACTCCCCTGCACCTGCCAGTCTGACTGTTCTGTTTATAGTGCCGTCTTGGGCTGCGTAAATCCGGAGAAGCCTGAAAGGGAATCCGAGATATAAGCGACGGTTTAAGGAAATTACTCCGACTAGTCCCACTCTCTCCAACACAATCCTCACAAGAACTACCTACTCTACCCATGTCAACCTGTCAAACCTTGACGGCGAATGTCGGCCAGTCACAGAAAGAGAAGGGGAGTGAGAGAGATGGGGGGACGAGAGGGAGTGAGAGAGTGAGAGAGATGGAGAAAGATGACGGAAGAGTGAAAGATGGAAGAGAAAGATGATGGAAGAGTGAAAGATGGAAGAGAAAGATGATGGAAGAGTGAAAGATGGAAGAGAAAGGGAGACAGGGAGAGAGAGATGAGGGAGAGAAATGAGAGAGGGAGTGAGATGAGAGAGAGAGAGAGAGAGAGAGAGAGAGATGAGAGAGCGAGAGAGAGAGAGAAAGCAAGAAACAGTACGTGTCCTCCTCCTCCTCCTCTTCCATAAACCCAACCACTTGATCATTTGGAACAATGCGAACTCATGCCGCTGCCGCTGCCGCCGCCGCCGCCTCGAAGGCGCGCAGTGGAAATGTAAAAAGTCACCATTCGGGTCATACCAATGCTTCTCCCGCCCGATGCTAGTGGGCCTGTATTGTCTGTTGTGTTGTTGGTGGGCAATGCGCATGTCTCTCCCTCCCTCTCTCCTGTTGGCTGTTGGTATGCTGAACCCCGGGCGAATGTGTAGGCTTTATATTAAAGAAACACAGGTATGATGTACCTATGTCCTACATGTTCCATGGAATGAGATCTCTCCTGAGCATGGGTTCCCAACAGCCCAACATATATAACACCCATCTCGCCACTCCACTCCACGAGAGCCCCTCGATCATTGCGCTTTTTCCTCTCATCATCATCATCATCATCACTAACCACATCATCTCTTTTTTCCCTCCAGTCCCTCGCTTACTACCACTTTTTATCATCACGTACTCACCAGCCTCTAACCCCCCCGATCACTCCTACCGGACTCACATTTTTCTGATTCATCTACCATCACATATTGAGATTCGCAGCAATGCGCTCTATCACTACTGTCCTCCTCTTCCTGGCCCTCGCTGCCTTGGGACTTTGCCGCCCCATCCCAGACACTTGCCCCATCGCGAACTGTGAATCAGTGATGGAAGCTATCGGCAACTTGAAAGGCGAGATCAAGGATGACCCTCAGGGTGTGACGCAGCAATGGAAGGGCAGCGGAGAAGGAAATGGCAACAAGAACAAAAACAAAACCGAAGAGGGAAAGTCCGACGACGGAACCGAAGTCACTGAAAATACTGAGAATACTGAAAATACTGAGAGTACTGAGAATACTGAGAATACTGAGAATACCGAATCAACAGCCACCGAAGGCCAGACGGACGACCCAACCGAAGACCCCAATGGAACTGGTGGGAATACTACCACAGAGACCGAATCAACAGCCACCGAAGGCCAGACGGATGACCAGACTCCCGACGATGGCGGCATGGCAGACTGCCAAAACCACCCTGGCGCACATGGCAAGTATCACAGTTCGGGCACGCACAGCACCCCGAACTGTCCTCCTCCTTCATGAGCCATGAGCCACGAGGAGACGGAGCAGGAGGGGGGGGG